CTGCTAGGAGGCGCTAGAGAGACTGAAGGGCTGGAGGAGGAAGAAGGGACTCACTGCTTCCTGTTTGTTTCCTGGTCTCACCTACCCCCACAGCCTCACTTTTCTATCCGTTCCAGAAATAGGGGCTGAATCTAGTTGAAAGTTTCCCCAACACTCACAGGACCAGCCTCATCGCGCTCGTTAGAGACACCAGCGTGAGCTGGCTGAGGTCGCCTCCTCAGAAGTCTGCGTTCCAGGCCCATGGGTCCCTCCTCTGAGCTCGGAGACACCCACTCTAGATTCAGAGATCTGCTTTTAAGCTCTCTAAGGCCCTTCCCAAGCTTCTAATTTTCAATACTCCAACCTCTGCCCTTGGTCCCTGGCCCTATGGGGGGTGGCTGCTTTCTCACGCCCTTTCTGCCTTCTCAACAACCTTATTAACTGCTCCTTATACTTAATCACTTTTCATTAGTCTGGTAAATAATGGATGGGTTTTCTTTTTTCCTCCAGCTTTATTGTGGCATAATTGACAAAAATCATATATGTTGAAGGTGTACAATGTGTTGATTTTTTATATGTATGCATTGTAAAATGATTACCACAATCAAGCTAATTAACATATCCATCACCTCACATAGCTACCTTTTGTGTGTGTGTGGTGAGAACACTTGATCTTAGCAAATTTCAAGTATACAATCTGATGCAGGGTCGGTGAGCCGAGGAGTCGAAAGAAAGATTTCTTGGACTCTCAAGGTCTGGCAGTAGTGCTCTATTTAGAGAATAGTATGGAATAGCATGGGGACAGGACCCGTGGGCAGTCAGGCTGCTGCGTGGGGACAGGACCTATAGGCAGGAGGAGCTGCAAACATGGGTGGAGAGTAAGGCTAAATTTAAGGCATAGGTATGTGAGTTATCTCTTTACAAGACAAAGGAAAGAAGAAGTAAAAAGAGTTGTTAAAATGGTATCAGTGCCGGTGGGGTTTGGTTATTGGGTGGTCCTATAACTTTTAGATAAGAATCAGATTGGATTGAGTAAATGGCAGAAGCCACCACTTAAATATTATCTTCAGGTAAAGACAAAGGAGGATGTTGGGGGGGGGGGGGTCAGTTACATGAGGTTGCCAGATAGTAAACAACTTAAGTCCTTGCCTTCCCCATTAAGAGTTTCCAGAGATAAGGCCATCCTGCCTTCCTCCTGGTGCAGAGAGGGAGACACCCCCCACAGATGGAGACTTCCTTCACAAATGCAAATATCTCTCATCAAACGGCAAGCAAATTCCACTCCTCAGAGCCTCCTTCTCATCTGCAGTTTTTAAAAGTAACCAGCCTAAAATCCTCATCACAATCCGATGGTATTAACGATCATCATCATGCTATGTACTAGATCCCAGAACTTATTCATCTTATGACTGAGAGCTTGTACCCTTTTACCAACCAGTCCTTATTTCCCCCATCCCCAGTGCATGGGTTTTCTGACTGCTGCCTGGACCCTGATTCGGTAACGAATTTGGGCTTGAACACAGTGCTGATGGGAAATTCGGTGCTGGTAATTCATGGCCCACAGTGGCATTATGACCGAGCCAAGTATCACCTGGTTGATATGATCAAGTGCTGACTGAAGCAGCACCCTGGAGGACCACGTGGCTGCTGCCTTGGACTGTTGTGGCAGTAAAGGTGACTACAAAGACTATGGGAAGGATCCTTCTGAGTGCGCCAGTTTGCTTACAGAAAGAAAATGACAAGATTAGATCTGTAAACTTTCAGCCAAAGTCATGTTCAGAGACCCAGGGACATTTTATGGCAGCTATAGAATAATTTTATAGCTGCAGGGCTGATACTGCTAAAGATCAAACACGTAATTGAATTATGCATGTTGCGGAATCACAGCTTAATTTGAGTTCACAGCCTGAGAAAAATCTTTCGTGCGGAAGAAATGGCATTGATTATGAGGAAGTGGAGCCGAAGACTTGGGGACACATGGGTGGGCTCAGATAAAGTTGAGAATCTTGAACCCCTGAGTCACTTGGAGCCTCCTTGCCAGCGAAAGCAGCCCATCCTCTGGTATGTGAGGAGGGCAGCCTTCCTGTGTTTGAATATCCAGTAATCTCACCTGGAGCAGTTGTCTTGCAAGGGGATGCCAGTTGTCCTCAAAGCCCACACCAATCACCCTTGTTACCACTGGCCCCTTAACTATAGTCAGAGCCGCATGCTGCAGGGAGTAAGTACAAGGACTGACCCTGGAGGAAATAGCTTATGTGCCAAAAGAATTGCAAGTTTTGCTCATTTATGCAAGCAGAAACCTAGGGAATATGCGTGGGAATGGTTCTAAGGGTGTGAGAGTAAGGAGCATGGAATATGATTTTGCATCTGGTGCATTTATTGATCTGGTTGCACTTCCAGAAAGCCTGTATTTAACATGTTATCTCATGCAGCCAAATGTGGCTTTACCAGGATTCTTGGTTGGTTGACTAAGCATTGGACTCAGTGGTGGCCTGTGTTTAATGAGACTGAAATGTGAGAATGTCCCTGATATCAGGTAGAGAAAGGAATCCAAAGACTTATCAAGATGGAAATGCTGCAATGGATCTATCACGTATGATGTGCACACCGACCACCCCACCAAGAGGGCCCAGAGGATGCTCCCTTTAATGAGGCACTGAGAAACATTGGTGAGGGAAACACCAGCATCCTTGGATAGCTCAGTGGACCCCATTCTCTGCAGGCCACGTGTGATGGTGGGAGATACTGCAATGAGATGAGGTCCCCCATTTCAGCGGGGATGATGGGGCCCTAGATACTTGAGAAAGTGGGAGAAGTAAGACCAGAGCTGGAGGAACAGAAGAGTCTCATTCATGGTTTCTAACGGCAAAGGAGAACTATGGTTTTCATTGGCTATATGACAAAGCTCCACTGGTCATCCTATCTATGGGCAGGTGGTATAGGAGTCTTCTAATTTTCCTCTATACCACGTCCATTTTGGAAGATTTTTACCTTGAGGATGAAGACATGTATTGCATGGATTAAAAAAAAGAAAAATTCATTATGGATTATTTCAAACATTCACTAAAGCAGAGAAAATAGAATAATGTGCCCTCATGTCCCCTAGCTTAGGTCATTATCAAGTCACAGATAGGTTTGTTTCGTCTATACCTCCATCCAACCCATTATATTTTTTCCAGCTTTATTGAGGTATAATTGACAAATAAAATTGCATATATTTAAAGTGTACAACGTGATGGTTCGATACATGTATACACTGTGAAATATTTACCGCAAAGTCAATTAACACATCCGGTATCTCAGTTACCTTTTGTCTGTGTGTTGAGAATGCTTCAGATTTACTCTCTTAGCAAACTTCAAGTATACAATCCAGTACCATTAACTATAGTCACCACCCAGCCCAGTATTTTAAAGCAGACCAGTTGTCATATTATTTAATCTCTAAATAATTGGATGTGTTTATAAAAGATAAGGTTTTAAAAAATATATGTAACCACAATTAACACATTCAGAAAAATGAACAATTATTCCTTTATATCAAGTAGAATGAATGGTTATTAAAATAGTGTCAAAGACGCAAGCACTCTTTTCTGAAAGCTGAAAACGTGCCCTTCTTATCAAAAATGGGCCTCACTGGGTTAAGTTTAGGGCTGCAACTGGATAACCTCCCTTCATTTGCTTGCCCCACTGGGTTAAGTAGCCACAGAGTTTCATTTCACTTTTTCCCACTTTTCCTTGGAGGGGGTCTAAAACTCAACCCCCTCTACCCCGGGTGGGACTCGAACCCACAATCCCTGGCTTAGGAGGCCAATGCCTTATCCATTAGGCCACCGGGGCTGGCAAGAGGTGGGTTGCAATGGTCTTAGACCAGTCTCTCAGTCTCCTCTCTGTGGTTCCCGCAGGTTATGCACGGCCTCCCGCCTCTGTGCTGGCCTCTCAACGGCTCCTTGACACCTGTATTTGGCTGGCCCCCTGGCTCAAATCTTGCCGGCTCTCGAGCATCCTCGGACCCCAAAGAGGCCGCTCACAAGCGGTGGAGCTCAAAGACCTGGGGCAGCAGGTGTCAAATCGGTTTGTTGGACTTGGGGGATATGATCCTCGCTTAGGGTGCAAGAGGTCTCGGGATCAAATCCCTGCGAGCCCTTTCCCCTCTCCTTTTAGAGAATCCGGGTCCGGGGGTAACTACTCGCCCGAAGGCGTTTCCGATGCAAAATGTGGGAGAGGAAGGGATGGGGGACCAGCCCGGAGCCTGGGAAAAGGGCTGGTCCCTTTCCGCGTGCTCCTCCTCATATGGCCCTTAGACCGAAAGTGTCACCTGGGCCCAGGTCTGCGCGGGTTTTAGCAGGATCCCAGCCGCCTTAGGTCTTTGTCCTAAGGACCCTCCATACCGGCTCTGTCTCCGCCCCGCTATCTCAGTCGGTAGAGAATGAGACTAGAATCCAGCGTTTACTTTCCTACCATAAGATGGATGTTCTTTCTCATCTTTAAAATGTTTATCTTAATGAAGTTTTTCTTCTTCATATTTATGAGCCCTTAGTAACCCGCTGAAACACCACAAAAACGATAAAGGAGAAAGTGACACTCCGCATAACCGCAGGTCACTTGCGCCCACTGCCCGGGGTACACGCTCAGCTGACATGCTCCCAGCGTTTACCCTGATGGGAGGAGGTCCCGTCACCTTGGTCATTCCGCTTAGCCAGAATCCCTTGGAGAGAACTCAGTTTTGCAGGTAGAGACATTTTTTCACGGAAAAATGATGACTCAATCCTGGGCATATTCTTTATATTTAAATTTTTAAATACATATTCACAGTAGTTATTTAAGGGTACGCTCTCATTGCAAGAAATAATCTATTAGATTTATAAAACTTTTTACTGTAGTAAAAAATATATATAACGTTAAATTTGCCATTTTAACCATTTTTAGGCGTACAATTCAGTGGCATCCGTCACGTTCACAATATTGTGCAACCATGACTACTATCTACTTCCAAACCTTTCTCATCACAATAATCTATTATATTTTAAAACGCAACGTCCTCTGACCCCCTTAGGGCAAATCACTCCCACCCCCCAACAGTCCAACCCTTCGTCAGTCACAGTTCTCCTCTTCTAAACCGTAATTCACGTAGCCAATCCCGAATGGGCTCTCGGGACTCGCGGCCTGTGGCTTCAGGCTCCGTAGTCCGCGCGGATCCGGCCGGCATTGATCCCCGCAGCGCCCTCGGTTTCGCCCCGGATCTGGAGTTCGGCGGGTGCAGGCACAGGGATGCGTCCCGAGGGCAAGAAGGCGGGGCGGGGCCGGCGGTTGGCCCAGCCCGAGCGACCTGGGCCGGCGTAGGGTGCTGTCCAGAGACCGGGAAAATTTTAAGGCGAGGGAGAAAAACGTGCCCTACAGCGACCACGAAGGGACTCGAACCCTCAATCTTCTGATCCGGAATCAGACGCCTTATCCATTAGGCCACGCGGCCCTGCTTTTGACAGTTGTGCAGCTTTTCCCATAGAGCCTGTGCAGGAGCCTGCGCAGTGTACCGCAACGCGCATGCTCACAGCGGCGAGGAGCCCCCGCCTCTTGGGCTCCGTGTGGGCGGGGCTCCAAGAGGAGCACCAGGCCCGGAGCAGGACTGAGCGCCGGACGTTTGGCAGGGACGGTGGGCGCGGGCCTGTGAGGGGGAGTTCGAGTCCCGGGGGCGCTGCCCAAGCCCCTCCTGCTCCGAGGGGCCCCCTGGGATCTCTTTCTCCAAGGGCCCCCGGCCCACGTTGGGCCAGGAGCTGCCCACTGCTCCCCCAGAGCCTGTGATTCCTCCCCGCCCCGCCAAACCTGCAGTCTCTGTTCCAGTCTTATGGCCCCAGACTAGACGCTGACCGCCGTGAAGGCGGGGTCGCGTCTCCTGCATCTCCACGGCCTAGCGCGGGGCGCGTGTGCTAGGAGAGCGCTGTGGACCCCGGCAGCCCCTTCCCAGGACTTCTAGGCCAGCCCAGCCCGTGTTGGCAGGCCTGGCCTCGTATCCGCCTTTATGAAGTGCCAGGCACTTTGCATACATTCTCTCTTACTGTCGCACCTCTCTGAGAGCAGGCACTGTTCACGTGTACAGCGACCATCAACATGTTTATTGCACGCTCGCTGAGCGCCGGCGCCCGTGCTGTGATGCTCCGTTTACAGGCGAGGAAACCGCGGAGCGGAGGGAGTCAGTGATGGCGCTGGGGTGTGGCCCCCACTGTCGATTCCACCTGAGCGGCCTCGGGCGCGGTCAGGCCTGCAGGCAGAGCCGGCGCCTCAGCGAGCTGCGGATCTCCAGGCAGGCCTTGCGGCGCTCGTCGCTGTCGGGACCCAGCACGTCCAGCTCACACACCCGCCGATTCACCTGCGAGGACCACTCTCACGGCTGCCTCGACATCTTTGGGCCTTACGGGGCCCCAAAGGCGTAATCATAAGTCCCCCTGCTCCTCTCAGATGTGCCCCCCACCCAGCGGAAAAAGCTCCCCACCTGCACTAGTTCCCCCACCTGCCAGACCCAGCCGCACTGCACCCCGTCCTCAGCCTGAGGGGCCTCAGTTCCCTGCCAGCCTGCAGAACTATTCAAACGAACCAATCACCTCCTCCCGCGGGAACCAGGGGGCGCCCCACCCCTGTTACCACAAAGCCTGCAGCCCACGGCCCCTGCTGGCTTGCTCTGCTCCGGAGTGCAACCCGAGCAGCGCTGTGTGGCAACCCGAACGGTGTGTAATTATACATAAGATATATAATCTTTCCCCAGCTGTGGGTTTATGAGACTAATAACTGCTGTCCATCTCACCTGTCCAGTGTGGGTGTTGTGTGTTCGGCCATCTCTTACTGCTGAGGGTGGGGGATCACTCCCTCCCCAGCCGGGTGAATAGCAGGTGATCAGAACACCAGGGCCGGGGAGAAGGATGCATCCAGCCCTTCTCCCCCTATTGCCACTCCCCAGGCCCCAACACACCTCAGTCAGCAGCTCCAGGAGGTCTCCCTTGGGGTCAGCTCTGAGGACCTCCACCAGCGTCTGGATAAAGTCTGAGCCCGTCTCATCCCGATAGGCTACACAGCCTAGGCCAGGGGACCAGGGTCGGGGTATCAGACTTGGGCACCTACCCACTGCTTTCCAATTCCCCAGGGGCCTATTGGTGGTGGAAGTGGGGGTCAAGCACACAGGACCCCGGGGGGCAGGCAGGGAATGGGGCAGGGAGCGGGAACTTCTTGCTTCTGGAACCAGTTGTTGCTCAACATTTGAGGAGTGAATATATGATGGATTCAGTATTGAACAAACATGCCCTATGAACCCACAATGTGCCAGGCACTGGGCAGGGCCCTGAGGCAGACAGAACCGAGCTGCCTTCATGGAACTTACAGCCTGGAGGGAAGGGTGTAGGTGTGGTGCTTGGCACAGTCAGCCCTGAAGACGACGTGCTCACCAGCATTACTACTTTATAAATAATAAGCATGGAAGGAAGAGGGCTTAAATGCAACTGGGCTGGTGCCCCTGCTCCCCAACCCCCAAGCCCTGGCTGCCCCTAAAGGCACTCCAGATCTCCAGCCAGGAGGCTGGGCCCTGTGTAATGGGGCTTCTTGACAACTGGTCCTCTTACCCTCGGCGGCTGCGTAGACCATCAGGATGTCTGCCTGGTCAGAGCTCCCTGCAGTGGGGCCCCTGGAGGAGCTGCCTGCAGGAAGGATCAACTCCGTTTACCCAGCATCCTGGGACTCCACCAGCCCCTGGGTCTCCCCAAGTCTGGCCCAAGGGCAGCCCAGGGCAGTGGAGAGTGCAGGGCAGGAAAGAGATCAGAATTCAAATGTCAGCCCTGCTGCTGACCAGCTGTGTGACCACAGAAAAGCCATCTCACTTTCCTGACTCCAGAGTGGTTTCTAAGCTCAAATAGGAGAAGAAGCCCTTGGTTTTCAAAGTCCCTCGAGGTTTAGGAAGGTTTCCCTTCCCATCCTCTTGGCAAAGAGAGGACGGAGGTGGCAGCAGAACCCCAGCTCAGAGCCCTGGAAATGTGCTCTGGACAGCTCCCCCACAGCCCTGCCAAGCCCAGGGTCCGGAAAGAAGGCAGTCCTACCTTGGGCATCGGCATAGACCTGGAGGACATCGGCATGGGAGGGGGTGGCTGGTGGTGCCCGCAGCCAGCGCCAGAACCAGGAGAGAGCTGTGGGCCCCAAGCCAGCGTCCCTGTGCCCTGGGGAAGGAGAGGACAGTCAGGTCGTTTCAGTCAGCAGATACCTGGGGGTGCCTCCAGGGCTCCAGCGCAGGCCTGCCAGGCTGGAGACATTCTGAGTGCTGAATGAAAAGTGCTGAGGGTGACATGCTCAAGTTCATGGCCCTGACCTCTACGAGAGGCGGGGGAGGGGGTGGGGAAAGGACTGGGGCACAGGCTTCCTGGAGGAGGTGGGCAGCAAGTCCTAGGAGCCTGAGAAGGCTAGGGCAGGAGGGGCAGGCTGGAGGTGGGCCCCAGGCCCCGCTCACCCCCACGGCAAGCCTGAAGCAGGAAGATCTTGGGGCGGCCCCGCAGGGCCCTGCAGCAGCTCAGCTCCCGCACCAGTGCCTCTGGTTGTACCTCTTGCCCGTCAGCCCCCAGCAGCTGTCCCTGAGGCCCTCCATGCGCCATCAGGGCCACAAGGGCACAGCTCACGGGGCCCCTGTGGGCGTCCAGCCACTCCCGGAACTGGGCCAGCTCCTCCTGGAAAGCCTAGGGTGGGATGGAGATTGAGGCTTGGGCCAGGGCAGCTGCCTCCCCAGGACCTGGCAGTCCTCGAGGTAGGCTTCTCCAGCGCCCTGCCTGCCCTACCTCCCGCCTTCTATCAGCCTCAGGCCCAGGGAGGAAGTCTTTTTTCTAACCCCCATGCTGCATGGCCTGGTATGGCCTCATCGGGGTGACACGTGGGTCCAGGTGCCTGCAGCTGGTGTTCTGGCCCCAGAAGAGAAGCTGCACCAAAAAGTTAAGAGGCGTGAGAGGCCGGCAGTGAGCTGACAGGTGTCTGGGAAGGAATCTGAGATGGTCCCAGGAAAAACCTGAGGGTCCAGCTGGGGCCTTGAGTGGGGGAGCAGAGAAACAGCAAGCGTGGGAGACCGCAGGAGACCGGGCTTCCAGAGGGAAGGAAGTGGGTTCCCAGTGCATGCAGCGGGGAGGATGGGGGCTGGACTTGGGGCTGCACTTCCTGCCCATAATGGCTGACAGGCCGAGGAGAGACTCCTCAGGGTCCAGGGGTGCCTTCCTTCAGAGCACCACAAGTTCTGGGCTTCCCCTCACCTGGGCTGTAGGATCGGTCATCAGGGTGGTCTCAAAGCCCAGGGCCTGGCACAGGCCCCAGAGCGCCTCGACGTCGTGCTGGGCCCCAGAGCGGCCCCGGATAACGGCCAGGAGGAGGGCGACCCTGGCCCCGGACAGGTCATATTGAGCGCTGGGACTGGGTTCTGGCTACAGACAGGGTTAAGGTGCATTCAAAGTGGCCTGAGGACCTCCCAGCTCTCGCCTCCCCCATCTCTGGTCTCCCTGAGCCTCTGTCCCACTGGCAACTGCTGTCAGATGATTGGATCCCTGCCCTGGCCCCCTCACCTCAAGCCCCCAAGGTTCCGTGTCCCCCAGGCACAGTGCCCCCCGCAAGGAGCTCCGAAGGACTGGGCAGTAGGTGGCCCCTGAGAACTCTTCAGCTATCCTGCAGAAGACCTGGGGAGAGGCCAGAGGACACCTCAGAGGGCTGCTACATGGGCGTGTGTGGGGGGGGAATGAGGATCCTGGCTCCAGGAAATAGTTCAGCCAGGATCATGGCTATTACAGTCTCTTTGGGGTCCCCTGCCAGAACAGAGAGGAGGAGACAGAGGAAAGGAGGGAGGTCATGAGGGGGGTTCCAGTTCAGGCTCAAGGTCATGGGCATCCCTGGATATGGATGGCCTCAAGTGGACATTGGCCATGCCATTAACCACTGCCCTTCCATCTTTTGGGGGAGGGCACCAGGCTGGGGAAAGCTGTGGAGCAGAACCAGGGCCCAGCCCTCACCTCCAGGGTCACCCAGGGGCCACCCAACTGCCCAGTGAGAACTTTGGGCCTCAGGACCAGATCTGAATCATTCCCAGCTCTGACATCCAGGGACCCACAGTCTGACAGGACAGTCACTGCCTGGGTGAGTATGAACAGAGATGGGTAGAATTATAAGCATCGACTCAGGAAGGCTGAGGAAGGGCATCACTGACAGCCTGGAAGGGACTGTGTGATGCTGGCAGGGACAACAGTGAGGGCACACAAGTAGAGGGCATAGCCTGGGCAAAGGCATGGAGTTCTGAAGATTCTGGTGTCTGGGGGACCCTGAGTGGGCTGAAAGGAAGGGCACAGGTGGGAATGGGAGGCGAGGCCCTGTGGCTGACACCACATGTGTAAACAATGAAGATTTTGTAGAATGAACGGGTGGGGAGCATATGAATGAATCTAACTGTCTAATGGGTTCAGGAGAGCACAGCAGGGCCAGGGGAGTTGAGCGGCGCAAGCCCCCTCCCTAGGAATCCCCATCTGGAGCCCCCACCTCTGTCAGCAGCTGCAGCAGGGACCAGTGAGGACAGCGGCCACAGAGCTCACCCAGGCTAGTGAGGAAGGCTCCAGGCTCAGGGGCAGCTGAGTGGAGAAGCAGCACATTGGCCCGGAAGGGAGGGTCTCAGGCCCCCTGCCCACCCTCCCTCACCCCAACATTGCCCTGCCCCACAAGCAGAGCTCCTTGCCCTGCCCACTCACCCCCAGGAGCACTCGAGAGCAGCAGGAAGACTTTGGGGCAGCCCCGCAAGGCCCCACAGCGGCTCAGCTCCTGGACCAGCTGCTGTGGCTGCCTCAGCAGCCCACTGGGGGCCACCAAGGCCACTAGGACACAGCCCACAGGGCCCCCATGGGCATCCAGCTGCTCCCGGAAGCCAGCCAGCTCCCCAAGGAAGCCCTAGGTCAAGAGTGAAGGCTGGGCTTGGGTCCAGGGAGGCCCCAGGTTGGGGCGGAGGTGGGAGGCGGGCAAGGGCTCACCTGAACCAAGGCCTCCCTCCTCTGCCAGCTCTCAACGCGCAGGGCCCGGAATATGCCCTCCAGGACAGCCACTGTAGAGGCCGACACCCCAGGGCTGCTGAGAGTCAGGGCCACCTTTGGACCCTGTGTGCTGTACTTCCCCTGGGGAGGCAAGGCCAGAGTTGGGCTGGAGTGGGGCTCAGCCAGGAGCCAGGAGTGAGCTGGGCCAGGCAGAGCCTCCACTACCTTTCTCCTTAGGCTCTCCTGAGTGTCTGCCACCATTGCGGCCACCCGCAGGGTCCCAGCCACCAGGAAGGCCATGGGGGCCAGGTGGGCACTTCCTCTGAGCACAGAGCTCCCGCCCTGGTACCAGTACCCTGGGTCCCAACCCTTCCCCTGTCCCTGCGCTGTGTCCTATCAGCTCTGTTTATGAGCTGAGTCGGACTCTGCCCCTCTCCTGGAACCCTGAGTCCTGGGCCCTACTCCCTGCTATTCCGACTCCAGCGGGCTACTTCCTGGCTGGCATTGACATGCCCCACCTGAGCCAGGACCCATGTCCAATCCTATTCTTAGCTCCTGGCCCACCTCCCATCTGATCTCGTTACACCTGAGTGTCTCCCTTCTGAACCAGCCAACAGCACCAACAAAGTCCAAGCACTCTCCTGCCACCTGTCACCTCCTACTCAGTCATGCCCAGCGCCCACACACATGCACACAGCAGCCGCCAGCATGAGGGCCTGGGGAGCATGACAAGCATGCTCCAGAGGCAGAAACCCCCAACTGGGGTCAGCTGTCCACAGTGAGACCCCGGTTGCCTCATCTGCAAAATGGGGTCCATCGCAGCAACCTCAGAATGATTTGAGTGTCACATGGGGGCTGCTGAGGAAGGGCCCAGGAGGCAGAGAAGCTGGCACACACACAGACCAAGGGACAGAACACCTTGTCTCAGCCGCCCCCACTGCCCTTCAGGCAGGTCCACTGAGGCCATGACCAGGTGAGTCAGAAAGCGCTCACCAGAGGCAGAAAGAGCTCTGACCTGCACCCACCAGCTCCTGGGGCCTGCGCAGGGGAGCGGTCAGATGTCAAAGGCTGGATGGGGAATGGGGGCCCTGCCCATTTTGACTCAGCAGCCCTTTCTCCATAAGGGATCTGAGCACAGGGACTGGCTTTGAGTTCTGGATCCCCTACCAGCAGTGTGAGCATACCACCACCCTGCCCAGTCACCCCATCTCCAAGCCTCTTTCTTCGTTTCACCAATGGGGAGAAAGGAGGTGTCCTGGCAAAGACCCCAAGTCCTGCTCAGCTCCCCCATTCTCTTGCTGGAGTAGGGAGGGGTACTACCAGTTGTCCCACCTTGAGCTGTCCCTAGACTAGGGCAGGCACTGGCTGACACAGGAGGATGAGAGTCCTGAGGCTCGTGGCTGCCCTTCGGGCCCAGTAGACCTGGAAGCCAAGAATGTGGCTCCACCTGGTGACCACGTAGCACCACATGCCACCAGGACTACCAGGCCAAGAGGCAAAGGGGTATGAACTCCAGATCCCTCCACCCAGCAGCCACCTAGAGAACACAACAACTTGGAGGCAGTTTCCGCATTTATTCAGACCCTTTGGCTGCCCTTTAGAGGCCAGCTGGGCCAAGCTCCTTTGGAGGGCCTACGGTCTGTCCCTGTGAATGCCAGTCTGCAGATGATGCAGATGCCGCCATGGAAAGCAGTGCCTAAAGAGTCAGCAACAAAGTGCTGACGAAGTGCTAGTGTTAAGTACCATAGACCCCATGCCTCTGGAGGAATGGGGAGCAGTGCGCCTCCGCTAGCCCTGTTCTTAGACTGCACGGTCGCCCTCCTGTCCCTGGAGCCACCATGACCCTCGCCAGACTGGGAGGGAATATCTCTCAGGGACGCACTCGTGGGAGTCGGGGGAAGTCTGCTGAGAGCGGAGGCAGGCAGCTTCTGGGTCACAGGGACAGGGCAGAGTGGTCATGGCCTGGAAATGGGAGAGGGTAGAGGCCAGAAAGGCCCTGTAGCCATGCCCAGGACCCACATCATCAGAGGTGTGGGCTGACACTCCCAGAGCCCAGCAGTGCCCTGGGGGTCAAGGCCTATTCCTCCACTCTCACCAGAAGGCACAGCTTGGCAGGGCAGAGGGCTGGCCCACACACCCAGCCGAGAAGATAGGGAGCAAAGAGCCACGAGGGAAGCAAGGCTGAGGGACTTCTCGGATAGGGACTCCAGGCCCCGCCCGAGGCCTCACACTTCCCTGCTGCCCCAGTGTCTCCCCTACTTTAATGCCACTGGCCCCGAATGTGCGGGGGAGGGGAGGCTCCAGGAAGCCAGAGGGCAAGAAAAACCCTCGGAGCAGGAAGGGAATGGTGCCAAGGTCATAGGGGATTTCCATTTCAAGTCCCAGGGCAGAGCAGGGCAGTCAGCCGGGGCAGTGGCTACAGACGGGGCTTGAATTCCCGAGGGGGAGAGGGGAAGCTGCGCTAGGGAGATCGCCCTGCTCTGGCCCTCACCCCACGGGCTGGGCCATCTTAGCGTGCAGGCTCTGGTGGGCAATGAGGTGGGCGCGCTGCTTGAAGCTCTTGTCGCACTCGCCGCAGCCGAAGGGCCGCTCGCCCGTGTGCACGCGCCGGTGGTCCAGCAGGTAGGAGCGCAGCGAGAAGCTCTTGCCGCAGTCGCTGCAGCCGAAGGGCTTCTCGCCGGTGTGGATGCGCTGGTGGTCGGCCAGGTAGGCGCTGCGGCTGAAGCTCTTGCCGCACTCGGAGCAGGAGAAAGGCTTCTGGCCCGTGTGCACGCCCTGGTGGCGCACGAGGTCCGAGGAGCTGCGGAAGCTCTTCTCGCACTCCTGGCACTTGTGCGGCTTCTCGCCCGTGTGCGTGCGCTGGTGGCGCGCTAGGTCGGAGCCCCAGCGGAAACGCTTGCCGCACTGGCCGCAGCTGTGAGGCTTCTCGGCCGCCAGGTCCCGGAACTGCCGCCGGCGCGTGGGCGGCCGTCCTCGCCGCGCCCCTACTGCCCGCCCCAGGGTCGCCCCTGGCCGGGCCTCGCTCTCCCAGACCTCAGCCTCCGCAGGGCTCCAGGACACAGTCACGTCGCCGCCGGCCTGACCCGGGAGCGCCTCCTCTGGCCGGGAATGCTCACTGTGGCTCTTGAGCCCCAAACCTGCAAGCGGAGAGGAAGTGGCCTCTTCAGACCCACTTGGTTCTGGGGCCAGAGCTGAGGCCGGCAGAAACAGGGCTCAGGGGCAAGCGCCTTGGCAGTCCCTCGGACAGCCCAGGCTCCAGCAGAGCCCAGGTGCAGCTTCGTCATCCACACAACGGTGACATGACCTATTGCCACAGAGAAAAGTCTAGAGCCATGGCAAGGCGCCTATGGGCTGATCTGCTGGCCAGGGAATCCTAGTCACACACCTGATCGACCTGGGCCTCGGCTGCCACACTGGGGTCTTACGTCTCACTCTCTGAAACCTGGCTGTTCAAACTCCCTAAATGAAGAGATTCAGGTAAAGGCTGTAAATTGCACAGACTCTTACCATTCAAAGCAGAAACTGAGGAACCACATTGGTTCAGCTAAGGTGGTTCCTCTCACTACACAAGCTCTCCTTCTCCAAACTCAAGAACAAACATTTAGACTGGGAGGAATCCTGGTTCATCCCATTGGATTGTGTGGATTAAATGAGATGATCCCCAAATAGTGCCCAGGCTTGGAGAGGGACCCCAGGATTGTGGCCTCTACTGAGCAGGGCCCAGGCCTCGTGGCCACGCAATAGGTGATTTCACTGCCAGCATCTCTTCACAGGGCAGGCTGAGGGCCGTGACAACCACTGTCTACACTGAGTCTCAGCTCTGTCCCTTCAATGTCTGGTCACCTCTGAGTCTCAGGTCCCTCGACTGTAAAACGGGGACAACATTTCTATGCCCCGGGTTGTGCGGATCAAATGAGATAATGCCCATACAAGTGCTCAGCACAGCACTAGCATGTCGCACGCACCTGTCACATATCAATACACTTAGAAGGCAGAGAAAGATGAACATTAACACAAAAGAGAAATCACCCAGGACTCTTGAAGGGACCCAGGGAAAGCCTACCTTGGAGCCAGCTAAGGAGCAGGTGGGAAGGAAGACTGAGGATTCCAGCAGGACATGCAGGGGTGTGGCCTGCCTTTGCCCACCTTCTGCTGCTGGGATCCTGAAGGAGGCTGCAGCCTACTCCTCAGAGGAGCCAAGGATTCCAAGGGTCCCAGCTGTACCCACTGCTTACCCAGAGCAATGTTCCGGGTGTTCTCCCGCTTTATGTCCCAGAAGAGATCTCTCTGAGCAGGATCTAGGGACCCCCATTCTTCCCGGGAGAAATAGAAGGGAATGTCTCCAAATGTCACAGGTCCCTGGAATGAGGTGAAAAAACCCAGCTCAGGGCTGCCTTGCTCAGGACTCCCCAGGCAACTGTGGGCGGGGGCAGGAAGGGGGTTGGGATGGGGACAAGGATGGGTCCAGGCAGGAGTGGGATAGATGGAAGAGGCTTTGATGAGAAGGCAAGGCTCACTTTAGGGACTCAACACCTCAGAGGGGACAAAGAGACTGATAACTCACAGGGACCCCAGAGGCAAAGCAGGTGTCCGTCGTCTCTCTGGCACTCCCCTCTTTAAGCAGAGCAGGAAACTGGGCTGAAGGAAAAGAACGGAGCCTCAGAGAAGCCAGCCAGGCCGGAAGTGAGACCTCACATGCTCTCCTGCGCATGATGCACACACACACGCACGCACGCATACGTGGGCACGCACGCACAGGCACCTAGGTTTCACAGGACACAAATACCCTTCCTACTCTTAGGGCAATGCCTGGGAAGGAGCCAGGCCCCAGCCCAGTCACTCTGCAGCCTACCAGCTTACTCACCACCATGGCTGTGCTGCTCCCAGGGTACAGGCGGCTGGCGTTGTGCCCCCACCTTTGGGGGAGGCCCCTTGGCCTGGGATCCATGGACTGTAGCCTCGGGTTCCACCTCCTCTGAGGGCACATCCTGTGCAGGAACCACAACATGCTCATCAGGACCGACACCAGACCGGGGAGACAGAGTTTAATCCCTGGGAAGGAGACACAGGACATGACCCTCAGGATCCTGAGGTGCGGGGAAGGAGATCAACATGGGGCCCCAGGAAAGTCCAGAGGAGAATGTGACACCAGGCAGTGCTGCGTGCTCAAGGACATTTCTCGATCAAGCATGAGGCCAGAATCAGCCTCCAAAGGCCAGAATCACAGAACCACTTAGCAAGGGGGCGTGGGGGAACCTTCCTGTCATGGGCAGAACCCCACACCCCAGCCACTCATTAGCACCTCCCCAGATGCTTCCAGTGTTAAGGACCCAACTCCCCACAAGACAGCAGGGTGGACAGCTCTACCTTCTCACACCCACTCTGGTCCTCTCATTACGTGTATCACTGTATCCCCAGGGCCTAACCTAGAGCAGAACAGGAACAAAGATCTGCAGAACCTGTGTGGAGCTAAAGCCTGCCTTCCTGGAACATGCCCACCCTGGTCCCGCTGCTGTCTTTCAAAGCTACCAAAAAGAAACCAGATTCATTTGGACAGTGTCTTTCAGAAAGCAGCATCTGTTATGATGTGCTCCTGTGGATGCTCCCTCAAGCTCTGCGTCCCCACCACTCCTGGAGACTCTTCTTGATGGAGATGGCCCTCTCTTCAGCCCAGAGGCCCCTCACCTGCGGCCAAGCTTTCACTGGCTGCTTCTGCAGGTCCTCCACCAGGGCGACGGCTTCCTCACCACTCCCCGGGCATCGCTCACGCACCCAGCCCTGGACGCCCCCAGGCAGCACACTTAGGAACTGTTCCAGCACCAGCAGCTCCAGGATCTGCTCCTTGGTGTGTAGCTCGGGCCGCAGCCAGCGGCAGCAGAGCTCCCAAAGCTGGCTGAAGGCCTCATGGGGCCCACCTGCATCCCCATAGCAGAACTGCCGAAAGCGTTGGCGGCAGGTCTCGGAATCCCTGCTGTCCTCTTGCTGGGCAGAGTCCTGCTCCCAGGAGGAATCTTCCACCTTGACGATCAGAAGCCCTTCTCCCTCCCCAGGGGTCTGGTCTCGAGGCTCTGGGGTGGCTGCCATCCCCCTGCCCTACGGCTCAGGGCTGGTGGGCCTCAGCCTGGGCCTGGGAGCCCACCCTTCAGTCTCCCAGAGGGATCCCCTGTGGTAGCCGGGCTGACATCTGGACACGCACTCCTGGGGAAAAAATAAAACAGGAGAGGGCAGTACATGAGCCAATGCCAGCCTGGAGGGACATCCAGGAACTCCAGCTCCCATCCTGTGGTGGCCCTGAATCCTTTTTTAGGCTCTCCTGTAATACCTTGCTCACGTGACTCTCTCTCCTACTAATACAGGCCCACAGCCCCTTATCCTCAGTTCTGAAATCCAAAACTCCCAGTTTCCACCACCTGACCTGCTATATGAGCCTATTTACAATCTCCATTTATCCTACTTAAAGTAAACGTTCACATTTTTATGGCAGAAATATTAACGTATTTGCTCAGCTTATAAAAACTCATCAAGCTGTATTTATAATGTATATTTCCGTATGTATATTATACTTCAATTTAAAAATTTTAATTAATTCATTTGATTATTCAGTGTTCTCCCAGAATTTATGGGTGGTGTCACTTGATATACCATATGGGCACTGTATTATCTTCCTCAAATATAAAAATTCCTGAATTCCAAAACACATCTGGCCCTGGGGGTCAGCAAAGGGCTCACAGACACCATCCTAAGCCACTTACCCACAGGTACATATGAATGTATAGCACATATTTATATCTTATTGCCACTCACAATAGTTCTGAAAAGTGTGCACTTTGGAGTCTTCTTTAATTGCTTTTTCTTTCAACCATACAAACCATTGTAATACAGAAGGGGGAATTTAAACAAAACAGAAATACATAAAAGAGAAACTCTCTCTTCCACACTGCAGGTGCCCCTCCATTAACAGTCTCACATATAACCTCCCAGACCTTTTCTTGCCTTATTTACTGAAAATGTGTCTATAGAAAAGAAAAAATTAAAAGTGCTTTGTGCGTGCTTTTACATCAATGAGGTCTTACTGCACATACGGTTTTGTAATCACCTAACTGTTAGTTTCCACCTAACGACGCTTCCCAGGGAGCAGCTCTGGGAGATTCCGCAGTATGGAAGTGCTCCAGTTCCTCAACCAACACCCGAGCGAGGCAGGCAGGCAGGTTGTTTCCAGTTCTTCTCTACTACACACTAGCACTTTCTTCACTTTATTCTTCTCCTTCTCACAACACCCCTGAAGTACGCACTCCACTCTCATCCTCCAGTGACCGAGGAGGTTCGGCTCGGAGAGAGCCAGGGACTCACCAGGGTGGCTCGGCAGGACGCGGCGGGCGGGAACGCGGACCCGCCCGGAGCCCGGCGCTCCGTCCCCGGCAGCCTTGCCCGCGCAGAGCTGAGAGGCGGCGGGGCGGGCAGCGGGTGCAGGAGCCCCGGGCTCCCCTCGGCACTTCCCAAAGGTGTGCGTCCCCTTCGGTGTCTGCCTCGGGGCGCCAGCCCCGGCCGCCGGGAGCCCCGCTCTCGACCTCGGAGCCCGGCGGCCCGCGTCGCCGGTCCCGCCCCCGGGACACACCGCCCACAGCCACCCAGGCGTTCCCAGTTCCGCCGCAAGGCCCAGGCGCCGGAAGTTGGCGCGGCGCTCGCCGGGAAGCGACACAGCGCAGGCGCCGAGACAACCGCTGGAAACTACACAACCCAGTCGGTCGTTCCCCTGTTAAGCGTGGTGCCTTCTCCCTGACAGATGGCCAATGACCGGGGAGAACCCGTAGGGCTGGTCTTCTGGCAGCGACGCCATGCCCGTCAAAACCCATGCCACTCGGCTGGGGTCTGCGCCAAAACTGGTGCTGTGCCGCTCTCTAGATTTAGCTTTAGCTTCTCTGCTCCTCTGGCCCCTGATGGGCAAGAAAGGGAAGGAAGCTAAGGCTGGCCTGGTGGGCGGAGACGGCGGCTGACCCAACCGCGAGTAGAGAGCTCGCTCCGCCGGAAGGGATGCGCTAGGATGGAATCTTCCTACCGAGGCCGGCTCTTTCCGCTCCAGAGTGGGTGGAGGGCCGAGGGGGCCGCGGCCTAGCAGCTGGAGCTCGGCCTGGGAGAATCGTCTCCAGCCTCTTGGGACTCGCCCTCGCCCAAGTCTTTAGCAGCTCCCAGCGGGGCGCAGAGCTTCCTGGAAGATGCAGCCCAGTGAAGGGCGTGGAGCTTCCTTCGGCGCTTATCCGTCTCCGAGCGTCGGCTGGGGTCGCTCGGCGGGACGCGGCAGGCGGGGACAGTGACCCCGGGGAGCCGCGCGGTCTCCCACCAGCGGCGTCGTCTGAGGGGCCGGGGGAATCTAGAGCAGGCTGGCCGTGTCCGGGAAGCTCTGGGTTCTCCTTCCATGCCTGTGAACCTGCTCCCACCCTCTCTACTTACTCCTTGACCTGGAGATCTGCAGCTGAAATAGAAAGAGCTTTCTTGTTTTGTTTTGTTTTGATTATGCAAGTATGGCATGCTTAGTGTAGAAAAGAAAGTTAAAGTGGAAAATTATACAGGCATCCATATCCACAAGGCTAGTTCCCTCACTCTGCTCAAATGTCACTCCCTCAAAGTGGCTTTCCCTAACCCTACGTAAACAGCCCCACCAACCCCATACCTCTGCCCTGCTTTATTTTTCGTCCTTTTATCACTACCTGACATATTTGTCTCCCACTATTTGACTGTAAGCTACATGATGTCAGACCGTTTTCACTGCCCTACTCCCAGCACCTAGAATTGTGCCTTGCATAATATTTGTTAAATAACTGAAGGTAAAAAATATTCCTAATAAGGCCATTCAAAAATAAACAGTATTAATATTTTAGTCCTGTTCGTACAGTTCTACATCTATAATAAATCTGGAATCATTCTATCTAAGTAATGTTTTGTTGACATGTAGGTCTATCAGGGATACCTTTCTATAACAGCACTTATAAACAAAATTCACCTATTTTGCAAGCTGCATAGTATTCCACAGCACGAAAGTTCCATATTTTATCTAAAGCCTCTTATTCCGTATTTGCAGATCATTTCTATATACACCTTCTTGCCTTTGCTTGAACTTGCTGGAGGGCAGGAGCCAAGACTGTTCTGTGAAGACTGCTGAAGTGGTTGCTACTTTCCCCCAAGGAAGAAGGAACTTCAAAGTCCTTTTTTCCAGGTGCAGCCTTACAGTGTTCTTCCGGCGCCCTCTATCAGCAAAGACTAACATCAAGTTGGCTAGCCAAGGAGAAATTCTACAGGGTCCAGCTACAGTATCACAAAGCAGGGCAAATAGGGTGTTTGGGGGCTGAGAGAAATAAATTGATAACTGGCACACCTGCCATGTATTCTATTGAGCATTGCTGGTAGATGATAAATTATTTTTATACAATTATATTTAAATTGACCACCTAGTTGCACTTTCTTTTCCTTCTGATAGTGTTTTATTTTCCTGGCTAGAAAATAAAATCTATAAATAATGGAAAAAGTACAATTTTTCTTTCCAGAAAATTTATATTCACTTCCAGAATTTATACTCATTATTTTCTTAGTCTTATAGCATTGTCCAGAACTCCCTAAACAATCTTAAAAATTGAGGACAGCAGCATCATTGTCTTGGTTAATGAAAATACTTTTAGTGGTTTACGACTGTCTATTGTCTCTGATATATATCCATGCTTATATTAAGGAGCATCTATTCTCATCTGCAGCAGAAAGACTGCTTGTTGTTCCCCAATATCAGTTTTCCCTTTCTATAGTAAGAATTTTTTGATGAGCACATGACCATTCAGAATAAAGAGTATGTTTTCCCAGCCGCTCTTGCATGTAATTAAATTGAAGCAAGTAAGTTGTGAGCAGACGTGATGTATGCATCTTACTAGAAAGGGATGAGCCATGTCTTCCTATTCTCTTTTCCCCATCTGCTAGCAGGAATTTGGACATAGTGGCATGGACCATGGAGATGAGAGTAACACCCAGAGGTGGCAAAGCAATAAGACAGAAGGTGCCTGGATTCCTGATGATTGTGGAGCCACCAGACTAGCCCTGGATTTATACCCAGGTAGTGATGTGAGAGAGAAATAGATACCGTTTAAACCACTGTTATTTTGGATCTCTATTACAACCAGAATGTATATCTCAAGTAGCACTACTGCCTACTAAGTTTTTTCATTAAAAATAGAAGTAGAAAAAATGTTTATTTTTATAATTTCTCCTATGGGATATTGGATATTCAGAATTTCTATGTCTTCTTAACTACATTTTGATAGTTTTAATTTTTCTAGGAAATCATCCTTTTCATCTACAATTTCAAATTTTTTTCTTTGAGGAAGATTAGCCCTGAGCTAACTACTGCCAATCCTCCTCTTTTTGCTGGGGAAGACTGGCCCTGAGCTAACATCCACGCCCATCTTCCTCTACTTTATATGTGGGACGCCTACCACAGCATGGTTTCCCAAGCGGTGCCATGTCCTCACCCGGGATCCAGACCAGCGAACCCCCGTCCGCCGAAGCGGAATGTGTGCACTTAACTGCTGCGTCACCCAGCCGGCCCCTACAATTTCAAATTTTTTAACATAAAGTTGTACATAGTATTCCCCTTTGATTAAAATTTTTTAAATCAGCATGTATGGTTTTGGGATCATGAGAGGGCACTTTAATGGCGGTGGAGCAGCAGGCTAGGACGACCCTCAGTCCCTGTTGACTTTGTGGATTAGGGCTGCCATCCCAGTCCTGCCATAGGCTGCTTACCTCCAGCCCACCTCGAGACTTTATCTTAAGAAATACACTTCCGTCTTGCTTAAGACCCCGTTATTCTGGGTCTGTTATTTGTAGTTAAACTGAATCCTAACGGTTTCACTACCTCGTAAGGTTGTTATAAAGATTAAATGAGAGAATACATGTGGACCACTTAGCCCAGCACTAACTCTGAACACACAGTAAGTGCTCAATACAGAGTGGTGAGTTCCAGGGAATTATGCATTACCAGGGACTGTCATATAGGCATGGCCACAGGAGCATAGGGGACATGAGAGACTGCAAGAGTTTGGCCCTCCAGGCATCTTTTCCCTGAAAACTGGAGCTCAACTTGTTCTGGTCAGGCCTGTTGGCTTGTATTAATCTTCATGGCTAGCCAGGAGCTTTGTTAGTTGAGGACAGAAAAACTGGTGTGCTCTAGGAGGTGACTGAGGTGCAGGCCACCGAGTGCTGCCTTTGCAACCCAGGCGGGAAGACTGCCTGACCCCATGTCACACGCTGGCCGAGGAGCAGGAGGATGAGAAAGGTTGGATCATCCTCGTAACCTCCTGTTCCCCACGCTCCGCGGGCCACCAGGGAGAAACTGGCCACAGCCCCTCACAAAGTCTCACCTCTCTAGCCTCCCTTCCTCCCTCCCTCCCACCAGGGGTGTCATTTCAGCTCCTGGAACACCAGTGTCTTTCTCATGGCAGGGCCATTATTCATTCTGTTCCCCTTGCTTGGAAGGTTCTGCCCCCAAATCCTTGTAAAACGGATTCTTGTCATTCTTCAAGTCTCAGCTTAAATGTTCCCTCCTCGGAGGGGCCTTCTCTGACAATCAGTTCCTAACATCCTCCATTCCTTCACCCTTTCTTTCTGGCATTTGTCACTACTTGAAATTCATGTATGTGCCATTTATCTGCTTGTCTGTCTTTCCCACTAGACTGGAACCACGTGAGGGCAAGAATCTTGTCTGACTTTTTCATCGCTTGTTTCTCAACACTTAGCAAAGGACCTGAAACGCAGGCATTCATTTCCTACAGCAGTCCCTCCCCACCCGCAGCGGATACGTTCCAAGCCCCCCCAGTAGATGCCTGAAACCGCGGATAGTACCCTCGCCCTCCCCGCGTCCCGGCCACCTCAGTTTCCCCGGCTCCACCCGAAAAGGACTGCGGTCTCCTTCCAGGTCGTTCCGCACCCGCGCCCCGGTCTCCCCAGGCAGCTCCGTCAGGTCCTGCTCCGGGGCTCGGAAGGTGCTAGAACGCCAGCGGGAGGTAGCCGGGCCCTGCCAAGCTCCAGTGAAGGGGCCAGGTCTCCCTCGGCACCGCAGACAGGCCAGCCATGCTCTGGGCGGGATGTGGCCGCCGGGCTCGGGCTGCCTGGGTCTCGGGGACAGCAACTAGATTCCAGGGCTCGGCGCGCGAAGCCGGAAGAGGCCCTGGCCCGGAGCCCGCGCCCCGAGTCCGCGCCTCCTCTAGGACGGCAGGCGGCTTGGCATCTCGGTAGCACGCCCGGGACGGCTCTGAAACCTCGGGAGCTGGCGGCGAAGCCAGGAGTCCAGCCCGCGGTCTTCGGTTCCCTCCGCAACAGACACGAGGCGGAGGGAAAAGGGAAAGTTTCTATGCCGAGAGCTTCCGCCAGTTGCCCAGACGACCGTGCAGCTTTGCAGCGTGGAGAGGGGAGGGCCGCTCCCAGAACAAACGCCGGCCGTGATTGGCCAGTTTTCCTGGAGCCCGCCCCCTCGCTCCGCCCCGACACTTAATTGGCTAAGGGCCGAGCGGGAGAGGCGGGGCTTTCCTGAAGCCAGGCTCCCCGCGTTGAGGCTGACCCCTGTCGAGACCCCCGGCAGATGTCCAGACGTCGCTGCCCCGCAGGGTCACACGAGCTCTGGAGCTGTCCCAGCCTAGCCTTGTGCTGAGGCCGATGTCCCTGGCCCGCCCGGGGAGGGCAGTGCGGCCAGCCGGCCCTGAGCGCCCTCAGCAAGGACCTGGGCCGAGCCCGCGGGCCGCGCGAGGAGAGCGTGCGAGCCCGGAGGGAATCTCCCTCCGCCCTCACCCTGCGCTACAGGTCGGGTTCTCCGGTGCCAAGAGATGGGGTGTCAGGTGTGAGCAGCAGCCAGGGAGCAAGCCACACCTGAGCCTCCTCACCCTCTAACCGGAGACACCAAGACCCTTCTCTGTCGTCCTCCGCCTAGTCTGCGTCCTCTCAGTGACGCCCTTAAGCCTGACGTTCCAGGCCCTTCCACGACATCCCAGCTACCTCCTCAGTCTTAGTTGCTCTTGTCAAATATTTTCCAAACCGCCAAATCCCACTCTTAAAATGCTCTGGCCAGGTCTGTCCCAGAATGGTGCCTCTGGATGGATCTCAAGGGAGAAGCGGTCAGAGACCCATGGGCTCTTGGAATCATGTCCCTCTACACTGTGCTGTGAAAAGGGGAAACAGTTTCTCCTGGATACTGTGGTCTCTGCGCTCCTCAGAGGCCAGAGTGGTCTTTAAATGATTCCCTGGCTCAATCGACCAGACCTCTGAGTGGTTCAAATCCTGACATGTTGGCCACGTGGCCAAGGAACTGAAATCAAGGCAAGCAAATGAGTATTCTGTGCTAAGCTCATGGCAGGTGATGATGGCTCCCTGTGTCGTTTGAACAAGTCTCTTTCCCACCTCTGTCTCTCCTTCACGAGAAAACAAGCTCCTGGGAGCAGCAAGCCTGCTTTCCGTGCACGAGTGCAGCCCCTCGCACCGAGCCAAGCAGAGAAACCTGCTTTCTGGCTGAGAGCCGGAGTCATAAAGACAAGCTGAAGGGAGGAAACTGCTTGCTTTCTCGCTTCTTCAAGAAAGAGCCATCTAATTCAACCAGTCCTGCCAGCAACCCAACCCTAGATCCCACTGAGACCTCCCAGATACACCAAGCCCTGCCTGGGCCCCCACTAGTCAGCAGCTTCCTGGTGTCTAGCTGATTACATCCCCTCCCACCCCCATCTGAGTCCGATGCCCCTGAAGGTTGAGTCCATCTTACTCTTTTTAGACAGCCCTGCCCCATAATGTCATGCACTAATTAGTCAATAGCTGTTGGGGTGCATGGAAATAGTGGTAGTCTTTAACACGGTAAAAGCCCTGGACCTGAACCCCAGCTTCCAGCTCTCTGCTTGTATGACTTTGGGCAAGTCATTGGACTTCTCTCTCAGCCTCAGTTTCCTCATCTATAAAACTGTGATAAAAGCCACTGCTCAGAGTCGTGGAGAGTAGACATAACATATATATGATGCTTGGCCCCCGCCTGGCAGGGCATCTGCTCAACTGGCAGCTATTATTACTATTTACAGTTGGCTGTCCCGTTCAAGTCACTTTGTCCCTTAGGAACTAGGAGCCAACCAGGGGTGTGGCCACCCTGCTGGCCCTGTGATCCACGGAGGCAGGTGGGGTGTGAACGGCCTCCCTGACGCAGATGTCCTCAAGGTGAGTTGGTGTCAGAACTGAAATGTTATCTTGGAAGCTGAGCTGCAAATCTAAGATAATAAGCAGGCTGAGCGCAGCCCTCCCCAGAAAAAAAAAGTAGAGAATGGGGAATAGGAGCTACAGAGGTCCAAAACCAGAAGACCAGGAATAAAACAGGGCCAGGGAGGGCAAATTATAAAGGACATGTGTGAAGAGGAGAGAAGGTGAGAAGTTGCAGAGGGAGCTGGCAGCAGCCTCACAAAAGACCAGGAGGGGACAGTGGTCCCTGGTAAGGGAGGAATCCTTACTGGATTACGGCCGAGCTCCAATGGAAGCAGAGGGAAAATGTCCAGTCACAAAACTGAGGTCCCAGTGCCTGAGACAGGAGACAGAGTAGGCAGGGGACCATGAGCATGAGTTCCCATGAGTTCCCAAGCTGGCTCTGCCCTACTCTCTGGCTCTGAAGAGAAGAGCCGAGGGGGGGTCCAGAGCTCAGTGGGCAATGTCCCTGGGATGAGAGTGATAACAGCATCAGACTGCCCTCTGGGGGAGCCACAATTTCAAAAGCAGCTGGTTGGCTTTGGGTTGGGAAACCTCTCTGTGCTCAGAAGACTTTGCCTGCAGACTTATAGTCCTGACACTTTGGAATGGACCCCAAGCCAGGTCAAGGCTGGGGAGGAGAGTGCCCAAGGCCCCAAGAGAGCAATGATTTAGGGATGCCTGAGTGATGACACATGGTTGACCCAGGAGCCCCCCACAGTCCAGGGTCAGCTGCCAGGGCCCCACAAGACAGAGCTATAGGCCATCGCTTGAATTCCAAGGCCTTTAATTTGCAGCTGGCATCTCTGCTCCTCACCCTAGCTCCTCCTGTGTTGCCATGCCCCACCCTGTGCCAGCACCTCCCCAATCCTGTTCCTATGCCCACCCTCATTCCAACAGCAGCTGCCCTTGCTCCTCCTCCAGGGGCCCAGCCCCTTCTCTCCCCATCTCCTAGGTGGGAGCAGGTGAGGGGGCTGCCAGAGCACCCGCGGCCCCCAGCATCAGCATGGCCAGAGCCTTAGGCCCAGTGGTGTGGATCTTCTCGTGCCGGTGCAGGTTGGAGCGCCGGCTGAAGCTCTTGCCGCAGAGGGGGCAGGAGTAGGGCCGGACGCCACGGTGGGTGCGCTGGTGGGCAGTGAGGTGCGAGCTGTGGCTGAAGCTCTTGCCGCAGTCGAGGCAGTGGTAGGGCTTCTCGCCCGTGTGCGTGCGGTTGTGGGCAATGAGGTTGGAGCGCTGGCTGAAGCACTTGCCGCACTCGGGGCACGGGTAGGGCTTGACCCCGGTGTGGGTGCGCTGGTGGGTGACCAGGGCCGAGCTCTGCGTGAAGCACTTGCTGCAGATGGGGCACTTGTGGGGCTTGGCGCCCGTGTGGGTGCCCTGGTGGGTGACCAGGTCCGAGCGGCGGGTGAAGCGCTTGGCACAGCGGTCGCACACGTAGGGCTTCTCGCCTGTGTGGATGCGCTGGTGCTGGATCAGTGTCGAGTGGTGGCTGAAGCTCTTCCAGCAGGAGGGGCAGGTGTAGGGCTTCTCACCCGTGTGGATGATCTGGTGCTGGATGAGGTGCGAGCTGCGGCCGAAGCGCTTGCCGCAGTCCGTGCAGGCGTAGGGCTTCTCGCCCGTGTGCGTGCGCCGGTGCGTCACCAGGTGTGAGTGCCAGCTGAAGCCCTTGCCACACTGCTCACACTTGTAGGTCTTCTTGCTGGTGTCGCCATCGGCGGGCAGGCTCTCCTCGCTGTTCTCGGGGGCACCTGTCTCCCCTTCTTTGGGTTTCTCTGGGAGGTGGCCCTCCTGGGCCTTCAGGAGGCTGGTGTCAGGTGGGGCTAGTTTTGGCTGTCTCTCCTCTGGGGGGCCTGGCTGCCCGTCATTTTTGGCTGGCCCTGGGCTCTGGCTGTTAGCTGCTTGCCGCCTGCACTGAAGGATGTCTCCCTGGGTTCTCCCTGCCCTGGTCCTGAGGGCCTTCACATCCCTGAGGGCTGCCAGGGATGGAGCTGGCTCCTCCTTCCCCACCTCAATGGCTCCTGGAGACAGGGGGTTTCCAGTGAGAGAGAGGCTTTTATGAGGGACCCAGGGGAATTCTGGAGATGAAGATAAGGGCAAGGACCTGGGAGGAACCACCCTCTGCAGAGGGGAGGCTGGTCGCCCTACCCCAGGAAGGGCCATGTGTCTGTACCCCACAGGAAACAGAGAGCCCACACTGACAAGGAGCACCTGGGAGTGACAGCTACAACCCCTCTACCCCATGCCACAGCGCCCGCCCACACGCCACCTCTGCACACACCTCTCTTCTCCTCCTCATCTGTCTGCCGGCACGAGCTCGAGGCCTCACCCTTGCCCTGCACTTGGGAGGCCCAGACAGGTCTGCCGAAGGGAAACCCTGCCCAGAAAGAGATGCTGCTCTCAGTCACGGAAATGCTGGGTGGCACAGAGGGGGACGCCACGCCACTGCGAAGTGACAGAGCAAAAGGGGACAGGGTGCAGCCCAGAGAACATGGGGTAAAACTAAGTGAGCTCAAAGACCATTCTGGGTCAGGCATCTACGCTGCTCTAGGAAGCCGCTCCAGGGTAACTGCCAGACATACCCTTCTCAGGGCTGAGTCAGGCTCTGTCTCGCTACCCTGAATGAGCATCGGAAGCAAAGGGAGAGGAGCTAGGCCAGCTCAGGGCTGGGACCCCCTTACGTCACAGAGCCCCCAGCAGCGAGCCCAGTGATGTCGTAAACCAGATGCAGCCTCCCACTCCTGTACCTGTACCTTCACAGGACCATTGGCAAAAAGGGCTTCTGGAGGAGGGGCAGTGGGCAAAACAAGGCCAAGTGGGAGGGCCTGGATAAGAGGGCCAGGGACACTGCCCACCCAGAAGTCAGGGACCAAAGGTCTATTTGCCAAGTCCTTTGAGGTGAAGGCCCAGGAATTCTGATTGTCAGTCACAGAGCAGAGGGGCCCTGGCCTCCAGGCCCTGATCCAAGCCCCGTGGGAGGGAAGGAATGTGTTGGATCAACCGGATAGTTAAGGGCATTTGTGAGGCCGCAAATGGGTGCTAAGTTCCCTCTGATCTCCCAGTACGTGCCGGGACCTGCTGGTCTGGGCTCTGGGAGAGTTAACAGTGGGTGGTGAGCAAACCTGTGATAATTAAAGGAGTGAGCAGGGCGGCAGCTGAGACTCGGGCCCACCAGCAAAGTCAGCGGTGGGACTACCAGGCCCCCAGCTCCGCCTGGACTAGCAGGTGTGCAATAGATGTGTGTTGACAGACAGACTGACTGACTGACTGAATGAATGACAGTGAATGCATGAACGCTCTGAATTCTCCATAAGATCTCATAAAATTCTGCCCAGAAAGCTAGAGTTTGAAACTAAGGAGTCAAAGCCCTGGGACTTAATTACTTACTGTGAGCAAAAAAGAGGGAGCCAGAGCAGATGTGACAACTCAGTCTACGGGCCTGGAGAGATTAGCTGGCACCATGTCCCCCACACACACCAGACAAGCAGCCCCGACTCTGGAGCCACACCTTCTGCTCAGACATCGCTAAAGTTAGGCTTCAGGAGGAGGAGGGTGAAACGATAGGAATAAGCACTAGGGAAGAACTGAGGAGAAGCAGAAGGTCCAGGTCGGCACTGTCCAACACAGCAGCCACCAGCCACGTGTGGCTATTTCAGTTCAAATCTGAGCTGATTAAAGTGAAAGAAAAGAAAAAACTCAGTTGCTCTAGCTGCATTTCTGGTGTTCGACAGCCACATCTGGCTTGTGGCTACCATGTCAGCAGATACAGACCAGGTCCATCACTAGGAAGCTTCTACAGAACAGCAGACTAGATAAACCATGGGAGTTTATGGGGTTAAGCCCTAGGGGGTTAAGCCCTAGAAAGGGAGGAGTAGGGGGTGACAGGGTAGGCCCCACCCCGACATCCAGGGCCTCAGGAAGTGGCGCCCCAGCACATGCAAGCCCTTACCCAAGGACAGCCCGTTCCTCTTCTGCAGGACATCCCCGTAGAAGCTCTGCTGCGTGTGGTCCAGCCGCCCCCACTCCTCCCGGGAGAGGTACAGAGCCACATCCTCAAAGGTCACTGGCATCTGAAACAATATGAAACGCCCACTCTCCAGGACAATGGAAGGGCATGATGGTACCAGGATGGGGGCAAGACCCCAGATTCCCAACCCACTGCCCTGAGTGATGCCTGCCCTCGGGTCTGATGGTGAGGCGGGACAGCCACACAAGGATGGCTTTTCTGGGGTGAGAACAAAGTGGTTGTGTACAGCAGAAGACAAGAGACAAAAACAAGAGTTCTTCTTTGTGGGACCACAGCAAAGATCAGGATCTCCATGCACGTCCTTCTTCAGCCCCCAACCTCAGGCCGGCGCTCAGAATTGCCAGAGACAATTCCCCATCAGGGGTGCTGTCCCTGCTCCTCCTTCGCTTTTCGTCCAGCCTTGGCTGGGACACTCACCTGGGACCAGGCGGTGAGGAGCGCCGCAGCCATTTGCCGGTCTCTGGTCCTCCCCTCACGGGAAAGCACAGGGATCTGGGGGGAGGGGAGGGCTGAGAGGGGAGAGACATCCTCAGGGCCGCCACCTCACCCTGCTGGTCCCGCTGGCCTGCCAGCAGTCTCATGCCTGGCCTGCCAGGGATGCCCACGGCTTCCTCAAACCCCACCCCCGACGCCCCCCAAGAGTGTCAATATGCTCTGAGGTTGCCTCTCAGAGGGGCAGCCTCTGAGAGGCAGGCGGACTGACATCCGGGTGTCTCCCCCTGACCATGGTGGGGGGCTCTTCCCCTCCCAGCCCAGGCCATGAGCCTTCACCTCTCCCCACAGCTGCCACCAAGGAAAGTGCCTCTCTCCACATCCCTCTCCTCACCTCTGTCCCTCTTCTCACCTCCGCCAGGCAGGAAAAGAGCTTTCTCCTTAGAGCCTAGGCTTAGGGGCACCGAGCCCCGAGCTCCTTGAGTCCCGTCCTCCTGCAACACCACCTCGGGGTGCTGCTCTTCTGGCTCCATCTTGATGTGGGGTGACTCTCGAGTGGCTCCCAAAGGCACCACCTCCTCTGCCTCAGAAAGCATTTCTTGACAAAGATGCCTAGGACCTGGAAGCTAGGAATGACAGCCCCCATCAGCGCCAGGATGGAGAGAGGAAGACACATCCGGGGGTCCCGGTGGGGCAGAAACCTCAGAAGGCCAAATGCACACCCAAAGGCAAGGCACAGCTTGAAGGACTGGCCTTGCTTCCTTCTCCGTCCCCAGGGACAGTGCCTCTCCTGCTCACCCCAGCAAGGGAAGGAGGGCAGGCTCAGCAAGGCCCTGCCAGGTGCAAGCCGGCCGGGTGCCCACAGGGCAGCTGCCTCTTCTCACTGCAAGCCTCACTCCTCCCCCAGCAGTGTGGACTGTTATTTTTTAATGTATGAGGAAACTAAGTGCAGTGGGTTGAATAGCATCCCCCCAAAATTCATGTCTGCCCGGAACCTCAGAATGTGATTTCATTTGGAAAAAACGTTTTTGCAGATGTAATCAGTTGCAAATCTTGAGATGAAATCATCCTGGATTTAGGTTGGGCCCTAAATCCAATGACTGACGTCCTTATAAAAAGAGGAGAGGACACAGAAACATGGAGAAGGCTGTGTAACAACAGAGGCAGGGATTACAGTGATGCAGCCACAAGCCAAGGAACACCTGGAGCTACCAGAAGCTGGAAGAAGTGAGGAAGGAACCTCCTATAGAGCCTTGGGAGGGAGCTAGCCCTGCTGACACCTTGATTTGGGGTTTCTGGCCTCCCGAACTGTGAGAGAATAAATTGTGGTTGTTCTAAGCCCCCTGGTTTGTGGTGACTTGTTCTGGCAGCCCCAGGACACTAACACACTCAGGCTCACAGATCCGACAACAGCCCAAGATTACGGAGCTCATGAGCGGCTCAGCCAGGATTTGAACTCAAGCGTATCTGACTCTCAAGTCACCCCCAAAGCCACCAGGTCTTGAAGGTGACAGGGAGGCATCATGTGACCTTGGGCCATTTCCGGCCTGACTCAATTTGGCTGAAACAGTTGGAGTTTTTTGGTTTGGAGAAAAATAGCCCAAGGGTGCCACTAACTCGGCACTAACTGTGCCGAGGCCTCGTGCCCACCTTGGTCTGATGGAAAACTCCTCTCAGGTTCACCCATTCAGCACCGCCCCCCACAGTGGGACTTCCAGGGTCCTCTCGGCTCGTCCCCTATTCTTCACACCAGCCTCAGCCCCAGCCCTCTGGGAGGGTAAGGAGCAGGCTTTAGTCACACAACCGGGACTCGAACCCAGAACAGCCCCTTACCAGCTGTTCAACCCTGAGCAGGCACAGCCTCCCTGAAAACCTCAAGAACTTTGGGAGAGTCACTTCCCTCGCAGGAGGCCCCTGGTGAGGCCTCCTCATCAGCCACAGCATGGGGACTGGCCAGCCTTCTCCTGGGAACCCAAGCCTACCCCTCCACCCCCATCTATGTTTGGGTCTCGAAGGGAAAGACCCTCAGGCCAGGAGTCAGAGTGCCTGGGAGCCAGAGGGGCCAGGTGGTCTCTGAGACTCAGCTGCTTTGCCTCGCGCACAGATAACACATGAGAAAGAACTGCCCGCTCTGCAAAACTCTGGATAAACACAGAGCAGCGCCGGTAATTATTATTATTACTCTACTGTGTGAGCTGACAGATTCCAACATCAGCAGAGAGTGTGCTGGATGTGTAAGGCCCCGTGTTACAAAGGCATTGTGCAAGGGAAACCGAACAGTAGTAACAATTCTTTGTGCGTCTATGGTATGAAAATGGTAGAACTGACACTTGGTTTGTATTTGTATCTACAACCACTGGAAACACTAGTTGAGGGGATACAGGTTTCTCTGACCTAGTCTAGTTGCCGTGGGTGCCCTTGTTTTATGTGTTACAATAATGATCTCCTACGGGCTGACGAACTGTTACAGAGGACTCTCGTGCCCATCACCTCCTCCGACCCCCTCATAACCTAGGCAAAATGAGTGGGGTGGCAGACACAATGTCCACATTTTACAGATGACACACCTGGTTCCCAGAGGCCAGGGGACTTGCCCAAGGTCACACACCTGGCTGTGGCTGACTCATATTCCTCTGATTCCAAACCAGTGAGCCTAGTCCCCCTGCAGGCTGTAATCACATACACTCACACACACACACACACACACACACGCAACAGGTACAGAAAGGACTAGGTGCTCGGATCCAGAGAGAAAGGAGACAGGGTTCCAGGCAGAGGGGAGTGGAGGGTAGACTGAGGCTTCCCTGTGTGCTCTGGGAGCTGTCCAGAGAGCCAGCCCCACCGGTAGGACCCCCATGCAGCCTCTCTGCTCTCTCGTGTGGCCTTTGGTCTGCTGCCTACAGAATGCACCAGGCAAAGCAATGCAGTTCCACAGAAGTGGATCCCAGGTGGGAGGCATTTCCCATCATACCATCTTCTCCTCAACACCCCTCCTCCCCTCATCCACCAGCCCTGCTCCCCTAGTGGGTCTAACTCTTCCACTGGTACAGATACCCTGCCTTGAAAATCCTCTCCTGTTCCAGTTCTTTCCCAGGCGTGCCTTCCTCACCCAGCACCCCTGTCCATACCTCTTGGGCCTTCTTCTTGTCCTGGGTAGCCCGGATGCCTCTGCCATCTGCAGACATTTTCTCTCTCAGACCTAGAAGGCACAGCACCCTCTTGTTGGCCAAGCCCCCTCCAGCTCCCAGCCAGGAGCCTGGAAGAGCAGAAGAAAATCAGCCAGCATTATCTGGATGCCTCTGAAGCACCCCGAAAATCCCCATGCAGGACCAGACCCATCCCTGTGCCCAAACAGAAATAAAGCCCCCAGATGCCATCTGATGGTCTCACTCTAGATGTCTCTTGGCCCCTCACTTCAACAGAATGCTATTCTGTATTGTCCCCTTTGTCACTGAAGCAAGAGCCCCACATCTCAGAGCAGCTGGCTCAGGGAAAGCCAGGGCTGACTCGGAATCTGTATCTCCTGTCATCAGGAGCTGAAAGTTCTGCAGAGATCCTACAAAACAGGTGCTGGGTGGGGCCCTGCTGGGCACAGCCAGCTCTGCCAAGGAATCCAGGCCCTGCTGTCTCCCAGGCCCAGGACACACACACCCCTGCACTCGGCCTGACTCGGCCCCACCTGGGATCCAGAAATTGAGCCAGCTGCTCTCAGCAGCCCTTCCTGCAGCTGCAACCACCCACCTGGGGCCAGGAGTCCATCCTGTTCACAGTCCCAGATGCACAATGTCCTTCCCCTTTCCGAACCCGGGTCCAGGCCCCCTTCTCTCCCCGCCAGCCTGAAGCCTTCCACCTTTGACCCCTCCCCTCCTGCCAGCTGGCCAGGAGCGTGGGTCCCAGGACCCAGGTGCCCTCCCCCGACCCTCCCTCACCGAGATGGAGGTGAAGGGGGCACCTCGGGTAGTGGGGTCCCCTCCCCGGGGAAGGGAGTCTCCACAGCCTGCACGGGCGCGGGGAGCCGGGTGGAGACTGGGATTAGGGACAACAGGAAGTCCCTCCCAGATCCCGTTCCCCATGCAGCTGCAGCCCTATAGGGTTCCCGGCTTCAAGGGTTCCGGGTCGGGGGTCCCGAGCCTGGCTGCACCTGCTCTTGGCGGGGAGGTGACTCCCAGATCCGCATTGCCTGCTCATACTCTTGAGACTAGCAAAGCAGGAGGGCCAAAATGGGAAAATACATTTTGTAGAAGGACTTTGATATTTCATGTTTCAAAGAGAGCATTGCAGCTGTCCTCACAGGACGAAGGGCACCTTGCTGGGCAGAGGGCTCCAGGGTCCTTTTCAGCACACAGGGCTTCTGAAGGTCTTATGGTGTCTCCATGGAGATGCCCCTGGATTTCAGTTAAGGCCCCCAGGCCAGTCAGCAGGTCCTCTGGGTTTCCCCCAAGACTGGCCCAGAGTTCTCTCTCCCTAGGAGTGAACTCAGGAAACAGAGAGGCCCGGGAACTCCCCTATATCCCGACCCCTCCATGCCCCACACCTCGGAAAGACGTGGGATCAATCTGATTTTTCTAGACCCCCTCCCCCAGCTCCTTCTCAAGGCTGGGGATAGCAAGGGTAAAAGTGTCTGATCAGCTCTCCGTGGGTCCCAGAACCTCAGACACACCTGGCAGCTTCATATTCCACCTCTCAGTCTCCGTTTTCCCTTCAGACTCTGAGAACTAAGGCCTCCAAAACGGGAGGACAGAGGCTGCACTTCACTTTCTGGGGTGAGGAACCCATTTCTGCAGAGCAGGGCATGGGGGATGGGTGTCAGGAAAGGGTTGGGGGCCCAGCCCTGGAGTCCTTTCCAGGAAAGTTCCTCCAGGAAAAGTTCCCACGCCCACCACCTTCAGCCCAGCAGAGTCCTCTGAAATGTATCCCCTTCACCCTGTCAGACAGGCACAACTGGCCCCTGGACCGGCCCACAGGTGTGCTAGATGGGCTCACAGGGTTTAAATTTTTTTTTTTTTTTGAGGAAGATTAGCCCTGAGCTAACATCTACCGCCAATCCTCCTCTTTCTTGCTGAGGAAGACTGGCCCTGAGCTAACATCCGTGCCCATCTTCCTCTACTTTATATGTGGGACACCTGCCACAGCATGGCTTGCCAAGTGGTACCATGTCCACACCTGGGATTCCAACTGGTGAACCCTGGGCCACTGAAAAGGAATGTGTGCACTTAACCACTGCACCACCGGGCCGGCCCCAGGGTTTAATTTTTTAAAACTTAGTTTCCAACATTTAAAAATTAGGAGTTCTCATAAAATTGATTTTCTTGAAAAATCAAAATATCTGGCAACCCTGGGCCCATACTCCCCACACTCAGGGCCAGCTCTCAGGTTGCTGCATTTGGTCTCCACTCGGTCCCTGCAGCATTTCGAGTTTGTGTCTCTGCTTTTGGAGTTAAATATGCTTTAGGAGTCCTAGGATTCTGATCAATTCCACTGTCACTTTAAAGAAAGAAAAATGACCCCTGGGGTTTGTCTCTGGTCAGTATTTCCAGCTGTTTTAATCCTCAAGGTAAAGAGGGATGTACAAAGTTGTAGCAAAAATCAGTACTGTCTTCAAGTGAGAGAGAGAGAGCTCTAAACTGAGAAAAAGCCACAGCGGGTCCTGGAAAAGATTATCTGCTCAGTCTGTGAGTATTTCTCCATCAAACGAGGAGCAGAGCCAGTGTCCAGAGTAAGGGAACTCACTCCTGCTTTCACCCCCCAGAGGTTTGGAACCCACCACGATATCGCCTAAACTAGACCAAATGAAACCTCAACACTTACTTAACTGTTCAGAAAATACTAATTGAGCACCTGCTATATGACATTCGCCCCTTCTTGGAAATGAGAGGAAAGTCTTCCACGGCTGGCTCTAGGACTGAGCAGGTCTAGCAGGAAGGGTTACTACATTTGCTGTGCAGGAACTGCAGCCCCTGAAAGAGTTCCGAAAGGCAGCAGGAAAGGGAGAATCAAAAAGTAAAGCAGAGGTTAAAACTCAAATGCCTCCAGCAACTGGCAGTACCATAAATGATCAATGCCTTGGGTGTAAGACCGGAGTGGGGAGAGACTTCAAGGGCCTCAAGAAACCACATTTTGTTTAAAGGGGGTGGTTGGGAGCCCAGTATTGCCAAAGCTTGAAGATTTTTCAAGAGAAGCCAAAAAGAATTCGATTTCTATGTGAAACATATTGACTTTGAAATGTTGATGACTAAACATTTTAGAACTCCATACAAGTCCAGCAGAAAACATCTGCTGTCCAGCTCACAGGCCACCAGTATAAGTATGTACTCACCTCAGGAGCCTGTCACAAGGATAACTATCATGGATGAAGGCGCTTATCAGAGCTTCAGGCACCGGAAACACTCAACAAATGCCACCTCCGGTATCTGGTGGCCTCACTGAGCTTGAGTAAGGAGAAGATGCCACCGTTAGGAACTAAATCACAATCTACCCTCAGAGACTGGCCTGAAACCTAACTCAGGTCTTAAAGAGGACCTTAAAAATGCCCAGAATAATAAAAACTAGAAAAAACAATCGTCTGAAGAAAAAAAAAACAACTTGTACTAATTAAGGCGGTTAAGCCAGGCTGGAGACAGGGCAATGCAGAGATCCAGCTGTAGGAGGGAGAGAAGACAGGAGAAAATAAAGGAATGTGAGAGAGCCAAGAAAAATTGGAATAATCGAGTAAACAGCAGAGCAAATATTAACTAACCACTGAAAAAGAAGAAAAGGAAACCAGTATAAGTATTACATGGGTGGGGCCCCAGGAATGAAAATATTTTAAAGAAAAAGAAAAATAAGAACCCCCAGGGCCGATGGAACCCCCAGGTGGTGAGAGCTCACGCGGCCGGCGGCCCGCTCACCCCCGGCGGCGCGAGACGACCCCGCGGCCCGGTCCCCTGATGCTGACGGCCGCAGGCAGACGCGTTCCAAGCCGGGCGAGGCCCAGGAGCCCCTCGCGCTCCAGTCGGCGCCGCCCAGCTCCGCAGCCCGCGGAACACGGACGCGGGGAGCGCGTCGCCCAGGCAACGACGCTGCCCCCGCCCGCCTGCCCACGGGAGACGCCTGTGATTGGCTGGCGCCCCGATGGCCCCGCCCCGTCCAGGGTCCCGCCCAGCCACCCTCACCTGCGCGCTCCCGTCGGCGCCCTGGAGGGGCAGCGCCACCGAGGGGGAGGGTCCCCCTGGTGCTGCCTGACTCTCGCCGGTGTCCCCGCGTTTCCCGTCCGGCTACCCAGTTCCAACTTCCGGCTTTCCTGGCTCTGCCGCGGCGCCCGCTGTGGGGGCATCCGGGGCGGTGAGGCCCGCAGGGCGGATGCCCGCGAGCCCTCGAGTCGGCGTCCTCCGTGGGGAAACTGAGGCTGTCTGCGCGAAGCCCCTCCGCCCGAGAGCGCCGGCGCCAGGCCTCCACGGTGGGGACCCGGGAGCGCGAACTCCGCCCCAGCGCCCGGACCTAGCCTCCCGGGACAAGGGTCTCGCCCCACACTCACCTGTTCTGAATTTCCGTTTGTTTTGTTTCAATGGGAGTGTACCATATGCTGCTGACCTGCCCCTTCTGCGTGCGTAACACATATCTTAGAGATTGTTCAATATAAAAAGCATAGAGAAAAAGACAGAAAAAACAAACAAAATATAGCGTGTCTAAGACAAACACGGCCAAACATTGGTTAAAGCGGTGGAAGCAGATTTTGTCGGTAACTACTGACCGCAGGGACAGAGCTGGCCTCCGTGATTTGTGCAGAGGTGACGGCGTTTTAAAGGGAGAATGAGGGCGGGGGAGAGCCGGGCTCGGTAGTCAGAGGAGTGAAACATCACAAGGAGCCCATCAGCGTAGATGCGACTAGGCCAGATGTCTGCTGGTGGCAGTTATGGAAGTCAGGAGGCTGTCCTCCGGGGAGAAGGGACACAGAGGCCCTGTCCCTCCCGACGAGTGCATTTCAGAGGAATGGTTCTCAGCTGGGTCACGGGTGCTCCTGTTGTAACAGACTCATGTTCACAATTATGCCTCCTTCTTAGTAAATGCTCTGAGAAAGGGACGTCAGGGCCTATCATAGGTGTTGGCTGGAACAAACAGTGGATTCTCCTGGCAGCAGTGGTGAGCTTCCTGTCCCCGGCCGGCATTTAATGGGGGCCTGGGGCCATCCCAGCCTCATGCTCCCAGAAGCCATGCTGGAGCTCGGTCAGGTCTCAAGGTGTGCGTTTGGATGGAGTGGTTGTGCTGAGAGTTCTACAGTCCTCAAGCGGTGCCTTGCTGTTTTTTAACTGTAGCATGTTCCACTGCATGGCTATGTCACAATTTCTTTAACCAGGCCCCACTCACCACCCAATTCTTCATACCCTTGCCTTGCAGCAACTAGAACTATCCAGCAGCTATTATCAGGGAGCCTTTGCTCCTTTCCAATGGGTGAGCAAGGCTAACATCTGATCTTGCAAACAGGGCTGGTGGAGAGGCTGCCAACACCAAGCCTAGCTTCCAGATCACAGCTGTGATGTTGGCCTGGCAGCCTGCCTATCACAGTCAGCAGAAACAGCTTTTTCCTGCTCTGGGCAAGCTTCAGGAGGACAGGAGGCTCCTCCCTAGGCAGCAACACCAAGCTCTTCTTTCCACGATTGTCAAGGCTGGCAGCTTCAGCCTCAGCCAGGCAAGCTGTGAACAGGAAGACTACAAAAGCCCCCAAACTTAATAGAGTAGATTGGATATGTTCCCCCAAACATCCACGTCCCACCTTCCAGAACAGAGTCTCTACTTGGGAGCTAAAGATAGCTTACAGTACAGGCAAGGAGGGGACGCTCATTGAAACTAAGCCCAACAGTCACTTTAGCCCTTTGGGGTGGAAATTAGAGTAAATTAAGTTACTTTCCTTTTAGTGGTTGGTGCATTTTTAGGAAACTAGGACACTGTCATCATCCCAAAATACCCTTTGCTGCTGCTGCTGCCACTGCCACCTCCTGCTATCTGATCCCTAGAGTTTCAGGCTACATTCACTCATGCCAGCCAAAGACACAGAAGTAGGTGGAGATGGGGGCACTTGGGAAGCATTCTGAGTGGCTCAGCACCGGAGGACCCCTACTGGAGGCCCCTTACAGGAGCAGATGGCAGTGGCACCCAGGCACTCACCCTTGATGTCATTTTCAGCTGTTTTCAGCCTTTCATCCTGCTGCAGTCTCTGTGCCCCACACCCAATCCCTTCTCAAATGGTCTTTCACAAGAATCTCTTATATTATTTTTATTCCACTGAGTGTAAAAAAATGTAGAACTTCCATTTGTTTTTTCTTTATCTCATCCTTTTAAAAATTATATTTTTGTGAATGCTTTATAATGTGAAAAAGAAATCAGCTAATGATAGGAATAAGGGCCCCTTGGAGAAATGGCTTATCCTAGGCTTGCAAGAAAGGCACAAGATGAGTCTGCAGATGGCGGGAGGGGAAATGAGAGCTTGCTCTCCAGAAAATGTGTGGCAGAATCTTCTAAAGCTGAATATCCACCTACCCCATGACAGAGTGATTCAGTCCTGGGTACAAACCCAGCAGTAACTCACATATATGGTCACCAGAATGTACAAGAGCCACTAGGTGTGGCCCCAGACTGAAAACCACCCAGTGTCTAGCCACAGTAGAATGAATAAATAACGCCACAGGGAATACCATTCAGTGGATGAGCCACCTGCTGTGGAGTGAGCAAGGCTAGATGAAGAGTTCCTACTGTATGACTTCACTTACACGAAGTTCAAAAACAGACCAAACAGGGGGGCCGGTCCCGGTGGCCGAGTGGTTAAGTTCGCGCGCTCCGCTCTGGGGGCCCAGGGTTTTGCCAGTTTGGATCCTGGGTGCAGACATGGCACTGCTCATTAGGCCATGCTGAGGCGGCGTCCCACATAGCACCACCAGAAGGACCTACAACTAGAATATACAGCTACGTACTGGGGGACTTTGGGGAGAAGAAGAAGAAAAAAAAGAAGATTGACAACAGATGCTAGCTCAGATGCCAATCTTTAAAAAAACAAACAAAAAACAGACCAAACAAATCTGCTGTGGTTGGAAGTCAGGATAGTGATTAAGGGGAGGGGAAGTGACCAGAAGGGGGCAGCAGAGTGGCCCTGGGAGTGGCCTGGTCCAGGCAAGAGATGATGGTGACGTAGACTCGGGTTGCAGCGGTGGAGGTAGAGAAACAGGCAGATTTGAAATACATTTAGGATATCAGACCTGCAGAACTGGGAGACTGACAAGATGTGAGAATGAGGTAAAGTGAGGGGTCAAAGATAAATCCCAATTTCTGGCTTGAGTGACTGAATGGATTTTACTACGTTTATCGAAAGAGAGAACACCAGGAAAGACCCAGCTTTGATGTAGAGGATTCGCTCAATCCACATTTAGTGAGGACCTGCTGTGTGCCGGCACTGGGGCCATAGCCATGAACGGCAACAAAGCCTGCTCTCCCGGAGCTGGAGTTTCAGTGGCGAGGTGAGTTTCATTTTGAGCATGAAGACTTTGAAGCATTCACAAGACATCCAAGGAGCAATGACAAGTGGACAAAGAGCTGAGAAGCAAAATATAAATGCATGAGTATTGGCACTGAGAATGGTCATGGAAGCCACAGCAGCTATGAAACCACCAAGCAGGGTACGTTTAGTTATCTATTGCTGCATAACAAATGATCCCAAAACACCACAGCTTAAAACAAATATTATCTCACAGTTTCTGCACCTGACAGGGCTAAGCTGAGGGCCTCTAGCTCAAGGTCAAGAGTTGCAGTCAGGTTGACAGTTGGGGCTATGGTCTCATCTTAAGGCTTGAATGGGGGGTGGGGGGATCCAAGTTGGCTAGCCTTGGTCCCTCACCACGTGGACCTCTCCTCAGACATGACTCCACCAGGGTGAGCAAGCAAGAGAGAAGAGAGTCCTAGTCTCAGAAGTGACACCCCATCATTACTACTGATTCTATTTGTTGGAAGCAATCACTAAATTCAGCCCACACTCAAAGACAGTGGATTACACAAGGCTGTGACTAACAAGAGGCAGGGATCACTGGATGCCATCTAGGCTGGAGCCCTGGCAGGATGCTGAAACAGAATGATCAGGTCAAGAAAGAGAACTTGGTGGCAAAGGATGAGAGGAGACAATTGGAGAAATGGAGAAAGACAGCAAACAAGAAAATAGAAGTGTGTGAGTCCCAGGAGCCAGTAGAGTTCTAAGGAAGAGAAGGGTGGACAGAAGCACTTTCCCCCAGGAGACTGAAATTTAGAGATGAAGAGGAACAAGCAGAGCAGGGATGGGAGTGAAAGCATCCACTCCAGCCAGGGTGGGGAGGTGGCATCAGATTGGGGTGCTCAGGAATTGAAAGGCAATGGCTGGGTCATGGCAGGCAAAGGAAAAGAGGGCAGAAGTTGAGATCCGTGGTAAGAAGGGGCTGTGGATGGGCCCCCAGGGTGAGCCGTCTGGATTTAGTTCTAAGGGCAATGGAAAGCCACGGAAGAGCAGAGTGAAAGAATTTGATTAAAAGATTTGCTGAAGTCACATGGAGACTGCAGCTTGGGCCTTTGGAGGCAAAGGCTGCTCCCGCCAATGAGACAAGAAGCTGAGAAGCTTGGGGGAAGGCGAATTTACAGACACTGAAGGCAGACTGGGATGGACCTCGTGTTCTCGTCAAAATCCCCAATGCTTCTGTACCAGGGCTAGTCCTTAGTGAGGGATCTGGCTGTGCCATCAACACCCTGCAATTAGTCCTTTAAGATTGCAGCTACCCAGAGGAAAACGCTGGAGTTAAAACTGCAGGAAAAGAAGTTACTAATGCAGTTGAGAGACACGCACTTAAACCGCTGGATTCACCAGAGGCTGTTCAAGGGATCATAGCACTTTTAAAAATCATTCTTCCCAGAGCTGGAGAAGGATTCTCCCTCTCCCCCCGAATTATTCTCAATGGAGGAATCCTACGGAAACTGAATATATAGGAAAACTCATTTTTCTTTTGCAATCTCTGAAGAGATGAGAGGAAAGACGAAGACCCCATAAGTTAGTATTTGTAGGTGCTTTTGCTGACCTAGATGATGCTAGACTTAATTCTTTCACATTTAATAAATAAATGGTAATTTGGGGTTTGGTTGTTTTTTTCAAGACACCAATCACTTCCCCCAAAAAACCCCAAAACTAAGGTAACAACTAGAATAGTTTGTGTGCAGTTTCAAGATAATTTTAGGAGATATTGAAATATACCCCCAGAGAGGTAGATTTAGATTAAAAGTCATTTGGGGATGTGTTTATCACTTACTAAATGGAGGTAAACAACAATCCAGCGACTTCACAAGAATTTTCGTCTGTTAATGGATAACACTCCGGGAGAGGGGAGTGTATTTTCAAAGATCAGAAAGAATTTGAAGGGACTTAAATGTTCATTAAGCCCTTTTATCTGCAAAGTAACTTGAGTTAATAAAAGAAGTCAAAAGGAATCTCTGCTTCGGTGACCCGGTCCTGCCCAGACTTGTCCGTTCGGCTCAGCACTCCATCCTGGGGTCACACACAGTAGGGAAGGGAATGTTTTCAGAATGAACGAGTGAATGGTGCGCGTGCGCCGTGGGCCAGGAGCAGGGATGTTAGGCGCAGTCCACACCAGGGCAGAGGTTTAGGGTTGAAGGAGGCCCAAAGCCGCTGTCGGTCTTGTCTCACTCCAGGCACCTGCCTTTCCGCCTGGTTGCTATTTCTGGTGGTTGGGTCAACTGGTCTCTGCTTTTCTGACGTATTTCCAGGAAAGGTGTGCGCCTGAGTCGGAGGCCCTGGAAGTCCATGTTAACAGCGAACACTGAGCCCTCCCGCTGCGTCCCCAGCCAGCTCCCCCAGCTCTCACTCCGGTCGCTCCAGGCCCAAGGCCCTGAGACCCCCAGGCCGGATCCTTAGCTGGAGAGGCTACGTTCCCGCAGTTCTTCCGCATCACGTCGGGACAGGGCTCCCTGCTCTCGGTCCAGCCGCCTCCACCCCCAGGGCTCAGACACGGCCACGTCCTCGAAGGCCACAGCCTTGGGGGCGCAGGTAAGTAATGAGAGCAGGGGAAGGGGCAGCAGCACTGGGGGCAGGTCGGAGGCCAGGTCCAAACGTGTAGGAGACGCATCCGCCCCGCCTCTCCCGGGGCCGGCCCAGGGTTGGGGGGGGTGGAGTCTCTTGGCCCCGCCCACAGGCGGGTGGGGGTCTCTTGGCCCCGCCCAAGGGCGGGCCGCAGCAGCCCGGCTGGAGAACTCCGCCCGAGTCCAACCCCGAACCTAGCGGCGGGAAGTCCGAGCGGTGGAGCGCCGGGTGCCGGGCGCGCAGCACCATTTCGTCCGTCCTGACATGTGCCAGGCGCTGGGCCAGGCGCGGAGGATGCGGAGCAAACAAGAGAAACACCATGTCCTCACGGAGCTTGTGGTCCAGCGAGGCTCACACTAGACAGTTAAAATAAAAGAGCAGGATACGCCCAGGTGCTGTCAAATGCAGGAAGACAACGACCTGGCAGAGGAGCCAGAGCAAGGGCAGGGTCTGGCCACGACGGGCCTGGGCCGAGGGGCGGCCAGTCCCGAGCCTCTGGCCACCGAGCACGTGGCCCCGGGGCCCCTGGACAGGTGGTGCCATGGTGGGGTGCCCACAGTCCCTGAACGCGCAGGGGGCCACCGGGGACTCCCCCGAGGAAAGCGCCCTCCAGGCTGCGGCCGAGGGCGTGACCCAAAAAGGCCCCTTAGGGCAAAGTGAAAGGCTTGCCTGGAGTTGGGGTTGGGCTCAAGGCCAGTGGTGAGGTCACTTCCCTTCGCGGGAGGCCCTGCCTCCTCATTGGTAAAGCTGAGACAAAAGCCACCTCGCACGATTCTTGGGAAGATTTTAGGTGGCACTGTTGATGGCACCCTCTCTTCCCTCACCGTATGGCCCTGTTCTGTTTCCTTCCGAACACCTACCACAGTTGCTCCTGCACCAGGCAGGTGAGACCCTGGAGGTCAGGGCCTACTCCTCCTGTTTACCTCTCTGTCCTCAGTACCTAATTCTGCCTGCACACAGCAAGTGCTTGGCAAAGATGTGTTGCATGAATGAAATGCCTAGCAAAGAGCTGGGCACACACCAGACATTAAAAAAAGTACAGGCTGATGGACCCCCAGAGGCACAGGGCCAGTCCTAAGTAGGAGGGGTCAGGTCTTGGGGCCTAGTTAAGACTCAGACCCAGTCCCAGGTTGGAATGTGGATCAGGCGTTTTGTCTTTGGCCCCGCCCTCTCACCACCCTACTCCCAAACTGGAAGGTTAAGGGTTAACTCTGGGAAGCCCCCTCTTCACCTGGATGGGACTGGGGCAGGGAACTTCCTGTTCCATTTTCCCAGAGTCCTTCCCCCTGCTGGCCGAGGCTGACTCTGGCCCTGGGGCCCTCAGAGAACCCCCAGCACCTCTGACTCTGGAGTGGGGACCCCGAGAGGTGAGTTGCAGGGCGGCCTGGGGTGCAGGCTGCCAGGACAGACTTAAGAGATTCACAGCAGCTTGGAGAGGAAGGGGGGCTCCAGGCCTCGGCAGTGGAATGGGGGACAAGGGGGCTAGAAGAAAGTCTTGAGAGGATGTGGGTGGTCCCTGCTGGAGAGCCCAATGCCAGCCAGCTCAGTGGACCTGTGGCTATGGGGGCATCAGGTAGGCTCACAGGACCTCCTGTGACATGGTCTTGCTGGACCAACTGGGGAGGGGAAGGCATGCTCCACGTGCCCCCAAGTGGACTGACCGGCCTCATGGACCCAGCCCAGCAGCAGGAGGGGAGCCAGGCTAACAAAGACAAGCCGATCAGGCTCCTGCTAACTGTGTCCTGGGAGAAACAGAGAGTTTCTGGCCGAGGACCCCAGCTCTGGCTGCTCCTATTGTCTGGGTGGGTCTCGTGGGAGCATCTCCACCCCGGGCTGCTCCAGTGTATGCCTCCCCGCCTCTTTGGGCTCCAGATTAAGCTGGTCAAATATTGGAGTGTGGCTGAAGAGCCTGCACCCACCCAACCCAGCCAACCCCACCCCCAAAGATGTGCATATTAGCAGTGCTTTTGTCCTGGGGACCTAGGGGGAGGGAGAGACTCTAAGGCCAACTTCTCTTGAATCCCACCTCTTTCAAACCTTTTGGCTTCACCTGGAGGTTCCAGCAACCTGTGTGTCTAGGCCTGAGGGCTGGAATTTGGAAGCCCTTTATTTTTTCTGATTCATGCTGTGATATTCTAGCTAAGAAATCACACAGGGCAGGAGGGAAATTGGGCCCTTTTCTGTTTCTGAGCTTTTGCACTCTGGTCAAGATCAGCGTTCTCACCTTAAAGCAAATCTTGGCTCCTGATGTGACCTTGAGCAAGCCACCCATTCTCACAGAGCCGCTCTTTGCACTTGTCAAATGGAGAAATTATAATTTACCGCGTGGGCTGGCGTGGGTTTCAGTGACCCGAGTCAGGGTGCATGCATGCAGACAGGTGCTCAGGCCCTGAGGCCCTCATTCCAGAGTCCCTGATTACAGTGAGGGGGGTCTCTCATTATTTTGCTCTTGCTGCCAAAACACAATGAAACAAAAACCGTTTTCTTGAACATTTATCAAAGACCTTTTCCACACGAGACACTTTTGCATGCATTCCTCAGTAATTACAACTGTGAGGTGGCCATTATCATTCCAATTTTGTTATTTCCATTAACATTTAAGTCACTTCAAGAGCTGGGTGAAAAGTTAGCGAACAAGACCCAGTTCCTATTTGCAGGCCAAGAGGAGAAATATTCAACCGTGATGGTGGCACAGTGTGACACTGGACGGAGAAAGACAGGTGGCTGGTTCGTTGTGGGGTCCCAGCAGAAAGGCGCCAGTGGTTGGAAGGAGCCCCACATAGGGACAGATGCCTAAGTGCAGGAAAGAACTGAGGTTGGACAGGCTGTGGGGAGAGGCGGGGAAAGTGCTGGAGGGAGGAGGGGGAGAGCTGGGGAGATTCTGGAGGGAGGGGGGAGACTGGAGAGGAGCAGGAAGGTGGGGGAGGGGAGGGAAGCTGGGAAGATGCTGGAGGGAGGTGGGGGAGGTGGTCAGGTGGTCAGGAGGTGGGCCTGGGTCTTTGTTTCAGCATCACCTCCCTCTCCTTCTCTGAGGTGGGAAGGGCTAGGGCCAGGCTTAAAACTCAGCTTTCCTCTGTTCTTCCACCGCATCCCACCCCACTCACCTGCCTGAAAAGAGCCCTGGCCCCTCAGCCCGGATCTCTACAGGGGGCTCTACAAACTGTCCAAGGCTCTCCACCAGGCAGACTTCTCCCTGGCTCCATTGCTAAGGCTGGGTTACTGTCTCGGACAAATGTCTGTAGCTCTGAGCCTTGGTGTCCTCAGCTGTAAAATAGGTCACTGATGGGACCAGCTGTTAGCTGTGGCCATTTGTGTTATTACCCAGTAATAATGAGCAGAGCAATCGCTCCCAAGGATGCACACCCACCTTGTGCTGTCTCCCAGGCATGGGGCCCTGCTCTCCTCCCATCCTGTGGTGAGAAGTGATGCAGAAGGCTTTCTTCTCATCCCCCTGCCTGGGATGTCCATGGGGTGGGAGTGTGGGACAGGTTTGGGAGAAGCTCATTTGTAGCCCCGAGGCAGGAGAGTAGGGAGGGCAGAGAGATGTTAGAACTTGGGTTTCCGGATCCACGAAATAATTCCTGCCTGATTTAAAAGTGCCTGAAAGCTTTGCAACAAAAGTATGGGTCTTTTCAGAAAAGTGTAAGCCTTCTGGGTTGTGCTGAAGGTCTGAATTGTGTCCCCTGTGGGTGGGGCTGAACTTGGGGCAGCTCCCCATTGCTAGCTCTGGGCTACCCCAAAAAGAAAGGCATAGCCCCACAGAAACCTTGGCATGAGAGGAGTGGGGCTGACGGGGGACGAGAGGGGCAGGTTGTCAGTCTCGTGGAACCAGTGCCCCCTGGGGGCCAGTTAGAAACAGACTTTTTATGGCTAGCCAGACTCTCAGGATTGGGATGGCTACCTCCCAGACTGGTAGACCAAAGCAGAATTCAGAACTTAAAAAAAAAAAAATTAGAAAATAAAGGGAAATGATTGCTTCTCTCACCCATGACCCAGCTCCCGAGGGCACACCCACTAGAGGCTCTGAACTGGGTGAGGCCAACTTTGGCCTGCCTTGGGGACACATGTGTCACAAACCTCTGCAAGCTGTGAGCCTCAGTCTCTCATCTGGAGACCTATCCACCCATCCCAGATCCCTGGCTCATCCTGGCCTCAGTCTCCGGGAATAGAACCCAGGGAGGTGACGAGATTGGAACAGGAGGTGGGAGCTCAGCCCTGCACTGGTCAGATGGGTTGCCATGGCCTTGACTGCTGGGAGCCACCTCCAGAGCCATAAAGTGAGGGTCAGGGTGTCTGATCAAGGAGTTATTGCATGCATGAACTCCCCCTCCCCCAGCCCTTTATCTTTAAAATTCGCAAACTTATAGAGATGTTGAAAGAGCAATGCACTGAACATCCACACACCCATCTCCCAGATTCAACAATTGCAATAATTATGGTATATTTGCCTGTCGGTTCACAAATATGGCTGAACCCTCATGCTCTTTCACTCCAAACCCTTCAACGCCTTCTAAGAATGAAGGCACTTCCTATATACCATGAAACTGGAATCCCAGCTCAGAAATTAACAGTCCTCTCCATTATCATCTAGGGCTTCATCCATATTCAAACGCTCCCAACTGACTCCAGAATATCTTTTAGACACTTTTTTTTTTTTTTTTAAATCAGGATCCAGTCAAGTTTCATGCATTTGGTTGTTTCTGCTGTTTCCCGGAACGTCCTGTCTTTGGGTTTGTTCAGTTATTTCCTGGAGGGATCATTTGGCTTGTTCTTATTCCTTGCAATGCCCTTTGAACTAGAAGTTGGGTCTAAAGGCCAGATTAGATTGCGATGGAACATTTTTGGCAAGGACCCATCTTCGGTGGTGCTGTGTATCACCTGGTGGCATGACATCGAGAGGCAGGGAAAGCTAGACTGTCTTCTCAGGGATGCCGACTTTGGTCACTGGGGTAAAGTGATGCGAAGTTCTAAATGCTGCAGGAGAGGATGATAACACAGAACTGTCCATTTTCTCTGCCTTTTGGTTTGTTGGTAGACTGAGGTCTGGGGCTATGCTGCCCTCTGAGCCATTGCCCGTGACCAGCACGAGAAACGATTTTTCTGGAGGCCACATCTTTAGGCATTTCTTGACACCACAGGTGTGGAGCAGAGAGGGAGAGAGACCCGAGAGTGGGAGCAGCTGCAGTGAGCTGCCGCCCAAAGTGAAGGATGCTCGCAGAACCCGTCTCAGCTACGCGGGAGCCAGAGCAGCTTGGAGCAGTGAAACTGGAGGAGGAGGAGTCTGCCGGCCAGGAGGACCCCAGGCAGCCAGAGGCCAGGCCCCGGCCTGAGGTGGCTCACCAGCTCTTCAGATGCTTCCAGTATCAGGAGGACATGGGGCCGAGGGCGTCCCTGAGCCGGCTTCGGGAGCTCTGCAGCCACTGGCTGCGGCCGGCTCTGCACACCAAGAAGCAGATCCTGGAGCTGCTGGTGCTGGAACAGTTCCTGAGTGTGCTGCCTCCCCACCTCCTGGCCCGGCTCCAGGGCCAGCAGCTCAGGGACGGCGAGGAGGTGGTGCTGCTGTTGGAGGGTGTCCAGAGGGAGTCTAGCAACGTGGGGCCACTGGTAAGAGGGTGGTGGGCCAGGCGGGACAGACAGCAGGGTGAAAAGACAGGGATTTTATTGTTCCATTAAGAAATCACTGAACATTCCACTTTCCTCCCTCCACCAAGTCCTTGTTAACCTCCTAACTTCTTCCCTGTCCGACTCACACCTTTCCTCTGTTCCATTCCTGTGGGAGTCAGTAGGACATGTATTATCATCCTGTCCATTGTCTAACATGAATGTGTTTTGAACAGGACTTTAGTTTTAATGCTGGCAAGAATTGTCCCCGTGCAGACATCACCTTGGAGGAACAGGGGGGCCCTTCCCAGGTCTCCAGCCACAGCCCCAAAAAAGAAATGCCCTCAGAAGGGCCTCCAGCCGTGGAGCCACCAAATGAACTCCCACCATCCCAGCCAGGACCTTCCAAGCCTGCTGAGCTGGGGGCCTGGAGACATTCCCCAAGTTCAAAGCAGCCCCAGAGCCCAGGTCCCAAGAGGACATTTCAGGCCCTGCAAGAGAGCGGTGAGGAGCTCGTGCCCAAGGAAGGTGGGAACCGGGAGACCGAGTGCATGAGGGCGGGGCAGGCAGCCATGGGCAGCCTCCCTAGTCGATGGGGTTGGGAGAGAGCCAAGATGTCTCTGCCAGGCCCTGGAGATGGGCGCACAGCCTCGTAGCCACATGGTAGGTAAAGCTGGCTTCTAACAGCTCTTTCTTCCTCCCCCAATGCTGTCAGCCCCCCAGGGTCCCCCGCTGTGGCCGGAGGAAAACTCCCGGGATCAGGAGCTGGCAGCTGTGCTGGTGAGCTGGACTGGTCCCTTCACTCCAGGTTGTTCTCATGCCCTGGAACGTTCTTTGCCTCTGTGGTTTTGGCACATCCATGTCTTCCTTAATTTAAACCTTGAAATCTCTTCATCCTCCTCAGGTCCCAGAGCCCCATTCCTCACTCACTGAGGGTCTCTGCCTCTCCTTTTGTCACAGGAATCCCTGACCTTTGAAGATGTCCCAGCGAAGAAGTCTTGGCCTGTGCACCCTCTGGGTAAGAGGCCTTTCCTGGGCTTACTGCCACCGAAGTCTGTTTCTTTTCCTGTCAGGAGTGGTCCCTGAAGCTCCAGACCCTACCTGACTTTTTGGCTTCTTTGGCTACAAATGGGCTATTTTGATGAGATCTTATGTATATGTTTTTAGAGGTTCATTGTGTCTGGTCTAATAATCAACCCTACTGACTTTGAGCCTTTAAAATAGGTGGTCATGGGAATGCTTGCTAAGGGGTAGGGGTTTCCATTTGGGGTAATGACAAAGTTCTGGCAGCAGACGGTAGTGATGGTTGCACGACATTGTAAACATACCTAATGGATCTGAATTGTACACTTTAAATCGATTACAGTGGAAAATTGAATTATTTGTTCTGTTGTCGTATTTTTTTTTTTTTATCCCCACCCTCTGTCCACCCACCAGCTTTGCAGAATCTTGGGTTTCTTTCTGCTTCCAGACAACGTACTCCTGGCAGTTCCTAGGAGCCCCTCACAATAGGTCTGACTGTCCTTGTTTTCTGCTTCTTTCCCAGGATTTGGAAGCAGAACCCCAGACGAGGAGTTTAAAGAAGAGCCCAAAGGGGTTGCCTGGCCCGCTGCCACTTCAGCAGAGTCTCGGGCAGATAGTCCCAGGGTGGCGGAAGAGCCCCATGCCCCGTCACTCGGGCAGGGCCCTGAGGTGAGCGGCACCGGTGAAGCAGTGTCGTCTCCCAGCAAGAATGACATTCTGGAGGTCAAAGTGGCCGGGGAGGCCTCCAAGTCGCAGCCAGAGATGAAGGTCATCTGCACAGAGTGTGGAGTGAGCTTCCCAGAGCTGGCCCGCCTGGAGACGCACCAGCTGCGGTCTCACCCAGGGTCGCGCTCCTTCCCATGCCTGTGCTGCGGAAAGAGCTTCGGCCGCAGCTCCATCCTCAAGCTGCACATGCGCACACACACGGACGAGCGTCCCCACGCCTGCCACCTCTGCAGCCACCGCTTCCGCCAGAGCTCGCACCTGAGCAAGCACCTGCAGACGCACTCCTCTGAGCCCGCCTTCCTATGCGCCGAGTGCGGCCAGGGCTTCCAGCGCCGGTCCAGCCTCATGCAGCACCTGCTGGCCCACGCCCAGGACCAGAAGCCGCCGTGCGCCCCAGAGACCAAGACTGAAGCGCCGGAGCCAGCCGTCGTCCTGTGCTCCCACTGCGGCCAAACCTTCCAGCGCCGCTCCAGCCTCAAGCGCCACCTGCGGATCCACGCCAAGGACCAGGGTCACCAGTGCTCCGAATGCTCAGGCAGCTTGCGCCCGGGCCCCGAGCGAAGGCCCTATGTGTGCAGCGACTGCGGCAAGGCCTTCCGGCGCAGCGAGCACCTGGGGGCCCACAGGCGCGTGCACACAGGCGAGCGGCCTTTCTCCTGCCAGGTCTGCGGCCGCAGCTTCAGCCAGAGCTCCCAGCTGATCTGCCACCAGCGAGTGCACACGGGTGAGAAGCCCTATGGCTGCCCGCACTGCGGAAAGCGCTTCGTGCGCCGAGCTGGCCTCGCCCGCCACCTCCTAACCCACGGCGGCCCGAGGCCCCATCACTGCACCCAGTGCGGCAAGAGCTTCAGCCAGACGCAGGACCTCGCCCGCCACCGGCGCAGCCACACTGGCGAGAAGCCCTGCCGCTGCAGCCAGTGCGGCGAGGGCTTCAGCCAGAGCGCCCACCTGGCGCGCCACCAGCGCATCCACACCGGGGAGAAGCCCCACGTCTGTGACACCTGCGGCCACCGCTTCCGCAACAGCTCCAACCTGGCCCGCCACCGCCGCAGCCACACTGGCGAGCGCCCCTACGGCTGCCAGACCTGCGGCCGAAGCTTCCGGCGGAATGCCCACCTGCAGCGACACCTGGCCACCCACGCAGGGGCAGGGGACGAGGCGGTGAATGGGCAGGCTGAGCCCCCCCAGGAGTGCCTGGAGTGCGGCAAGAGCTTCAGCCGCAGCTGCAACCTGCTGCGGCACATGCTGGTACACACTGGGGCCAGGCCCTACTCGTGCACGCAGTGTGGCCGCGGCTTCAGCCGCAACTCCCACCTGCTGCGCCACCTGAGAACGCACGCGCGGGAGACCTTGTACTAGCTGCGCCGCGTTCAACCGGCCTGCCCTGCGCACATCTCCTAGGCGTCCTCCGCAGCCCAGGCCTGCAGTGTCTGTCCCTGTCCCCCCACCCCACCCGACCTCCCTCTGGGTCCACCAACTCTGCATGTTAGTTCTGCCCTTCCCCAGAGGCATCTCTTCCTGGCCTCAGGAATGTATGTCAAAATGCTCAAAGTAAAACAGCCTTCTGGAAAGTGGTTCCTTTTTCTTTTTTAAGTTCGCCAAAATACCATCTGTTACCCTCCCGGCTGTGTCGTAACGATACCTTTCTCCTTCCTCCACCTGCGCCTTCAATAGCAGGTGGGACAGGAGCAGGTGAGCGAGAGTCCCCCCAACCCAGAAACACCAGGGGGTGTGTGTGGGGGGAGAGGCCATCTGTCATAACCAGCTGTGGGTAACGCCAGGGACTCTCAGCCTAGAATACTTTCTCCTCTGCAGTCTACCCCTATCTGTGCTGTCCAATATGGAATTCTCTAGCCATATGTGGCTGTTCAAATGAATTAAAATTCAATACAATTAAGAAACCCAGATTCTGGATTTTCATGGGAGTTGTTGTTCTATAATCTTGGTAAGTAATTCATATTGAAAATGCTCGTAGGGGAACGAAACTGGGCTGCCCGGAGTTGGGAAGTTAGTTGGGGAGCCCTAACCACCCATAATGCTCCAAACCCAAAGCTGTTTGGTGTATGGCCCCACCTTCTTCCTACCCATCAGGCAGTCCTGGCCGGCTCTCCCCTCTGGTGCATAGATTCAAAGTCACGTGACTCTGGTAAAAATGAGAGAAAAACAAAGCTCCCCCAGTTCCAAGAACATGCACTCTGGCTTTAGTCGGTGGCTTTTCACCCACAACAACATGGTGTCTGAGTCATCTTTGTCCCTCCTCCAACCTGACACAAAGCTGCTCTTCAGCACAGGGCTGTGGAAAGTAGTGAACTCAGCATCCAGGGCTCAAGGGGCTGAGGGAGATCCAACCCCACACCCAGGGAAAGAGAAGGTTCTTGGGCTCAGGTGGGTGGGAAAGCGCTGAGCCTGGTCACAGTCAGCCCTTGTGGGGTTGGGAGAAAGATTGGGGTCCAGAGAGTCACTGGATGTCACAGAACAAAGTAGACTCCTGGAAGAGCCCATGAGGAAAATGTTAAGGAGGAAGGATTGGTCAAGTAAGAGATTGCGAGTGAGGACTTGGGAGAACTCAGAGCACGTAGAGGCCTTATCGTTGAGCACATACTATTTGCCTGGGAATGTGTGGGTGATTGAGGAGAACAAGGCCTTAAATAGGAGAAGGCAGCCTTGCAGAATAGGGGGCAAAGTAAGCCAGGCACATGGAACAGCATGTGCCAAGGTCCTGAGATGAGAAGAGCTCAGCAGGCAGCTGGAGATGTTGTCCAGGAGGGGAGATCCCCAGGGACCTGAGGATGTGAGACCAAACCTGAAGTGAGTTCACTCACCCGTTGCGCAGCAAGCCAATCTCTGACACCGGGTATGGTGGAAGAAAGTAGGAATTTTATTTTTGCACAGTGCTGAGCAAGGAGAGAGGGCAGCTAACGCTGAAATCCCAAACTCCTTGAAAAGCTAAAAGGAACGATTTTTAATTGGGGTTTTAGGTAGGGGAGGGGGTGCATATGGCCTTGCTGGTCGGAGCTTTCCCACCAGCCCATCTGTGGCCTTGAGACTACTTGCAGAGAGGAGGGAGCCCACGACCTTGCTGATCAGCAGCTTCCCCACTAGCCTATATCTCTTTGCGGGGAGGAGATAATCCAGGTGCTTGTCCTTGGCCATGTAGGTCTCCACGGAGGATAGTGGATTCTGGAGCCAGGAAGCCAGAGAGTAAACAGGGAATGAGTGTTTTGGTTTTAACCCCATATATGCTGGGTTTAATGTGGGGCAACTGATATCAGGGTCGGTATCAGATGCAGAGGGGGCCTTAGAGCCCAGGGGCGGGGTTTATTCACAGTGGGAATGGGGAGGATTTCAGGCAGGGAGTTCTTCATCTTTGACAAGGAAATCCTCAAGGCCTTGGCTGCTGGATGGAAGTAGCTCGAAACAGGCGAGAGCTGGGAGATGAGCTGGGAGGGTTGTCCCGGCTGACAATGATGGTGACCTCAGGGGGTGATGGGGCCACAAAGCCCCTGATGGCTTCAGCGAAGGAGGAGGGTGTCTCTGTGAGAAGAGTCAGGTGGGAGGACATGAGGGGAGGTAAGTGGAAGGTTGACACAGGGTCCCCTGTGAAATGAGGGAAAGGGTCTGAAAGGACTTGAATGGTGACTGGGAGGTGAGGCCAAGAAATGCCCAAGGAGGAGTGAAGGCTGGGTCAGGACCCGGCAGTGGGTGGCACATGGAGCCAGAGAACTCAGGCCAGAGATGGGCCTTCCCGTGTACAGGCTGTCAGAGGGGTCCCCTGGACGGGAAGGAGGGTAGGGTGCGGGCCACAATGGGCTCCGCAAAAGGACCCCAGACTGGGCCGCCTTCTACCTCAGGTGGAGGGGCCAGGCCAAGAGGAAGGGAGACCCTTGCCCCTCCTCCCCTCCCTGCTGTGGCAGGGCTGAGAGCGTCAGGCTCCCTCAGGATCCTCAGGGCCACCAAGAAGCTCAGGTCAGGGTCATGGTGCAGCCATGGCCTCCTCCTGCTGGACTCACAGGGAGGCCCCAGGGGGCGGTCTTTCTAAGAATCAGAAGTTCCTACTGTGATGCAAAAGGCTCTGAGGCAGCTGGCAGACAAAGGAGGGGGACACTGACCCTCAGAGCTGCCCCAGGTCCTTGAGGCCTCCTCCCCACAGCCCTCCCACCCTGCACCCTCCCCTCCCCAGACAGTGGGCTTAGCCCTGGGCCAGATCAGGGAGGCTTCCCTCTGCTGGGATGTCTCCTCCTCACCAGGCCCATGTCTTCCTCCCTCCCTGCTCTGCCCTCACGTCAAGGCCCTGGGACCCTCCACAGTTCAGGCCCAGCACCAGCCCTCACCTCATCTCAGCAGCTACTGGTCCTGCCAACCACCCTAAGTGCACAGCTGCTCTGTGGGCATCTGCCTGAGGCAGGAGGTCAGGGAGGAGGGGGAGCTGGGGGAGGGGCATCTGGCCTCACAAATGCTGAGTACTGCTGGCCCCCAGCCCTTGCTCCTGGCTCCCCCCAGTCTCTGCATTGGCAGACCCAGGTAAGGCCACAGGCCAGAGTTCAGACTCCTGCCCCGCCCTACTCAGCCCTTCTTCTGGGGCCAGGTAGGGGTGCCCTCTCCCTCCCCCTCTGTCCCAGCTCCTGGGCCTCTGACCTTGGGACAAAGACCAAGGAGTTTCAGAGACCCCAGCCCAGCTGGAGCGATGAAGACCCGAAGAGGGAGGTCGGGAGAGGAACAGAGGAGGCCAAAGCCCCCCAGGCCGAGCCCCCTGCTGCCCCAGGAGTGGGCAGTGAGTGAGTGCTCCTGGGCATCAGGCCCTGTGATGAGCACGGCACCAGCCTGACATCTTCCCGTCTCCACCACACGCCTGTGGCCAGTTGTGAGCAGGGTCCCCATTACAGATTAGAGAGGTCAGATGGCCTGTCCTTGCTCCCCAGAGCTGGGACCCCAGTCCAGGTCCTTCTGAGACCTGGTCTCTCCCCGTAACCACTGGGCCCCCTGCCTCCCATCCTGACAGGCACTCAATTTGGTTCAACAACTTTATTAAGACATATGCGCTGGAGCCACAAGTCAGACCTGCAGAAGGAAACCTGAGCAGGAAGTGCATGGTGGGCAGGGTGGCCAGGCTGTGCACAGCAAGGAGGTGAGGGAGGTGGTCAAGGACAGGTCAAGGGTAGGCAGGTGGCAAAGGTCACTTCTGAAGGTTCTCTGTGAAAAGGGGGACGTCAAAGGGCTGCAAGGTGTGGCTACCCCTCCTGGACCCCATGGGGCCCCCTAGACCTGGATGTGGTACCTAAACAACCCAGCCATATAGGAGCAGAAACTCTCAAGCACACTATTAATGGACTGGGCCACACTGCATAGGGCCTGCCAGCCAGCAGCCACCTTCTCTCGCACCCAGGCCAGTACAGCCTGCCACCTCTGCTTCAGTCGCTGTAGCATCCCCATGAACGACCTCCATGCTCTGACCCAAAAGCTTTCTTCAGGCTCGGGTGCCTCTAGAGCCTCAACTTGCAGGATCCCTGGACCCTCAGGTTCAGGGTTGAGGACAGAGGACTTCTGAGCTCTGCGACGTAACCTGGGCTTCACGTCAGGAAGTAAAGGCGCAGATTCCTGGGGGATAGGGTCTCTTCAGGGTCCCGCCTTGGGGGGCTGCAGCCCCATGGCCTGACCCTGGCTGAGGCCTCACAGCCTTTCTGAGTTTGCGATACAGAAGCCTACAGATGGAAACTGCCTACTTTCCTGCCAACAGCTCCACAGACACAAGGACTTTCCCAGAGGCTTAGCCCCTCACGTCCCCTCCGTGGCATAAACCAGGATGGTGGCGCCTGCTTGTTGGCTGACTGGCCTCGGAGCCCAGCACCAGGCCCACGCGGCTCATCTCACAGGGAACTGAGGGCAGGCCTCTGGCCACTGTTTGCTGGGTTGGGAGGCCTGGAGGCTGGTGCCAGAGAGCCTGCCACCCCCTGAGCTCTCGGACTGCCATCCCTCACCTTCTGCTCGGGGCGGGGGGGGGGGGGAGGCTGTGTACACAGATGGCAGCACCAACATCTAGAGAGAGCAGGAGGAAGGGGAAGAAAGGAGGGCTGAGACAGGTGCCTCAAACTCACTGAGTTGTTCTTCTGATGGTGCTCCTCCACGGCGTCAAGAATGTTTTCACTGAATTTTTCCTGGGGACAGGAGGGTACAGAGGCTGCAGACCTGCTCCTGAAGTCTGCAGTCCCCACTGTGGTCCCCAGGGGTCCAGGTGAGTCACAAGGGAGCTGAGAGCCCCGACCGCATAACCTGGACGAGCCCAGCTCCTGGGGTCTAAGGTTTGGGGGAGGGACAAGGCCCAAACTCACCTCCAGGTCTTCTAGGCCTAAATCGACCTATTAGAAAAAACCACGAGGTTTCAATCTCCCAGCCGCCTTCCGCCTCATCTTCTCCCCAAGCCCCAGCTTGTCACCAGCACCCGCCCACCCCATAACTGGGTCCAGCCCAGGTACCTGAGGACCATGTGTTGGCATCGCTGCTCTGTCATCATTATGCCCAGAGACTTGGACACCTCCTGCAGCCTCCTGGGCCTCTGCATCCCCCCCACCTGTGCATTCACCTGCCACACAGGTGTGCATTTTGTCCAGTGTAGGGAATGAGCAAACCTGAGGTGGCACGTTCTTCCTCCTCATCGTCATCGTGACCACCCGACCCCCGAGGTTACGGGAGCAGGGCGTGGGAGCACACTGACACACCTGTTCCTCTCCTTGGGATTGAACTTCGATATCATCAAGCCACCGGTCTAAAGTGCTGTGCTGTGAAGAGAGACAGAGTCTGGACAAAGAGTCCTGACCCTTCTCCCTCCTGGGTCGCAGGTGGGCCAGAACATTCTCAGCCTCACACAGCAGACCCCAGGTCCCCACTCGCCCCTCCCACCCCACACCATACATGGGGAAGAGCCTCTTACAAATCGGATCTTCCAACGTTCATTGTCTTCTCTGGACGTCTGTAGAGATAACAGTCACACTCAGATCCATGTGACCTAGCCAGCTCCACGCCTATAATCCATACTCACATGCACACACACACACACACTCATCGTGCACATACACTCACAAGTAACAACATTGCTGTGGAGCAGGCAGGGTCAACCCAGTTCCCGCATACACAGCCCTCTGTGGTCCTGTGTGAGAGTGGCCGAGAGAGGAACTGGCAGTGACCATTCCTTTGTGAGGCGGCCACAGAGACCCAGTGGTGCCTGCAGGCAGCTGCTCTCCTGACCGCTGACCCCGCACGGCCCCAGCAGCCCAGGCCCATTCCCACCTGACACGTGCCTCCACCACAGAGGCGGGACGTACCCCACAGACGTTCTCACCAGTCTCCACGCTGTGGCCCCAATCTGGCTTTAAACACACTGGTTTGCGGACCACAGGGTGATCAGTGCCACTAACAGTGTGTGCACGGCCCTGGGCAAATGTCTTTGTGGGGCACCTGCCTGCACAGTTTAGTCAGCAATGGTGCCATCCTGTCAGCCCCATGTCACAGGAAATAGGGCAAAGGAAGTGTCATGCCAGCCAGTGGGAACCACCTGCTCCCCAAGTCACCCTCCTAAACTGGGCCTGGCCCCTGGGCCCTGATGACCCTACTGTCACAAGGCCCAGAGTGCACAGGAGCATCTGGTCACCCCCAGGATTGGGGTGGGCAGTGAGGGAGGGTGGGGGAGGTGGGAGGGCACCCCAAAAGGGAGGAATAGACACTGAGGCCGATGCAGGTCCTGGGCTGCTGGTCCAGGAACCAGAGAGGAATTGGAAAAGTTTCCAGGAAAGCACCACCCACCCCCAGCCCCCAGGTTTCCAGGGCATGAAGGGTCTCCTGGGACTGGAGACTCTTCTGACCCTCCCTTCACCAGCTTTCCCCACACACATGTCAGGTCTACTCATGAAACTAACACCCTTGTGCCATAACACTCATTGCTCCTCGGTGCCCCTACACTCACACCCACACACGCCTCTTCTCACACTCACACAAGCACACACACAGAGCTGCCCTCTAGAATTTACCTCCCAGGCAGGGATTCTGGCCCCACAGCCAGGACCTGCTACATAAAGTGAAGGACTCTGAGCAGAATGAAACTGTGGGTCCCTTTGTCAATAATTATTCAGAATCTCAGGTTGGTGACAGCAGAGCATTCCATGAACCAATTTCAGGGCCATTGGGAAACTGGAACCCTGAAGAGGGCTCAGATCGCTGCCCATGACCCCTGCTTCCCCAGCAGCTGCCCCCATGGCCCAGGGAGAACAGGACAGAGCCAGGTGCATGGGGAGGGATCAATGTGGGTGGGAGCCAGCACTGGTGAGAGACGGGGACACACAGCAGAGATGGGAGTCCAGGGCCCACTGTCCCCACGTCACCTGCTCTCACTCACCTTGGGGTAGCCCATGGCAGCTCAGGATTCCAGGGGCTGTGCCCTGCGGGGAGGACAGTTGTGAGGAAAAGTGTTTCAGAGAAGCAGCCTCTCTCACGCCCAGGAAAGTCCCTTTGTCCAGCTCCCTCCCTCGGCCTCCTCTGAGTCACTCACTGCCCCAAGGGCCTCTCAGCACAGAGCCACAGCTGAGGTTTGTGGTGCAGAGGGAGGTGCAGCTAATTTAAGAGCAGAGGAAGGAAGGGTGGAGGAGGGCAGAGCCTGCCAGGGGGTAGGATGCAGGGCTGGCTCTGTGTGTGTGTGTCTGTGTGTGTCTGTGTGTGTGTGACAGAGACAGAAGGAAGAAGAGACAAGGAGACCAAGCTCTGAGGGCCCTGGGTGGGGAGGGTATGTCCTTTCCACTGGAGCTCCCTGGTAGTGGCCCCTCCACACTCTGAGCTGGGGTGCAAATCTCTGAGCCCAGTAATGGGCCTCTTGCCCCCACTCCATCAGCCAGAGACAGGGAAGGGGCAGAGGGGAGCGTCCAGGCTTGGGAAAGCAGGTTGGGAATCTCCTGGAGCTTCTGAGAATGAAGTCAGCTGGGTGGGGGTCCAGGTACCGGGAATGCCAACCAGGTCCCCTGAAAGGAGAGCTGCTCATCTCCAACGTCCAAAGAAGGTTCTGGAGAAGCTCCTGGCTCAGGATAGGGCAGGACCTGCAGTCCCCTGAGGTGGGCCCCCCAGACCTAACCACCACACAGGCCCCTGCAGGGGCGGCTGACAGCAATACCTGTCTGCCCCTGGGACAGGATGAGGCCCTTAGGAGGGGCTGAAGGAAGCCTTGCTGACCATGTAGACCTGGTTGGCCAGGCTCTCCTGAGCCTTCCTGGGGCCCCACAATCCTGCAGCACCTCTGCAGGAGCCCCCCAGGCTCTGGTGAGCCCCACAGTGTTAGCCTCACACAACCTGGTCACCTCGCAGCTCTTACCTAACACCCTACTTGGAACCAAAGCCCCTCACAGTTCAGCACAGCCATTGTCCTGCCCTCTGTGCTAGGGTCCCAGGGCTGCCACGAAAAGACCCACAGATTGGGTGGTTAAACACACAAATCTCTTCTCTCAAGTTCTGGAGGCTGGAAGTGCAAATCAAGGTGTTGGCAAAATTGGTTCCTTCCCAGGGCCGAGGGAGAAGGATATGTTCCAGGCATCTCTCCTAGGCCTGTAGATGTGCACATGGCGATTTTCCTGTATACGTGCCTGAGTCCAGATTTCCCACTTTTATAAGGACACCAGTCATATTGGTTTAGGGCCCACCCTAATGACATCATTTTAACTTCATTCCCTCCGTAAAGACCCAATCTCCCATTGAGGTACTAGGGTTAGAACTTCAGCATATGAATTTGGGGGACACAATTCAACCCCTGACATCCTGAAGAAGGACCCAAGACCCTGAGGGGCCACCTGTGTGAGCCCCAGAGGGACAGACCTACAAACACACTTGCCTGGTGACAGTCTCACTTGGGTTAATTAGACCCCAGCTCGTGTCTCCCTGCCCCTTCAGAGCCCAGTCAATTGCCTGAAACCCGCTTTACACACCCAGGAAGTCCAAACCCTTCCCTGGGCCATCCTTGAATTCCAGGGTGGGAGAAAGAAGGGAGCTGCTCCTGCTTCAGCTGCAAGCAGTGTTTCTGGGCTTCTTCTCCACAATCCTGCTTCCCTGACCCCATGTGGCACTTGGCCCCTCCAGGAGTGTCTCAGAAAGGCCACCATCTGAAGGCACCTTGTTTGTTTCTTTTTCTTGCCTAATTGCTCTGGCTACGACTTCCAATACTATGTTAAACAAGAGTGGTGAAAGTGGGCGTCTTGTTCCTGTTCTTAAATGGATAGCTTTCAGTTTTTCTCTGCTGAGAATGATATTAGCTGTGGGTTTGTCAAATATGGCCTTTCTTATGTGAAGGCACCTTGTGTTTCACTGGGAAATGTATTTTTATTTTTTAATAGCTTTTGTGAGATATAATTCACATACAACACAATTCACCCTTTAAAGTGTACAATCAGTGCACACTGTTCAGGCGTCACCACAGTCAATTTCAGAAACTTTCACCACCTCAAAAAGAAATTCTGCACCCTTCCGTCATCATCCCTTAACTCCCACGTCCCCACCCCTCACCTGGCCCAAGAAACCACTCATCTATTTTCTGTGTCTATGGCTTTTCCTCTTCTGGACATTTCATATAAATGGAAACAGTCACACGGGATCCGTTGTGTGCGTCTTCTTTCCCTTAGTCTAAAGTTTTCAAGGTTCATCCATGTTGTAGTGCATGTCGTTGCTTCATTCTTTTTGTGGCTGAATAATATTTCACTGTAAGGATGGACCAAACTTTGTTTATCCATCACCTATTGATGGACATTTTGGGCGTTTCCCCCTCTCGGCTGTTGTGAGTAATGCTGCTGTGAACATTCGTATACAAGTTTTTGTGTGGACAGATGGTTTTTTCTTGAGTATATACCTAAGAGTGGAATTGCTGGGCCTTATGGTAACTATGCGTTCAACTTTGTGAGGTACCACCAGACTGATTCCAAAGTGACAACACCATTTTACATTCATGGCAGCAGGGGATGAAAGTTCCAATTTTTCCACATCCTCACCAGCACTTACTATTATGTCTTTCTGATTTTAGCCATCCCATGGGTGTGAAGTGGTACCCATTATGGTTTTGATTTACATTTCCCTCATGACTAAAGATGTTGAGCATCTTTTCATGTGCTTATTGGCCTTTTTTATGTCTTCCTTGGAGAAACGTATACTCTGATTCTGTGCCTTTTTTTAAATAAGGTTGCCTTTTTATTATGAAGTTGTAAGAGTAGTTTATATATTCTCGATATGAGTCCCTTATCAGATTATAATTTCCAAATACTTTTCCCCATTCTTTGGGTTGTCTTTTCACTTTATTAATGGTTTCCTTGGAAGCACAAAGTTTCAAATTTTCATTATGACACTGTACCATTCTTAAAACAAAAATAATCCACTCAACATGGTAATTTTGTCTAGTAGACGTAATCAATTCTTAAAGGCTGGGGAAGGAGAAGTTTCCGTGCCACGCTGAAAGCAGCCTCACCTTTCACATGGACACCTCTCCTCTGGGCTCCTCCACCACCAACCAAGAACAACTTTTGGGTTCCTCTCTGTGCTTCCTCCTCCCACCCTCTCTCCTTCTGGCCCTTCACTTGCCTCCCATCAACTCTGGATTCAACCTCATGAGCAAAGCAGAGCGATTCAAGTCCCTCAGTACCTGCCACCAAACTTCATCCCAGGTCCCTCAGTGCTGAGAGGAAATGAAGGGCTTTCTCTCCAGTCATTTTCCTTGTCCCCCTGGGTGTTAAAGTAAATGAGTTTCGCTCTCCTCACACTCTGAAGAGAGCCTGATGGAGCCCCAGACCACTGGTTGTCTGGTGGCTTAGCATTCTCAGGTCACAAGCTGGTCAAAGAAACCAGGGTGCCCTCGGACTGCTCTGGTTGTCATGACCGACAGGGGGCCAATGTCCCCGCCCACTGGGACTGCAGTCCACAGCCTTGGGTGTGAGCAGCTCTGCAGGGCCACTGCAGTCAGACCAAGAAAGGTTGGTAAGTGACCCCAACTACGGGGGGTGGACCCCACTCCGGGAGGTTCTCGGCTTGGCTCTGTAGCGAACGTGAAGTGATGGGGCCACAGGAGGGAGAACATGGCAGAGACAGAGAAAACACATCCGACAGTGTCAGGAGCTGCTAGCCCAGCTCCCTTGTCCACCAGGCCACCCACCTCCCAGCCTGTTCAAATGCAGACTCCTTGTCCCACCCCCAGAGTGAGGATTCAGGATGAGGGCATGGCATCTTCATTTTTAAGTTCTCTGGGTGATTCTGATGTGGAATATTCCAGAAACACAGGCCCAGTGGCACTGACTTAGATTCTGAATTTTGTGGGGACTGGGGGCATGATTGAGGTGGCCCAGAACCCCCCATTTGTCACCCAGGATGCTGAGGAGGCAATGACGCTGATTGAGAGGGAACTCAGTCCAGTGTCTTTCCTCCAGCCCTGAGCTGATGGGGGCCCAGGAGTTCTCCCTGAGGGAAGCAGCAGACACTCCAGTGTGGAGGCTGTGGGAGCTTCTGCAGAACTAGGAGGGTGTCCCACTGAACGAGGGCAGTCCTGGGTCCCGGGTGGTGACGAGCAAGGAGGAACGCGTGGCAGGATGGTGAAGGGTCACCTGCATGACAACTGATTTCACTCAGGTCAAGGGCACTGGTGCTCAGGGGTGGTCTCAAGCTTGGGTCCAGGATCACCACCTATGTGGGGTTGACTAGGATTTTCTGGAAGCAGACAGGTTGAGAAACTCAGAGCAGCAGGTGGAGAGGGGCCAGGGATCAGCTTCCCCATTGGGCCTGTCCTCTAAAGACCCAAACAGCCTGGAGCTGCTGTGGCCGGGCGGGGCCAGGGCTACAAGACAGCAGCCGCCAGAGCTCTGAGAAAGGCTAGCTATTCCGGGAAAACGAGAGTCCTGAGCTCCAAGAAAGCCTAGCTATTCCGGGAAAAGGAGAGTCCTGAGCTCCAAGAAAGGCTAGCTATTCCGGGAAAAGGAGAGCCCTGGGGAGGCAGTGCCCAGCCAGAGTCTCTGGGCCCAGGCTCCAGGCTCATTTGCCCACCCCCAAGGAATGGTGAGGGGTACTAACTGCCAAGGCACCCTCTGGCAATCCTGTCCTCACCACACCCTGAGCAGTGTCCCCCACATAGAGTCTGTCCCCCAAAGTTAGACTTGCTGCTGCTAGAGCTGAGTAGGAGATGGAGGGGAAGCTGGGAGGGCCTCCTGAGTATGGGGTGACCAGCCCCTGTGCGCCACCGTGCATCATGGAGGGGAGGCTCAGGCCCACTCTCCTAAGCCCAGCCTCAGTTGGGGAGGAAGGGCCTTCTCTGTGGTCGCTGTGGTCTCCAGGGTTAGATGGATAACAGCCTGGTTGTTCTTGGGGACCTGCCTGTGTGTCACACACACTCTGTTACACTGTTGCCTCCCCCCGGCTCCCGTAACTGCCTAACGCTCTCTGGTCTGTGCCCCCTTCGCTCTCTCTGAGGGTAACCCTATAACTCATTCTGAGTCTCCCCTGCCAGCTACACCCTCAGTTTCGGACTCTGGTGCACAGATTCAAAATCACATGACTTCTAGTAAAAACAGGAGAGGAAATAAAGCGCCCCCAGCTCCGAGAACACACCCTTCTGCTTTAGTCGGTGGCTTTTCATCCACGACAACATGGTGTCTGAGTCATCTTTGCCCCTCCTCCAACCCGACACACAGTTGCTCTTCAGCACAGAGTTGTGGAAAGTAGTGAACTCAGCATCCAGAGCTCAAGGGGCTGAGGGAGATCCGATCCCACACCCGGGGAAAGAGAAGGTTCTTGGGCTCAGGTGGGTGGGAAAGCCCTGAGCCTGGGCACAGTCAGCCCTTGTGGGGTTGGGAGAAAGATTGGGGTCCAGAGAGTCACTGGAAGTCACAGAACAAAGAAGACTCCTGGAAGAGCCCAAGGAAGAAAATGTCAAGGAGGAAGGACTGGTCAAGTAAGAGATTGCAAGTGAAGCACTGGGAGAACCCACAGCACTGAAAAGCTTTATGGTTTCTTGAGCGGCTACTGTGTGCCAGGGAATGTGCTAGGCTATTGATGGGAACAAGGCCTGAAATAGAAGGGGGAGGCAGCCTCAGAGAAGAGGAGGAAGGGCATCCCAGGCAGAGGGAATAGCATGTGCAAGGGCCCTGAGATGAGAGGAGCTCAGCAGGCAGCTAGAGATGTTGTCCATGAAGGTAGATCCCCAGGGACCTGAGGATGCAGAGGAGGCCTTAGAGCCCAGGGGCGGGGTTTATTCACAGTGGGAACGGGGAGGATTTCAGGCAGGGAGTTCTTCATCTTTGACAAGGAAATCCTCAAGGCCTTGGCTGCTGGATGGAAGTAGCTCGAACCAGGCGAGAGCTGGGAGATGAGCTGGGAGGGTTGGCCCGGCTGACAACGACGGGGACCTCAGGGGGTGATGGGGCCACAAAGCCCCTGATGGCTTCAGCGAAGGAGGAGGGTGTCTCTGTGAGAAGAGTCAGGTGGGAGGACATGAGGGGAGGTAAGTGGAAGGTTGACACAGGGTCCCCTGTGAAATGAGGGAAAGGGTCTGAAAGGACTTGAATGGTGACTGGGAGGTGAGGCCAAGAAATGCCCAAGGAGGAGTGAAGGCTGGGTCAGGACCCGGCAGTGGGTGGCACATGGAGCCAGAGAACTCAGGCCAGAGATGGGCCTTCCCGTGTACAGGCTGTCAGAGGGGTCCCCTGGACGGGAAGGAGGGTAGGGTGCGGGCCACAATGGGCTCCGCAAAAGGACCCCAGACTGGGCCGCCTTCTACCTCAGGTGGAGGGGCCAGGCCAAGAGGAAGGGAGACCCTTGCCCCTCCTCCCCTCCCTGCTGTGGCAGGGCTGAGAGCGTCAGGCTCCCTCAGGATCCTCAGGGCCACCAAGAAGCTCAGGTCAGGGTCATGGTGCAGCCATGGCCTCCTCCTGCTGGACTCACAGGGAGGCCCCAGGGGGCGGTCTTTCTAAGAATCAGAAGTTCCTACTGTGATGCAAAAGGCTCTGAGGCAGCTGGCAGACAAAGGAGGGGGACACTGACCCTCAGAGCTGCCCCAGGTCCTTGAGGCCTCCTCCCCACAGCCCTCCCACCCTGCACCCTCCCCTCCCCAGACAGTGGGCTTAGCCCTGGGCCAGATCAGGGAGGCTTCCCTCTGCTGGGATGTCTCCTCCTCACCAGGCCCATGTCTTCCTCCCTCCCTGCTCTGCCCTCACGTCAAGGCCCTGGGACCCTCCACAGTTCAGGCCCAGCACCAGCCCTCACCTCATCTCAGCAGCTACTGGTCCTGCCAACCACCCTGAGTGCACAGCTGCTCTGTGGGCATCTGCCTGAGGCAGGAGGTCAGGGAGGAGGGAGAGCTGGGGGAGGGGCATCTGGCCTCACAAATGCTGAGTACTGCTGGCCCCCAGCCCTTGCTCCTGGCTCCCCCCAGTCTCTGCATTGGCAGACCCAGGTAAGGCCACAGGCCAGAGTTCAGACTCCTGCCCTGCCCTACTCAGCCCTCCTTCTGGGCCAGGTAGGGGTGCCCCCTCCCTCCCCCTCTGTCCCAGCTCCTGGGCCTCTGACCTTGGGACAAAGACCAAGGAGTTTCAGAGACCCCAGCCCAGCTGGAGCGATGAAGACCCGAAGAGGGAGGTCGGGAGAGGAACAGAGGTGGCCAAAGCCCCCCAGGCCGAGCCCCCTGCTGCCCCAGGAGTGGGCAGTGAGTGAGTGCTCCTGGGCATCAGGCCCTGTGATGAGCACGGCACCAGCCTGACATCTTCCCGTCTCCACCACACGCCTGTGGCCAGTTGTGAGCAGGGTCCCCATTACAGATTAGAGAGGTCAGATGGCCTGTCCTTGCTCCCCAGAGCCGGGACCCCAGTTCAGGTCCTTCTGAGACCTGGTCTCTCCCCGTAACCACTGGGCCTCCTGCCTCACATCCTGACAGGCACTCGATTTGGTTCAACCAACTTTTATTAAGACACATGGTCTAGGGGGTGACCTTAACCCCCATGGCTGGGTGGTTAAGTTTGTGCATTCCACTTCAACGGCCCAGAGTTTCGCCAGGTCAGATCCCGGGCGCAGACATGGCACCACTCATCAGGCCATGCTGAGGCGGCGTCCCACACGGCACAGTCAGAAGGATCTGCAACTAGAATATACAAATACGTACTGGGGGACTTTGGGGAGAAGAAGGAAAAACCAAAATAAAACAGATGTTAGCTCAGGTGCCAATCTGAAAAAAAAAAATCAGGGCTAGAGCGACAAGTCAGCCCTGCAGAAGGAAACCTGGGCGGGAGGGAGTGGCGGGCAGAGTGACCAGGCCTTGCACAGGCAGGAGGTGAAGGAGGCGGTCAAGGACAGGTCAAGGAGAGCAGGTGGCAAAGGCCGCTTCAGAAGATTCTTTCTGATGGAGGAAGTCAAAGGGTTGCGAGATGTGGCCACTCCTCCTGGACCCCGTGGGGCCCCCTGACCTGGGTGAAGACCTGAGCCACAAAGGACCAGAGACTCTTAAGCACACTCCGGATGGACTGGACCGTACTGCGCAAAGCCTACAAGTCAGCTCCACTTTCTGCACCCAGCCCACTGCCTCCTGCAACATCTTCTGCTGTCCTCCAGCAGCTCTTGGAACAATCTCAGTGCTCTGTCACAGAAGTTATCTGGGCTCCACAGCCTCTGGAGTCTCAGGTTCTGGGATGGGGCCAGAGGGCTTCTGGACACTAGAAGGGGCCTCTGGACTTTCAGGATCCGGAGTGGGGCTGGAAGGACTGCAGACTCTGCAAGGGCCCTCCTGCTGCACTTCAGAAAGTAAGCCCTTTCCTGCAGGGATGTGGGCCATTCAAGGTCCTGCCTGTGGGGATGCAGCCCCAGGTCCTGACCCTGGCTGATGCCTTCCAGTCTTTCTTAGTCTGGGAAATGACAGAAACTGCCTGCTTTCTCACCAGCTGTTCCACAAACACGAGGACTTTCCCAGAGGCTCGGCCCTTCAGGTCCCCTCTGTGGTATAAACCACGACGGCTGCACCTACTTGTTGGCTGACTGGCCTTGGAGCCCAGCACCAGGTCCACCAGGCACATCTCACGTGGAACTGAGGGCAGGCCTCTGGCCACTGTCTGCTGGGTGAGGAGGCATGGAGGCTGGTGCCAGAGAGGCTGCCACCTCCTGAGCTCTCTGGGGGCCATCCCTCCACCCCTCACTCAGGGTGGTTGTATACACACATGGCAACATCAAAATCAAGAGAGAGAAAAAGGGGAAGGGGAAACAAGGGGCATTAAGACAGGCACATCATCTCACCATGTAGTTTCTCTGATAGAGAATATCCATATGGTCAAGCAAGATTTCACTGAATTGGTCCTGGGGACAGGAGAGCACAGAGGCTGCAGACCTGCTCCTGCCTGCTGAAGCCTGCAGTCCCCACTGTGGCCTCCAGGGGTGCAGTGAGACATAAGGGAGCCACGAGCCCAGACCCAATAACCTGGATGACCCAGCTCCTGGGAACTAAGCTTTGGGGGAGGGGAAAGATCAAAACTCACCTCCACATGTACTAGGACCGTCTGGACCTACTGGGAAAATAACACACAGTTTCAATCCCCCGGCTCCCTCCCTTTCTATCTCCTCCTCAAGCCCCGGCCTGTCCTAGCCCCACCTCCCCCCATAACTGGGTCCAGCTAGGTACTCAGGGACCAGGTGTCTGGCATTGCTGCTCTGTCACCTGTATGCTCTGTGACTGGGACACCTCCCTCAGCCTCCCTGGGCCTTGGTATCCCCCCCCTGTGCACTCACCTGCCACATTGGTGTGCATTTGGTCCACTGTAAGGGATGAGCAAACCGGAGGTGGCACCTTCATCATCATCATCATCATCATCATCTTCGTCATGAAACAACCCCACCACCAAGTTACGAGAGCACGGGGTGGGGGCACGCTGACCTACCTGTGCATCTCCTTGGGGTTGACCTTTGATTTTATCACAGAAATTGTCTACATCCCCGCACTGTGAAGAGAGGCAGAGTTGGGACAAAGAGGCCTGACCCTCCTCCCTCTGGGTCCCAGGTGGGCCAGAACATTCTCAGCCTCACACAGGAGAGCCCAGGCCCCTGCTCACCACCCCAACCACACATGGGGAAGAGCTTCTTACCTCTTCAGTTCTCCAACTCTTATCCGGGACTCGGGATCTCTGTGGAGGTAACAGTGACATTCAAATCTTATATGACTTTCTACACCCCCACACCTGTTACACACACACACACACACACACACTCATCGTGCACACAAACATACAAGTAACAACATTGCTCTGGACCGGGCAAGGTCAACCTGGTTCCCACTACACGGCCCTCTGTGGTCCCAGGTGAGAGTGGCTGAGCAAGGAATCGGCGGTGACCATTCCTCTGTGAGGCGGCCACAGAGAGCTAGCGGTGCCTGCAGCCAGCTGATCTCCTGACCGCTGACGCTGCAAGCCCCCAGCAGCCCAGATCCATTCCCACCCGACACGTGTCTCCACCACAGAGGCAGGATGTACCCCACAGACATCCTTACCAGTCTTCATGCTGTGGCCCCAATCTGGCTTTATACACACTGGTTTGGAGACCACAGGGTGATCAGTGCCACTTACAGTGTGCGCACGGCCCTGGGCAAATGTCTTTGTGGGGTACCTGCCTACACACTTTGAGTCAGCGATGGTGCCATCCTGTCAGCCCCATGTCACAGGAAATAGGGCAAAAGATGCCCACCTTTTACTTTTAAAGTAATTATTGATGGGCATGGATTTACTGCCATTTCATTAACTGTTTTTAGCTGTTTTTAGTTCCTCTGTTTCTTTCTTCTTCTCTTGCTCTCTTCTTTTGTAGTTTGATGACTTTCTTTACTGTTATGCTTAATTCTTTCTCATTATCTTTTGTGTGTCTACTCTGGGTTTTTTCTCGGTGGTTACCATGAGGCTTACATATAACAATTTATATTTATAATTGTCTGTTTTAAGCTGATAACAACTTAAGTTTGAACACATTCTAAAGCCCTACCTTTTTACTCTCCCCCCGCAATGTTTTATGTTTTCAATGTCACATTTTACATCTTTTTATTTTGTGTATCCCTTAACTAATTATTGTACTTACAGTTATTTTTACTGCTTTCGTCTTTCAAAATTCATGGTAGCTCTATAAGGATTAATCCACTACTTTCACTATATATTTATCTTTCCAGTGAGACTTAGACTTTCCCAGGTTTTCCTGTTGTTAATTAGCGCCCTTTCTCTTCCGCTTAAAGAAGTCCCTTTAACATTTCTTGTAAGGCCAGGTTAGTGGTGATGACGTCCTTTAGCTTTTGCTTCTCTGGAAAAATCTTTCTCTCTCCTTCAAGTCTGAATGAGAACTTTGCTGCATAGAGGATTCTTGGTCGGAAGTTTTTCCCTTTAAGTACTTGGAATATATTGTGCCACTCCCTTCTGGCCTGCATGGTTTCTGCTGAAAAATCCTCTGATGGCTTTGTAGGGAATTCCCTTGCACGTAACAAGTTGTGTTTTTCTTGCTGCTTCTCAGATTCTCTCCTTGTCTTTAAATTTTGACACTTTAATTATAATATGTCTTGTTGTTGGTATGTTTTGGTTCATCTTTTTTGAAACTCTCTGGGCTTCCTGGATCTGGATATCTGTTTCCTTCTCCAGGTTAGGGGAGATTTTAGCCATTATTTCTTCAAATAAGTTTTCTGCCCTTCCTCTTTCTCTTCTCCTTCTGGGCCTCCTATAATGTGAATGTCAATCCTCCTGATGTTGTCCCATGAGTCCCTTAAGCCATCTTCATGTTTTTCATTTTGTTGCTCTGATTGAGCGAGTTCCTCTGTCCTGTCTTCAAGTTCACTGATTCCTTCTTCTGCTTCATCCAGTCTGCTGTTGAACCCCTCTACTGTTTTTCAGTCCATTTACTGTATTCTGCAGGTCTGTGACTTCTGTTTGAAACTTTCTTATATTTTCTATCTCTTTATTAACATTCTTGCTGTGTTCATCCATTCTTCTTCTGAGTTTAGCGAGCATCTTTAAGACCACTTCTTTGAACTCTTTATCAGGTACATTACTTATCTGTCTCAATAAGGTATTTTTTTCTGAGGTTTTATCTTTTATTTTTGTTTGGAAACTATTCCTTTGTTTTTTCATTTTGCTCAACACTCTGTGTTGGTTTCTATGCATTAGATAAAACAGCCACCTCTCCTAGTCTTGAAGGGTTGGCCTGCTGGAGGAGATGAAAATTATTTATCAACCCTGTCCTAGCTCTTGGTTGTCTCTCAAGCCTTCGTGACTTCCCAAGCAGCCTGTTTTATTTTTAATAGCTCCCAGTAGTTGAGGGTGTGTCAAGACCCGTGAGCATCCCAAAGGTGAGCATCTGAGTCAGCACCTAGATTCAGGCTGACTAGAAGCCAGACCCTGGGGAAGCAGCTTTTAAAGAATGAAAATATATACAGACCTGTGGGAACACAAGCATAAGCACTGCTGGTCCCCAGAGACAGGTGATCTGGTGTGTCCCCTGGTCAGCAGTCGCAAAAATCAGGGCTTCAGGTGAGTGTATAAGCTTCTTTCTGGGAGACAGTGGTGAGCTGGGGTGAGGGAGTGGGAGAGTGCAAAGATGGCATCCCCCAGCCAACGTTCTCTAAGAGCAGCTCCGTAGCCCCTGGATGTGGCCAAACCTAAAGCCTGATCCTAGGAAAGCAAATAGGCCTCTTTCTCAGAAAGCCTGGGGTGTGTTTCAGTCTGCTATCTGCATGGGGCCCTGGTGGTGGAAGCCTGCCAAGAACTGAATCTCCAATAATTACAGTCCCATGGGACCCTAGGACACAAATGCCATCCCCCTCCAGAACCAGGCAATCAAGGGGCATCCCCTGGGTGGGAGCCACAAAAGCTGGGTCACCAGACATAAAAATAGGGTCACAAGACGTGTGTGGAAGCTCCCCTCTGGGAGACACTTGCGCTCTGGAGCATAGCAGAGAGAGAGTAAGAATATGGCACCCGCTGAAGAAAGGGAAAGAAAAAAGAAGAAAAAGAAAAAGGAGAAAAGAGAAATAATAAGAAGAAAGAAAAACAAAGATGGCACCCACTGACTTTAGCAAGTGGAGGGAGAGCAGGAAGACAGTGCCCACCAGGCGCTGACCCTGGAGAGTATCCCAGCAGGCTTCTGCCCCTAAGACCAATGCTGTAAAATTATCAAATGAGTCTCATTCACATGAAGTCTAGCTGCTCTTGAAAGGGCTGCCTCTGCGCTGGGTCCTGGGGCGGGTAAGTCTGGGGCAGGCCCTTCACCAGCTCTTCCTTAGTTCCTCAGGACCCGTGGGTCTGCTGGGCACAGCCCTGTTGGTCTTGAAAGCCAGATGTTCGGGGGGCTTTAAAACATCTCAGGTGCTGGTCTTAAAAGTTGGGGTGCCTGATGTGGGGTACAAACCCTTCACTCCATAGGGAGAAGGGCTGGGTTTTGAGTCCCCTCCTGATTGCGGTCACTGCACCTGGGAGGGGGTTTGTGAGGAGATTGTGTCTCAGCCTTTCCTATCTAGCTTCCATGTGGTTTCCCTCTTACTAGATGTGAAGGGGTTGCTCTGCCAGTTTTTAGGTTGTTTTCAGAGGAAATTGTTCCATATATAGCTGTAGATTCAGTGTGTCTGTGGTAGGAAACATGTTCAGGATCTTTCTATGTCACCATTTTGATCTGGAACCCTCCAATTTGCCCTCCTAAACTGAGCCTGGCTGCTGAGCCCTGGAGAATCCCACTGTCACAGCCCAGAGAGCACTGGAGCATCTGGTCACCCTCACGATTGGGGTGGGGGTTGAGGGAGGTTGGAGGGCACCCCAAAAGGGAGGAATAGGCACTGAGGCTGACGCAGGTCCTAGGCTGCTGTTCCAGGCAACCGAAAGCAATTGTGAAACTTTCCAAGAAAAAAATAAATAAAAAATTTTTAAAACTTCCCAGGAAATTGTAACCACGGGCCCTCCAAGACCAGTTCAACTGACTCCATCTTATCAACAGGGAAATTAAGAGTGGTTTTTCAAGAACAGGGATCCCTTGTCCAGTTCAGGCAGGTTGAGACCACCAACCCAACAACTGCACAAATGCTTGATAAGTGACTATTTTGACATCAAAGGGCTAAAAACTCCATCCTCACTTCATGCTTACACCACCATTTTGTGACCATGTGTCCTATAAAGAGACACCCAGCTTGGCTACACGTGCACAGATCATCAATTCTGTTCACTTCTCCTTACAATCAATCATCTAGCTCCACGCTTCAGACTGCCTTGAACTTAATCCCATAAATTTTTCACCAAACTGTGGGTCAGGGAGACAGATCTGAGAGCATATGCCCCTGTCTCCTTGCAGATCAGTCTAGCAATTAAGTTGCTTTCTTTTCCCAAAAGCTCATGCCATAATAATTGGCTTTTTTAATGTGTATCAGGCAAGAGAACCCCAATTTTGTGTGGTAACCATTTTGTTAACCACGAAGGGACAGGGTCCTGTGATTGCCTGCTCGAGGCTCTGGAATCCCCACAGTGGGGTTCTTTTCATCAACCCTAAGTGGCCACCTAGACAATTTTGTCTAGAGGCTCAGCTGATAGCATTTCGTTTCCCACTGGGGCACTCCAGGCCCCATGATGTTGCTTTTTCTTTTTGGAGAAGAAACAGCTTCTGCATCAAGATGTCTCTGGGCTCTGGGTGAGTAACTTTAAGAAAGCGACTATCCTTTACCTTGTCTCTCTGGTTTGATTCCCCGGAAATACAAGTTTGACTTGTATTCTGGGGAATCCTGGCAGGATGAGGCCCAAAGCCTAGATCTGAACCACTTCAGGTAATTGGAGGCACGATAACAGGCTGACTCATGAAGCTGCTCCTGAGTAGCTCCTAGCACTGGTCTGAGCTACTCCTGGTTCTGAGCAATTCCTGGCAAACCAGCTAGTCTTCTCGTCTGTATCATATATAAAATTGCATTGTGTGTTAATGTTTGTCTAAATTGAATTGGCTGTTTTGGGGACTGAGTTTCTCAGTGACTGTAACAAACTCTCTTTAGAAATTAGCTTGTTGGTTGTGGCCACCTTGGGAAGAGCCCCCTAAAATGGAAACAACTGTAAACAGCTGGCAAGATAACCCAGGATAATTTAAAATTACAGTGGCCACTTTAGGCTCCTTTTGAGCTTTCAAACTGAGAACAAAGAAATCTTTAATCTTTGAAGAGTTGAGGGCTCCGCCTTCTGGCACAATTACTCAAAACCTAACGGTTCCAGAAGCTGTAAATATTTACAAAGAACTGCAAAATCTAACCAATCTTGTTTAGTGTCCTGAGAGCTTGGCTTAGTAATTGTCAGGTTGGAGGTCCCAAAATACAGTTGGAGAAAATGCAGTTGTACCCCATTTTTCAGTCAGAGATGGTCAGATAGAAATGTGACTTGCATACCCCTTTGTAGCTAAGGGTCCTACCAAACTGCTGTCAGGTTTGGGGGAATTACGTTGGCCATTAGAAGGAATGTTCTAATTAGATGAGATAATTTTAAAGTGCACTTAAAAGCAAAGACTTCAAAATTCCGAAGTAATCTTATTGAAAATTTTGTTGCAAAAAGAAAAAAAATAAGTTATAAAAGGTACCTAAAAGAAAAGCTATTAGGTCATGGCTTTACAGACACTGCAGAATCTACTCCCAGAGTTAATGAGACTCTGAGAGATATTCTGGGAAATTGATGTTCAGTACAGCCAGATATAGTTATTGCTCATCTCGGCTGAAACCTGACAAGATATTTGAAAGGATTTAGCAACTTATGATCAGAAATTTGGCCAAACTGGAAGTTGATATTCAGAGGCTGATAGGAATTTTCTTTCCAGGTCTTCTTCCCTAAGTTAAAATAAAGCTAAGCACTGGAGGGAAAGAAGCAAGTTAGGGACGATGTATTGGACAGGTAGCTCAACCTATAAAGTCATTTAAGTTACAACCCAATTTCTGAGGAATTAAGAGCAACTGTCCTTAAAAAAAAAATTTCCTTGCAAAACTGGAAATGCAGCTCTAGAAGCAGTTCCGATTCCAACCATTTCATTTATCTCAAAAAGCTTGTAACCTCTCTGGGAACTGTTATCCAGTCCATCAGCAGTTCCTAAGACCAAAGGAAAAAAAGAAAAAAAGGAAAGAAAAATGGCCATAAGAACACCCTTGCCCAAGCTCTAGAATCTTAAGTGTCTTCTCCACAAATATTAGTAGAAAAAGCTTAATGAAAACTTGGGATTCAACTACTCTTTCATAACTAGTGAGATTTGTATTACTATGACTGATTCATGGCAGTAATTTTAAAACAATACCTGTGGAACCTCTGTGTATGCATGTTATATATATGTGATATCTTATCTCTGGATGATATAGTTTCTAAAGGAGTTCTGTTCAATTGGTTTAAAGGAAGTGCTTACATAAGTTATTTCTAAATTTAATAGAAACTCACCCAAATGTCTTTCAAGTTAACATGATATAAATTAATCTTTGGGACATGAGAGCTTATTGAAGTTTGTTGGTTTGATTGCAATCGGCATGTTCTCAGAGTTTCAACTTTGGATGTGACATAGACATGCAGCTCTTATTAGTCAACGAAGCTCATAGAATCACTGTTACAAAACGTGTCAGCAAAAGTAATAGCTTAGAATGATGCTGATTTTGTCTAATGTCTCATGAAGTTTTTGCAAGGAATCTAAATAATTATTGGGAAAAAGCAAACTAACTAGATGTAAATAAGATCAAAGTTTTGGGGTAAACTTTTAAACAATAATTGTGTGTTATGGCATATGTATTTAATATAACTTCCAAAATCTCTTTGGTGAATTGAAACTTTGAAGATTTGCTAGGTGAAATTAAATGATAAAAAAAATCATTGAATATCTAGATCACTTCCAAATAAGATAAAATAGTAGACATTAATTACTAAATATAGGTTTATCTGCTTTTGGCTTCTTTTACAGAGAAACCAAAAGATGTTTGGGTCTATTAATAAACATGTCTTGTATTTTATTTAAAAATTGTACTGTGAGGTTGCATTTTTCTAGAAATAATGAGAAGGATTTATAAATGTGCAAAGCTACAGAATACTAATGTAAAAGATAGTTCATAATTGCTTACTTCTTAGTTTTCACTAAAAATTAAAGTTTCTAAGGGTTAAATTTCTAATTAATATATGCGATTAAAGATGCTAAAAGTTAATAAGGAAAATTTTGTCTTCAAGAGAAAGTAAGATATATGCTTTCAGTAAAAAGATTTAAAGGTTGGAGATATTTTTGTTTTGTTACAAAAGATAAATTTGTCATAAAATACTAGGAGGGGGGAAAAAAGACATGGGACAAATTCTGACAGTAAGCAGAAAGTTATAGAAGGTTTGTGGAAGAGGAGCCCTGAGGAAAGAATTTTGTGCATGGTTGAGTTGGCTAAGATTAAATACATTTAATTAAGCAAAAGAGTTTTAATATCAAAAGTAAGCTACTACAAAATTAGACTTTGGTTTTCTCTCTCTTAAAAGAGTAATTTTCCTAGGCTTTTAGTCTGCTCTTGATAAAGATCTTGATAAAGAGATAATAATAGTTTTTTCCTTATTTTTGAGTAAGTCTACCTGAAAGACAGAAATCACATATTTTGTCAAAATAAGTTCCTATATCCTAAAAGGCTGGAATCTCTCCATTAAGAAAGCTAAGAGTTTTTTGTTTAACTCTTTCTGTTTGCCTGTAATATCTTCCATTGTCACCTTGATCAAACGGATCATTCAGCATTGTTTTCTATCTGACCAAGTGTTCTAAAACCTTTTGATATTTTTGACAAACATCACCAAAATTCAAACTTTGAGGATTTCTAATGGGGCCCTTGGACTTCTCAAGGAATTCTTTTCTCTCTTTCTCTAGAGAAGGAGATATTAAACTAGGCTTATTTGGTATGTTTAATTACATGGGAAGCATTGTCAAATAAATGATGATAAACCTTCTTAGGTTATGTTTTGTGGGTGAATGTTACTGAAATAAATGTCTTAACATTTATATAACGTTCTTAAAATTCCAATTTGTCCTGGTTGTCGGTCATAATTCCACTTATTATCTCAAAGTATTGTATGTCACAGAAATAGTCGTTCTTTGTCAATTGCCATTACTGAGTCCTTTGTCATACAGACAATTATTGATTTACTCAGGTGTGTTTGCAAATGTTTCATCTTCAGAGAGATTCATGAAAAGGACCCTGACACTTACTCTAGAATACAGGTTTCTGATAAACTTTCAGATCATAAAACCGAACTGGGTAAGAAATTACAAAACTCTAATGAAGAAACTAATGGCCTCATAAGACTGCTAGCAGAAGATCAAGACAAAGAGTTGATTACATGGGACTAAATGAACTGATTAGGATAACTATAAAATTTATGACTTTTCATTTGAAATGTTGCTGATACTTAATGTTTTGTTTTTCCAGGTTTAAGGACAGGTTTTTCTTTTTTCTCTTAAGTTAACTATGACTTATAGCAATTTGGTAAAATTGTACCTTTGTAAGCAGAATTGAAACATTTATTTTTCCTCCCTACCTGATCTCTCCAGAGTTTAGAAAATCCTATGAGTGAGTATTCTTGTTTTCATGGCAATACAGTTATTTGCATAAGTTCAATAAGAATCTCATCTCCTTATAGCAGGACACAATTGGAATCCTTGGTTGTATTACCAAGGCTTTGACTGGAATGTCATATTTGAGAAAAACATACATAGACTCAGATATGACCAGACACCTTTGAGCAACAAAGATTGACTTTACAGAATAAAGCCACTCGGAAATATTGGCCTAGTATCTTGCTTACATTATTCCAAGCAACCTTACCAGCTGAGTAAAGAAAGTCACTTCCCTGGCAGGTGCAAAGAACCTCAGGATGTTTGGGGGAACCTCAAGAGAAGAGAGGGATTTACACAAATCTATAGGTATTTCAGGTGGAGTCTGATGACAAGTCCTTGGTTTGGCTTTCCTGGCCTTGAGAGGCCTTCAAAGTTCAATCTGAGATTCCTTATGAAAATTCCAGCAAAGCAGATTTAAAAGAGCCTATATGATCAATTGCTATTCTTACTGTTTACTTATGTAGGTAATTGGGCCAACTTTTATTGAAACTAGACATTTTGCAAGCCAATGAGTCTTAATTTGGCTATCTTTGGTAAAAATGAGCATAATTTTAGAGAGAAAAGTTATTTTTCAACAAAAACTATAGTAGACATGCATGGATATAAAATTCTAGTTCTGTTCAATGTCTTTGAGGTTTTTGTTTTCTATCTGTAGACTGGACTGGCTCCTGAATCCTTCCAGTCTACTGAAATATCTGCCTACCAATCTCCAAAATAACATTTTCAGTTTTTTCCGCCATTTTCATTTGGAATCATTGAGAACTGAAACTGCCCTTTTTCCTGAAGACCTGAAAACTGAAGCTGGACAACTTGATATAAACAAAAGGGATTCATGACTGGTGCTGTGGAAGCTACTCTGAAAGATAACTCATCACCCTGATGATCAGAGACATTTCAAATTGCAAAAGATGCTTTGAGCCTGACATCTAGAAATCTTGACTGGCTGACCCTGGGCTTAGAAACTGGTTTACAATTTGCTCCAACCATTAACTTTGTTTTTCTTTTTATTTTTCTAGCAATAATTCTTATAAAATACCTGGTTACTTGCCTACATAATATAAGCCTAACTTTGGGAGACCACCTGCATCACCATCTTACTAATTGAATGGTTCAATGAGATGGAACCACCTATGCCACTCATCAACAGGAAGAAGCTAGAGCAGTTGTCACCCCTTTCTCTCAAGACTGAGGAGTGAACAACAAAGAGGAGGGATTTGTAACCACAGACCATGTAGGACCAGTTCAACTGACCCATCTTATCAACAGAGTACTTAAGAGTGGTTTTTCAGCAACTGAGACCCCTTGTCCACTTCAGTCTGGTAGAGACCACCAACCCATCAACCATGCCTGTGAAATGCCCAATAAGTGACCTTTTTGAGGTCAAGGGGCTAAAAACTCCACCTTCAGATCATGCTAATGCCACCGTTTTGTGAACACGTGTCCTTTGAAGAGTCATGAAGCTTGAGTACGCTTGCACAGATCATCAATTACCTCACTCCTCCTTACCTCCAATCATCTATTCCCACACTTCAGATCATCCCATTCTTTATCCCATAAATATCCCTAATCCCCATTTCTCAGGGAGGCCAAAATGTGATTTGTTCTCCCATCTCCTTGCTTCGCCACCTTATGAATAAACCCTTTTTCTGCCTCAAACTGGTAATCTTGGTGATTGGCTTTTCGTGCAACAGGCAAAAGGAACCTGGTTCAGTAACAACAGGACAGCAGGCCTCACCATCCACCCCATCACCTGCTCTCACTCACTGTGGAGGAGTATACAGTTGATCAGGATTCCAAAAGCTCGGGACTGGTGGGAAGGACAGTTGTGACCCCTGCTCCCCAAGCACCTCCATCCATAACTCAGGGAGAATGGGACAGAGCCAGGTGCATGGGGAGGGATCAGCATAGTTGGGGGCCTGCATTGGTGGGAAATGGGGAGACACAGCAGAAATGATACTCCAGGCCCCACTGGTCCCCCATCACCTGCACTCACTCACCTTGCAGCAGCTCATGGCAGCTCAGGATTCCAGGGGCTGTGGCCTAGGGGGAGGACACTTGTGAGGAAAAGTGTTTAAAAGCAGCCTCTCCCACCCCCAGGAAAGTCCCTTTGTCCAGCTTCCTCCCTGGGCCTCCTCTGAGTCACTCACCTCCCCCAGGGCCTCCCGGCACACAGCTCCAGCTGAGGTTTCTGCTCCAGGAGGTCCAGCTGATGTAAGAGCAGAGGAAGGAAGGGCCTTCCTCTGGAGGATGGAGGGTGGAAGATGGAGCCTGCCCTAGGGCAGGATGCAGGGCTGACTCTGTGTGTGTGTGTGTGTGTGTGTCTGTGTGTGTGTGTGTGTCTGTGTCTGTGTCCGTGTTTGTCTGACAGAGAAAGAGTCAGAGGGAAGACAAAGAAGGAAGAAAAGACAAGGAGACAGAGGTCTGAGTGTCCTGGAAGGGGAGGACATGTCCCTTCCGCTGGGGGTCCCTGGCCATGGCCCCTCCACTCTCTGAGCTGGGGTGGGAATCTCCGAGCCCAGTAAAGGGCCTCTTCCCCCCACCCCATCAGCCTGAGACAAGGGAGGGGCAGAGGGAGAGTCCAGATTTGGGAAAGCAGGTTGGGAATCTCCTGGAGCTTCTGAGAATGAAGTCAGCCAGGTGGGGGTCCAGGTACTGGGAATGCCCACCAGGCCTCTTGAAAGGGGACCCCCTCAGCTCCAAAGTCCAGAGAAGGTTCTGTCGTGGCTCCTAGCTCAGGACGCAGCACTACCTGAGGACCCCTGAGGTGGGCCCCCCAGACCTGGGACCTATGTAGACTGCCACATAGGCCCCTGCAGGGGCAGCTGGTGACGATGCCTGTCTGCCCCTGAGACAGGATAAGACCCTCAGGAGGGACTGAAGCAAGCCTTGCTGACCAAGTGGGCCCATCAGATCAGGCTCTCTTAGGCCTCCTAGGGCCTCACAATCCTGAGACACCTGTGTAGGAGCCCCCCAGGCCCTGGTCAGCCCCACACGGTTAGCCTTACACACAGCCCCGTCACCACCTAGCTCTTCCTTAACACTCAACTCGGGGCCAAAGCAGCTCAGCACAGCCATTGTCCTGCCCTCTGTGCTGGGGTCACAGGGCTGCCATGAAAAGACCCACAGACTGGGTGGCTAAACATGAATCTCTTCTCTTAACTTCTGGGGGCTCGAGGGGGAAATCGAGGTGTTGGCAGAGTTGGCTCCCTCCGAGGGCTGAGAGGGACGATGTGTTCCGGGCCTCTCTCGTAGGCCTGTAGGTGGTCGTCTTCGTGAGCGCAGGGCGTTCTCCCTGTATACATACCTGAGTCCAGATTTCCCCTTTTTATAAGGACACCAGTTGTATTGGATTAGGGCCCACCCTAACGACCTCATTTTAACTTCATTCCCTCTGTGAAGACACTATCTACTATTAAGGTCACAATCTGAGGTGCTGGGTGTTGGGACTTCAGCATATGAATTTGGGGGACACAGTTCAACCCCTGACACACTCAAAGAGTACTCAGGCTTCTGAGGGGCCACCTGTGTGAGCCTCAGAGGGACAGACCTACAATCACACTTTCTGGGTGAAAGCTCCGCTTGGGTTAAGTAGACCCCAGCTCATGTCTCCCTGCCCCTTCAGAGCCCAGTCAATTGTCTGAACCCCTCTCCACACCCAGGAAGTCCAGACCCTTCCCTGGGCCATCTTTGAAATGTTGGGGTCTTTCGTTTTTTTCAGGAGAGATTGGCCCTGAGATAACATCTGTTGCCAAACTTCCTCTTTCTTTTTTCCTCCCCAAAGCCCCCCAGTACATAGTCATATACTCTAGTTGTAGGTCCTTCTGGTTGTGCTGTGTGGGATGCTGCCTCAGCATGGCTTGATGAGTGGTGTGTGGGTCCGCATCCTGGATCTGAAGCAGCGAACCCCAGGCCACCGAAGCGGAGCATTAGAACTTAACCACTCGGCCATGGGGCCAGCCTGGTCGGTCTTTGAATTCCAGGGTTGGCGAGAGAAGAGAACTGCTCTGCTTCAGCTACAAGAAATATTTCTGGCCTTCATCTCCATAATCCTAGCTCCCTGATCCCACGTGGGAATTGGCACCTCCAGGACTGCCTCACAAAGGCCACCATCTGAAGACACCTGTGTTTCACTGGGAATTGTAGCTTTTTAAAAATAGCTTTAGTGAGATATAATTCACATACGATACACTTCACTCATTAAAGTGTATGATTCAATGCAGAGAACTGTTCAGCCATCATCACAATCAATTTCAGAAACTTTCACCACCTGAAAAAGAAATTCCTCAACCCATGGGCCTGCCCCAGTGCCCTAGTGGTTAAGTTCAGTGAGCTCCACATCAGCGGCCCAGGTTTGCTTCCCTGGCACGGACCTATACCACTCATCTATCAGTGGCCATGCCATGACAGTGGCTCACAGACAAAATGGAGGAAGACTGGCAATAGATGTTAGCTCAGGGCAAATCTTCCTCAGCAAAGAAAAGAAAAAAAGAAATTCCTTACCCCTTAGCCATCATCCCTTAATCCTCACATCCCCACCCCTCACCTGGCCTAGGAAACCACTCATCTACTCTGTCTCTATGGATTTTCTTGTTCTGCACATTTCATATAAGGAAATCATACACTGTGGGGCCCACTGTATCTGACTTCTTTCCCTTAGCCTAGAATTTTCAGGATTCATCCACATTGCAGTGGGTGTCAGCGCTGCATTCCTTTTTATGACTGAATAATATTCCACTGTATGGATGGACCACATTTTGTTTGTCTATTCACCTATTGATGGACATTTTGGGTGTTTCCACATTTTGGCTATTATGAGTAACGCTGCTGTGAACATTCATGTGCAAGTTTCTGTGTGGACAGATGTTAATCTCTTGAGTCTACAACAAGAAGTGGAATTGCTGGGTCATATGGTAAGTATGTGTTCAACTTTTTGAGATAGCACCAGACTGTTTTCCAATTGGCAACACCAGCTTACATTCCCAGCAGCAGGGGATGAAAATTTCAATGTCCCACATTCTCACCAACACTTACTGTTACATCTTTTTGATTCTAGTCATCCCGGTGGGTGTGAAGTGGTATTCATTATGGTTTTGATTTGCATGTCTCTCATGACTAATGTTTTTTGTTTTTTTTTTAAAGATTGGCACCTGGGCTAACAACTGTTGCCAATCTTTTTTTTTTTTCTGCTCTATCTCCCCAAACCCCCCCCGTACACAGTTGTATATCTTAGTTGCATGTCCTTCTAGTTGTGGGATGTGAGCCGCCGCCTCAACGTGGCCTGATGAGCAGTGCCATGTCTGCGCCCAGGATCCGAACCCTGGACTGCCACAGTTGAGCGCGCGAACTTAACCACTCGGCCACAGAGCCAGCCCCCTCTCATGACTAATGTTGAGCAGCTTTTCATGTGCTCATTGGCCATTTGTACACCTCCCTTGGAGAAATATATACTCGGATCCTTTGCCCATTTTTAGATAGGGTTATTTTTGTTTTTGTTATCAAGTTGTAGGAGTAGTTTATATATTCTGGAGATAGTCACTTTTCAGATTATCATTTAAAATACTTTTTCACATTCTATGGGTTGTCTTTTCACTTTTTTTGTGGTGTCCTTTGAAGCACAAAATGTTAAATTTTGATTACGAGACTGCACCATTTTTGAAATAAAATCAATCCATCTGACACGGCATTTTTGTGTAGTAGACGTAATCATTCTTAAAGGCTGGGGAAAGAGAAGTTTCCATGTGGCACTGGAAGCAGCCTCACATTTCACATTGGACGCCTCTCCTCTGGGCTCCCCCAAAAGACTTTTGGGTTCCTCTCTCTGCTTCCTCCTCCCACTCACTCTCCTCCCGTCCGCCAACCTGCCACCCGCCAACTCCAGATTCAACGTCTTCAGCAAAGCAGAGCGATTCTGGTCCATCAAGTCCCTGCCACCAAACCTCACCCCAGGCCCATCAGTGCTCAGAAGAAATGAAGGGTTTTCTGTACAGTTATTTTTATTGTCCTGGATGAGGCTCAAAACCTTTCAAAGTGTAAGTTTCTCTCTCCTTACACTTCAAAAGGATCCTGACAGAGACTCAATTTCTGGTTGTCTGGTGACTTAGCATTCTCAGCTCATGGGCTGGTGGAAGACACCTGGCTGTGCCCTCGGACTCGTTTGGTTGTCATGACCAACAGCGGGCAACGTCCCTGCTCACTGGGACTGCAGCCCACAGCCTCGGCTCTGGACAGCTCTGTGGGGCCACTGTGGCTGGATGGCAGTCCAAGAAGTCGCTGCTAAGTGACCCCAACCACGGGGGATGGACCTCTCTCAAGCAAGGCCATCATCTTAGCTCTGTAGAGAACATGAAGTGGTGGGCCCCTGGGAGGGAGAACATGGGAGAGACACACAAAAGCCACAGGACAGAGTCCGGAGCTGCTGGCTCAGCTCCCTTGTCCAGCAGGCAACCCACCCCCTCACCCTGTTCAAATGCAGACACCTGGCTCCACTCCCAGAGTGAGGATTCGGAGTGAGGACATGGCATCTGCATAAGTTCCTTGGGTGACTCTGATGAGGAATATTCCAGAGCCACAGTTCCAGAGGCGCTGATTTAGACCATGAATTCTGTAGGGACTAGGGGCATGATTGAGGTGGCCCAGATTCAACCCACTCATCAGCAAGATTTGCTGAGGAGGCAAAGACCCTGATTGAGAGGGAGCTCAGACCAGTGTCTTTCCTCCAGCCCTGAGCTGATGGGGGCCCAGGAGTTCTCCCTGAGGGAAGCGGCAGACACTCCAGTGTGGAGGCTTCTGCAGGGCTAGGAGGGTGTCCTGTTGAATGGGGGCAGTTCTGGGTTCAGGGTGGTGACCAGCAAGGAGGTCCAAGGGGCCCAGATTGTGGAGGGTCGCCTGTGTAGCCACTGAAGTCACCCAGATAATGGGCACTGGTGCCCAGGGGTGGTCTCAGGGCTGGGTCCAGGGTCCCCACCTATGTGGTGTTGACTGAAGTGTCATGGAGGCAGGACAGGGTGAGAAACTTCTGAGAAAGAGCACCAGGTGGAGAGAGGACCAGGGATCAGCTTCCAAGCAGGCCTGTCCTCTATAGACCCAAACAGCCTGGAGCCGCTGTGGCCGGGCGGGGCAAGGGCGACAAGGGGGCAGCCGCCTGAGCTGTGAGAAAGGCTAGCTATTCCGGGAAAAGGAGAGTCCTGGGGGGCAGTGCGCCTCCCGCAGACTGGGGCCAGGCCGCTGGGTTTCCGGCGGCGCGGATCTGGGGGAAATGAGTATGTCGCCCCGCTTGCCCAGCCTTTGTCCCCTGTTCCCAGGGCTTAGCTCCACTTGCATCCGCCCAGCTGCATCCGCGCCCAGCCCCGCCCCTGGGAACAGAGGATGGAGCTGGGCAGCGATGCACCAGCCACAGCGCCCCCAGCAGGAGATCTGACGCCTTCCACATGGCGGCCTGGCCCCAGTCAGCGGGAGGCGACGACCCCCACCAACAGGGACAGCAGGGGTAGCAGGAGGGGCACGGACCCCCTCCCCGCGGCCTGATTGAGCTCGCACTGACAATCGCAGGGTCCAGGCTTGAGAGTGGCTTTGGGGGGCCTGGGCGTGCGAGGGCCAGCTCTCGGGGCCGGGCAGTCCAGCCACTTGGGGCCCATGGGTTGGGGCGAGTCCGGCTCGGCCTGGACGCTGCCCTTGGGAAAGCGCCAGTAATGGGCGCCCTTGAAGAAGTAAGTGTCCCCTGCAAGGAGGGAGCAGACGCTCAGGGGCTGGTCCGGCCGCCTCGAGCCCCATCCTACCCCTTCCCTCGGTGTGCCGCGCTCTGCCCGGGGCTCCCCGAAAGCGCCAGGATGGCCTCTGTCCCCACGTGCCCCAGGACCCCGCCGCCCCAGCCCCAGGACCCCCAGACGCCGTGGGCTCTCCCACCTGTGTTGCTGACGGTGACATCGTCGGGGGCCAGAGGCGCCCCCTCCCAGAGGCTCAGGTCGCGCGGGTAGCCGGGGTCCGGGCGCGCCGCCGCCTCGTCGTAGCGCCAGTAGCGCTGGCCCCGGATCAGGTAGGTCTTCCCATTCTGCGGCCACGAGAACACGGCGTCCACCGCCTCCCCCGGGGGCAGCCCCAGCTCGGTGAGCGGCCGCGCGGCGCCCTCCAGCCGCCGGTCCTGGAACACCCAGAACTGCGGGCCTGCGGGGAGGCTCGGTGAGCGGGCGCTCTTCCCGCCCGGCACGCCCGAGCCCGGCCAGCCCCGCCCGGGCGCACTCACCGCTGAAGAGGAGGATGCGGCCGTCTGGGGGCCGGGCGTAGGCCGCCTGGATGACCTGCACCTGGGCCGGCAGCCCCTCCCAGAAGCGGTGGAGCCTGGCGGGCCGGGGGGACACCAGCTGTCCCGAGGGCTGGAGGCGCCAGAACCAGGGGCCTGTGGGGACAGAGGGGTGGACGCGGGGACAGGAGATGGCGAGAGGTCCTCTCCGCCGAGGGTGTGGCTGGGACACAGCCCTGGGTCTCCCCCTCCCACAGCTTTGCGCGAGGTCCATATGGAAAGCAAGGCGGCAAGGGCTCCAGGGGGACCCCCTTGCCCGGGACTTTCCCTCTTTCTAGCACTGAAAGTCCCGCATCCCAGGAAACCCCACAGGCCTGGTGGGTCACCCTAAGTGGGTAGGAAGCCAACTATACCGGGTCAGGGGAGATCACTCTGACTCGCCTTTAAAAAAGAAGGTTTCCCCGCGGATGTTAGCGATGGCGTCAAAATTGCCCTCACATCGGTCAGGGACGGGGAGGGAGGGGCTGTGGAGGAAAGAGGAGGTGAGTAGAGAGGGGCGAGGCACCTCATCTCTTTGCTTAACCTTGAGACAGTCCTACAGGGCAGGGACTCTTCCCACGCCCATCTCAGGAGGAGGACATGGAAGTCAGCAGCTTCCCCAAGGTCACACAGCTGGAGGGTCCTCACCTGTCTGGGGGCAGAGCAGGGGGCGGGGGAGGAGGAGCCAGGGGTCTCCTTGTGGGCTTGTCATAGGGGGTTTGGGGCGCTTTCCCTGTGGAGAGAGTCAGAGAGGTGAGGATCCATCCCCTGCAGCAGAGGCCACAGGGCAAGCCCCCATGCCCTCTCCCTGTACCATAGAGCTGCTCCAGGCCTTCCCGGTCATCCTGCGACAGGCGGTACTTGGTGGGGTCACCCACTGGGCCCTGGTAAAAGGGCCTCATGATGGAGTCAGGCACTGAGGAGTGGCCCAGGCCCAGGGCGTGGCCAAACTCGTGGACAGCCACTGCAAACAGGTCGGTCCCCTCACCATCTGGGGAGGAAGGGAGAGTGGGCTGGATTGTGCCCCTAAATCCCCTCACTGGGAAAGGGCAGCTAGGCAGCTAGGAGTGGGGCCAGTGGAGAGGAACAGCCAGGAGACCTTTGGAGGTGGCCACCTCTGCCCAGACGCTCCCTGAGCCCCTTCATCCTTCCTGCCTGTGGTCACTTATTTGGTCAATATTTTTGAGTAGTCTTGTTTGGCAGTGCTAGACACACGTACACCGGGCTGCGGAGACCCACAGGGCAGGGTGTGGAAAGAGCAGGAGGAGACAGTCTGGACAGAGGTGGGGCGACCTTACACTGGGGCAGCCCCTGGCCCAGGAAGGCGAGACTGTGCACATGGCAACATTCTGGGGAAGCAGGAGCCTGGGGTGCCTGCAGGCTCTGGAGGAGGCCCCAGCCCTCAGAATGTCCCCTCCTCCCAGCTCCAGTCTGTGGTCAGAGCCCCCCACTCCCTCCTGTTCCCACCCATGGGCAATGTCGGTCAGTCTCCTTGGCCTCAGCCCCCAAGACCTTCACCCCACTCCCAGCCCCATGGTCCTTCCCCTGCCCTCTCCTTCTATCCACACCCCTCTAGTGCCCACATCCCCTCAGTCCTCTATCCCTCTCACCGTCTCCCCCTCCCCCAGCCTGCCTGCCTCCCTGGGTCCTCCCCTCTCCTCCCCACCCCTGAGGCCTTCATCCATCTGCGAATGTGCAGCTCCAGCAGGCACTCTCCATTCCCACCACAGCCTGCAGGCCCTGGTGCCTGGCCTCGCTCCCAGCCTCTCTGACCACAGAGGCTTCTTCCTCGGGGACCCAGCCCAGGCGCCAGGAGCAAGCCTCTTCACGCTCCGGTCGCTGGTCGAACTCCAGCTCATCGATCCGATACACTATACACAGAGCAGGCAGGGAGAGGCTGAGAAGGAGAGAGGTGAGCAGCCCCCCAGGGAGGCACAGATTCCCCAGATGTCCGGATGCTCCATGGAATCTCTAACTGGGGTCAAAAAGTGGGTTATTGGAAGTGACCCGGGGACTCAAAAGCAGATTTCTCTCAGCCTCTAAAGGCCACGAGATGAGAGGCAGAGAATGAAGTGCATCCATCACAAGAAGAGAAGTAACCCTTGTCTTCATTTACTTCTCACAAAACCTCTACCTCCTATCCCCATTTCACGGGCAGGGAAACTGAGGCACAGAGAGGTCAGGTGCAATGGCAGAGCTGGGGCTGAGGCCGAGCTGTGCTGTCTCGGCTCTCAACAGACACTAAAGAGGGTCTTGGTCAAACTCATATGTCTCGGTGAGTCTCTGTGTTGACTGGGTTTTTCCATCGCTGAGTCCTTTTCCTGAGAAACTGGGGGAAGTTTGGTGTCTTAATCAGGTGGATGTCTCTTATCTCTCACCCGTTCCCTGCCTTGCCTCTCCTTCGCTGTACCCCTTCCTTGCACCCTTCTCATATTTTACAGCAGGGGGAAATTACGCAACTGTGCAGATCCAGCCCCACGAGATTCCCGGAGGCCAGTCTACGAGGGTGCTCGGCTCCTCTCATCCTTGCCCTAGGCCTCAGCAGGCAGCTCCTTTGCACTCTCCACTCAGCCTCAATTCCAGGCCCAGAGCCCCTCAAGCCATTACCCAGTCCCAACCCCCAACTCTTACATGACAAATGCATTTCCTATTTCATCAAAATAGGCCATCTGATGTAATCTCTTACTTCCTGTGCACCCAGGGCAGACAGCTGCATCTCCGTCACGCTCACCTCCTGCCTCCTGCCCTGCCCTGTGCGAGGACCCTTTCTTTCTTACCTCCTCTAGGACAAGGAAAGTGCCCCACCCATCTGTCCATCCCTGCATCCCTGCCTCCATCCATCTATGCCTCAATGCACTCATGCATTCATCCTTACATCCATGCATTCGTGCATGCATCCATGGGTTTATCCATGCATCTACCTGTCCATCTGTCCATCCATGTGTCGAGCCATCCATCTATCGATCCAGCCAGCCAGCCAGCCATGCCTCCATCCCCCACCCCTTTCTTTCTATTGGCTCATCCAGCATCCCTGAGTACTCAAGACTCCCTCTCTCTAAGACACCCCGTGGACCTGTCTGCCCCCCATCCACACACCCTCCCTCCCCAGCCAGTTGTCTGGTCAGTGGTCTAAACTCCTCTTCACTTCCTCAACTCCTCTCATGCCTAACCCCACTGTGGTCTGGATTCTTCCCCACCCACTGAGCCTGGAGGCATTAAGGTCACTTCATCCCCAGACGACCTACTCTGAGCCTCTGTGGCCTCTGAACTGGTTTGCTGCCCTGCCCTCTGCTGACCACTTCCTTCTTCACTCTTGTTCTTGATCACCTTTTGAAATGTTCTCTCTGCATTTCCTTTGATTCCTCTTCCCCGTGACTGTGGGGCTCTCCACAGCTCTGCACTTGACCTTCACATTCTACATTCTCCTCCCAGAACCTTACCATTCCCCCGAGCACCGCTGACTCTTAAATCTGCCACCAGGCTCTGCTCATAGCAGCTGGCAATGAATGGCGCACTCCTGCATGCCAGGCCCTGTGTGACGGCTGCAGGTGAATTACTCATTTAAACCACAAGCCTGCGCCACCACAGGTCCTGTTATCATCCCCACTTCTCAGATGGGGAAGCTGAGCACACTGAGCTCAAGGACCTTACACACGGAGCAGGCAGAGGAGCCCTGACTTGAGTCCCACTTCCAGCCCACGTACTTAATGCTGTGCTACAGCCTCGCTGTATGGATGCTCTCGGCAGATCCTTCACAGAGCCTGTGCGCCCAGCCCTGGCTGCCCCCTCCCCCAGAAGATGGCTCTCTCCACTGGCCCAGCCTCTCCCCAGCAGCTGGTGGCCAATGGCAGATTGATCAGGGACGAGACGAGCTGGGCTCCTGGCCTCCAGGCAGGACCAACCCCGCAGCACTGTTTATGCTCCAGAGCTCCCATGGGCTCTGGCTTCCTCCAGCAGAAACCACATCCTTGCTTGTCTTCTGTCCGCAGTCCTCTCCTGCTTCCCTTTGTCCTGAGAATGTGCCCCCGAAAGACTGTCTGCACAAGAATCTCCAGCTCGAGCTTCTGGGGACCTGACCTAGTAAGTCAGAGGGGTCCATGTTCTAGAGCAAGACACTCGGCCACCGACGCACCATGTGCCCTGAACGGCCCATAGCACTGCAAACAGATGCCCCAACCTGAGGTCACCCCTGCCTTCCGCGAGCCTCCCAGAGCCGGAACCCTGGCCATCACCCACCCTCCCCATCCCCTTGGACCCCAGAACCCAGTCGGATCCCAATCTTTGCCCATCCTGATAAACTTCCTCAGAGCCACCCACTGCCCTCCACCCCCAATCACCCACGACCATCTCTTATCTGGTCCCTGAGGTAGCTTCCTCCCTCCCCACCCCTATCTTGCCCCCCACCGCAGCCAGTGATATTTCTAGAATGCAAAGGCTTCCTCAGCTCCCATTGCCTTCAGAAGCCCTTTGTCCAGGCTCTTGACATGCGCTGCTTTCCAAGGCCCTTTATGGCATGAGACCTGCCGTCCGTCCTCTATGGTGTCGCCCCCAACACCCATCCCTGAATGGCCTGGGCTGTTTCTCACCCCACAGCTGCCACCCCTGACTACCTGGACTCGGCTAGCTCACTGGCTTGCGCTTTCTCATGCACCCCTCCTACCCCCACCCTCATCACCACACCCACCACCCTGTGTACTCTGGAGGGTGGAACCTTGTGCGCTAGTTGGCACTCAGTGTCCGCATGTGGAATGCACAGTGTCACCACTGCAGGGAAGCCCCCCTGAGCCAACAACCGCAGGTCGGCCCTCCCTCTGAGCACCCGCAAGCTTGAGGACTTCCTCTAATGTGATTCTCTGTAGTTGTGTCACCGTGTGTAGCAATTGCCGGTTACTCTCCTGACTCAGCTGCTGGACAGACTTGTGTTTTTGACTCTTTAAGTCCTCAGCTCAGAGCTGGGCACCCGACAGGCCTCTGTAATGGGTACTTTCCTGCGTCAACTTGGCCAGACTATGGTGCCCAGTTGCTTGGTCGAACACCAGTCTAGATGTTGCTGTGGAGGTTATTTGTAGATGTGGTTAACACCTATAATCAGTAGATGGTAAGTAAAGCAGATTACTCTCCATACTGTGGGTGGGCCTCATCTAATCAGTTGAAAACCTTAAGAGCAAAAACTGAGGTTACCCAGAGAAGAAGGAATCCTGCCTCAAGACTGCAACATAGAAATCCTGCCTGGGTTTCCAGCCAGCGGGCCCACCCTATGGATTTTGGACTTGCTAGTCCCTACAATTCCATGAGCCAATTCCTTAAAATAAATCACTCCATACACATACACACACACACTCACACACATCCTACCGGTTCTGTTTCTCTGGAAAAGCCCAACTGGTGCAGCCTCCATCAGTAAATGTAATTTAAACCTAATTCTTAAGGGCAGACAGACCTGAGGAGAGGACCTCTCAGAAGAGGGGAGATTGTACCTTTTGACCCAAAAGTCCAGGTCTCCTCATCGTCGAAGTGAGTGTCCCCAGAGATGGGGTGCTCCCCAGGGAAGAAGGCATGGGCGAGGGTGCCCCCCTGCCCGTCGAAGGGGTAACTGTCCTGGTGGTACGCCCGGGCAAAGTCGATGAGGATGTCGGGCTCACTTGGGCCCTGAGAACCCACCTCCTGGAAACTGAGGCCTGACACAGCGCCCCAGGCAGTCAAGGCATGGTGCATGAGGGTGCGCACTGTCTCCTGGCTCAGCGCGGAGCTCTGGGGGAAGGACTGGACCCTGGGGAGAGGGGAACAGGAGTCAGGTTGGCCGTTCCAAGCTGGGCCCAGCAGGCAGGCCCAGGGTGGGCTGCGTACCAGGACCTACCTCCACGTCAGGGTTCGCTTCTTCCACACACTCCCACTCAGGGCGTATCGGCGGCGCCGCCTAACCAGCCCCGCCACCCCCAGCACGTCCGGCAGGGAGCAGCGGGGCTTACGCATGGCGGCCATTGTCTCTGGGTCTGTGGAGAGGTTGGTGGGGGTGGAATCAGCTCTAGGACAACCTGCCCTCATCAGGACACCAGCTAACTTTCCACCTGGGGACACTGAGGCTCAGAGAGGTTAAGAAACTTGCTTGAGAAGGCCCCACAGCTTGGATTTGAACCCAGGCAGTCCGATTCTGGAAGCCAGCTCATATAAAACTATGATACTGCTCTTCTGGGCGGTGTCACTCTCTGCACCTGGCCCTGGGCGGACTGCCTCCAGGTGGCGCTCAGAATCTCAGGCCAGGATCTGGGGGTCCCACTTCCCTGAGCCCTGGTGGTTTGGCTCTGCAGAAAGGAGCCCTGGGGTGCAGTGAGAACCCTATTCTTTGAGGCTGGGACCCCCTAGGAGGTTGCCCATACCTCACCCCCTAGCTCCCAACTCCCAGGGCTGGCTGCGTCTCTGGCCCCATGCGGCAAGCCACCCCTCCCAGGGTAGATCAGCCTGGAGTCCCCTCTCCCAGCTCGGCTCCATTCCCAGCAGTCTCCTGGTCTGCAAATGAAGGTCCTGCCTCACCTCGTTGGTTGGGGTGACAAAGAGTAATTGAGCACATCCTGATGCCAGCCACTGCTCAGCAGAGGACAGGACAGGGAGAGGTCCCTTCTCTCGCAACTAGCCAGTGTCTCCTCAGTTCTCCTTCCTGCCCATTTAACCCAACAGATGAGCCTCTCAGCTCTACCTCCAAAATACACACCCTGGATTCAACTGCTTCTCATCACGCCCCACCCACCCCGCCCCCCAGCCCAGGCCACCATCAACTCTTGCGTGGATGCTGCAACTGCCTCCTTCCTGGTCCCTGTGCTCCCCACTCTCCACTCTCCATCAGCAACCAGAGAAAGCTTAAAACCGCACTTCAAACCCTCCCATGGTTTCTCACCACACTTGGAATCAAACCCAAACACCCTTCAAGGCCCCCAATCAGGCTCTTCTTAGCTCTTCAGTCCTCCTCTCATTACAGGCACACAAGCTTGTGCTGACCACAGGGCCCTTGCATTTGCCTGGGACACTCTTCTCCTACATTCTGCCATGGCTGGCTCCTCCTCTGTGTGTCCTATAGTGCTCTGTGTCATAGAGCTCTTCTCAACTCACGTGACACCTTTCAGGGGAGCCTGCCCTGACAGAGCAGCCCCTCAGCATCATTACCATGTTATTTCTTCAAAACACTTGCCACTCCCTGAAAATATCTTGCATATTTCTGTTCTTGATCTGCGTGTGTCCCTCTCTAGAATGTTGGCTCCATGAGAGCAGGGACCTTATCTACTCTGTTCACCAGTGTCACAGGGGAGCCTGAGATGGTCTTGCATGTAAGAGATTCTTGATAAGTATTTGTTGAAAGAGGAGTGCCCAAGAACTTCCTGGGTTGGGGCCCAAATCAGCATTTGCCCAGCTCCCATGATTCAGGTGCATCCTGTGGTTTAAAACCCGCTGAATAATTGTCAGGTGGGTGCAGAGGCAGGGCTGGGGAGGGGGTGGGGGCCACCTACCCAGGACACCTGTCTCACGCAGCCCGGCAAACCTCTGCATGACCTTGATGGCATCCCGTAGCTTGGCAGGGCTCTGCAGCTGGGCCTGGGCAGGGTTGGGTGGTGGCAGGTAGCCATAGCGTGTCAGCCAGTCCTAGACCACAGGAGGGAACAGATGAAGCGGGAGGGTCGGAGGGATGGGACTTTCCCTTCCCACCATCATCCTGGAAGTCTCGCCCTCCTGTTGCCAGGCCCCCAGCCCCGAGAGCCCACCTGCTCCCTCTCTCAAGGTCCCGGCCCTCCAGCCCTGGGTTTGCCAGGCATTATATGGACTCCAGAGTCCTGGTCCCCACCTCCCCACCCAAGCCCCTTTCCAGATCTTCTAATCTGGGCCCCAAACCTCCTGATGGATCCAAGAATCCGTGTCCCCAGATCCCGTTCCTAGTCACTCCTTGAACGTTTGAATCAGCCCTCAGCCTCCTCCGCGCCCAGGGATCCCAGCTTGCCTCTCCCAGCCCCGCTGCAGATCCCAGGAGCCCGAGGACCCCGGCACTCACCACGCCCAGGCTCACATCCTGCGCCGCGGGCTCCGGGGCGCGCGCGGGGGGCAGCAGCAGCAGGAGCAGCAGCACCAGGAGCTGGAGCATGGCGCTCTCCTGCCTGGGCAGCCGCCGGGGCTCGAGGGGGCCTGGCCCGGGCCGCCCTGAGGACCTGGGGGCGGAAGTCAGGGGCCCGGAGAGGCTCAGGGGGATCCGACGCAGGATAGGAGGGGCGCAGGAAGACTGGGGACCGCGCCAGGGGTCCGGGGCACTGGAAGGCACGATGCTGGGGGCGTCCAGCGGAGGGCCCAGGAGAGCTGGGGTTGCTGGGTGTCCCGGGAGGGTTGAGGGGACGCGGGAGAGGGCGGAGGTCCGGACTCCGGGTCCGTTGCTGCGGCCTCTAGGGGTCCAGAGCCGGTCTTGTCCCGCTCCGCACGGCACAGGCGGCCCCTCCCTCTGGCGGGGCGTGGCACCCCGAGAAGCGGTGATGGCGAGACCGGGGAAGGGGCCTGATCTTCAGATGTCCAGCGACAAGGGGCGGGCCAGGTGGTGGCCCCTGCCCCCCGCAGGACCCAAGGACCCTCCTCCGAACACTTCAGAGCGCGGGTCGGGGCTGGGTGGGGGGCGGCGGCGAGGAGCCCTGTCAGCCGCCGCAAGTTTCTCTTCCCAGATCCCGGCTCCGGTGGCACTCCCCGGAGCATAGCTCGCTTCTGCTTTCTCAGAAGCGCGCAGCCCAGCCCGGGGGAGGGGCGCGCGGGTCCTCCCTCTCCCCTTCCCCTCCTCGAGCCGCTGTTCCGGGACTCCCCGCGGTGCGCAGCCGGCACAGCGCCGGGAGATGTCCGGGCGGCGGGGTCGCTTCCCTTCTCTGCGGAGTCCGGGCCCCTCCCCCCACCGCCCGTCTCGGCCTGCGACCCCTGCCCGCGGGTGCGGCCGCCTGTGGTCACGACGGTCCTTCTCCCGACCACGTGGGCTGCGCGGGTCTCTGGCCCGGTACACGGTAGTCGTGGCATCTCTAGATCCAGACCCGGGGGCTGCTCCGGGACCGCGCCCCCTCTCCGCAGGTGCTAGACATTTAAAATCCAGTAACATCCACGCAGAAGCTCGAGCGCCTGCCGCCTGCCAGGAGCGCAGGACGAAGGACGGGATGAATGAAAGCACCACCCGGAGGCGGAGACCTGGGCACCCGCAGAGCCGCGTCTCACCCATGCCGCCCCGTGAGCCCGGGGCCAGGAGGCCGGCAGCTGGAGAAGGATGGGAGGGATCAAGGCCGGCGGCTTCCTGGTGAGGGGCGGATAAGTGGACATGAGTGAAACCTCTCTGTCTCTGGAGCAGGGCAGCGACCGGACCCCATGTGTATTTTAGACAAAACAAATACTGAGCAGGATTAGCGAGCCAGCGACGCAAACTAAACTGTGGAGATCGTGTTAGTCCCCTCCGGCTGCCATAACAAATACCACAGGCTGGGTGACATAAACAAGGGAAATTTTTCTCACAGTTCTGGAGGATGGAAGTCCAAGATCAAGGTAAGGCAAGATTGGCTTTTCCTGCCACTTCAAGGCACCTCTCTGAGGCTTGCAGGTGGCTGCCTCCTTGCTGCGTCACGTGGTCTTTCCTGTGTGCCCATGCGTCCCCCGTGTCCCTGTGTGTGTCCTCCTCTATAAGGACACCATTCACTTTGGATGAGGGCCCACCCTAATGGCCTCATTTTACTGCAATCATCCGTTTAAAGGCCCTCTCTCCAAATACAGTCCGGTTCCGAGGTGTTGGGGGTTAGGACTTCAACACACGGATTTGGGGGGGACACAATTCAATGCACAACAGATCCCATGTGTAATGAAAACCTACACTACTCCTCCTGTGTGTGTCTCCTTTATGGTCACACCATTACCACACTCACAACACGTCTGCCCCTAGATGTGTGGGGTTTATTCCCCACACCGAGCAATTCTCTGTGACACCAGCTGGGCGTCCTACAATTGAATTCAATTCTGACACTAACCAGAGTCAGTGCAGACCCCCCAGGCTGAGGGCTCAGTCCCACCAGACTGCCCCCACTTCAGATGCCAAGTGCAAGTAGTGGGCCCCCAGGCAACCCACAACTTCCGTAGGCCTTGGCTATAAATCGTAGATTCCCATGACCCCCATGCCCCACCCCCCACCGGATTCGATCGTTTGCCAAAACAGCTCACAGAATTCAGGGAAACACCAGTGTTTACCAGTTTATTATATAATAAAGGATATGATAAAGGATACCAATGAACAGCCAGATAAAGAAGTATACGTCATGAGGTCCAGAAGGGTCCCAAGCGCAGGAACTTCTGTCTGGGTGAATTTGGGTGCACCACCATCCCGGCAAGCAGATGTGTTCACCAACACAGCAGCTCTCCGAACGCCCTTTGGGATTTTTATGGAGGCTTCATCATCATTAGTTCCATCTCCAGCCGCTGTCCTCTTCCTGGAGCATGGGGGATGGGGCTGAGAGTTCCAAGCCTGGTCTGTTGGGTGACCAGCCACCATCCAGGAGCTATGGAGGAGCCCACCCGAGTCGCCTCACTGGAACAAAAGACACTCCTATCAGCCAGGAAATTCCAAGGGATTTAGGAGTTCGGGGTCAGGAACCAGGGTCAAAGACCAAATATTAGAACAAAAGATGCCCCTAGTGTTCTTACCACTTAGGAAATTACAAGGGCTTTAGGAGTCCTGGGCCAGGAACCTGGGGGCGGAGACCAGTATTTATTTTTCTATTCTTTCACAGCCCATCCTCCTGGTCTCTGGCCATGGACCCCTTACAGCAAAACCAAATACAACTCAAAAGATACTGGCACAGCGACTAGAATCCCAAAAAGTCACAAGTAATCCTCCCAGTCCATCATCATATCCTATAAAGTTGCCCCCCAGGGAGAGGCCACTCAGGTGTGCAGGCTTCCCTCTGATCTGGTCAGGTTCCAAAAGCAAGAGTGTCTCAGCAAACGTGTGGTTCCCCCTTTCATGCATCTGGCATGCTCCAGCTAAGGGAAAATCTCGTCTCTTGCTCCGAGCCTCTTTTGCGGTGTTAACGTAAGTGTGGATGGCCCTTATTACATAACTCGTTGACTCACTACTTTTCCTGTAGCTACTATTCTTGCCTCTCAGCATTTATACCCCAACTCTCCCAGCTTTGGAAGGTTCAGCTGCTGTGCTGGCCTAGATTGCAGGCAGCAATGCTAGTCTGGCAAGTGCCCCTCCACCCCTGGTCCACTCTCGTGCACACAGGGTGAGGTGACACGGGCGCAGAACTGGCAGGCCATCTTTAGTGCCAGGCGGTAAAGCTGAATTCACTGTTAGCCCTGATTTTGTCAGGTGGAGTGAAAGCCCATCCTGCTCCCGCGGGCTCAGGAATTCTGACATAAGGCTTAAGATATAGTTGCCATCTCTTGTTTGGGAATCATCGCTGTTTCAGGCACTGTATTCGCAGCCCTGGTCATACAACCACTGCATCAGGTAGGGAAAAAAAGGTTGCGGTGATGGCGGGGAAAAGAAGGGAAAAAAATCAGTCATTTGACCAGCATCCTCCCCCCTTGGGAAGAGTCGCAGTCTCACCAGCACCCCTCCCCACCCCCTCTTCCCCAGATCCACCATAAAAACAGAGAAATCTATCCTGTGGGGACACTTCTTTAGCGCCACTCATGTTCACATTGAGTGCGAGCACACACTCGTGGAGGCGTGGAAGCCAGCTCTTCAGGCCTGTGTCTCCCCGCATTTTAGACAACCAATGTTTCCGTTGCCCGTTCCAATTCTCTATCAAACTAATACCCCGAGGAGGACATCTCTCTTCTCTCTGCTCATTGTTGGACATTACAGGCCTACAGAGTGTGGTCCTTGGGCTGAAGAAGTGACGACTGGCCACCCATACTGGTGCAATATCTTCTGCTCTGGGTTTTCTTTTATAGCATTTGGAGCACTTACGTCTACATGGGATAAGCAAAGCCCAGGCCAGAGTCAGTGTCTAGTCCTGTCAGGAGCCATTTGTAACCCCGTGGGGCCACCAGCACCAGTCTGACTTGCCTGTACGATCAAGGCCTTCCCCTCAGGGAATCTGCCACAGCGCCATCTGCAGTCTTCATGGGCCCTGGTGGCCACTCAAGCCCACTCACGGGGATATCTACTTGCTGATTCTAGCCTCCTCCCAAACCCAGACAGGGGCTCTTCCAAGGGGCATCAACACGTCCTACTTTAATGCACCCCTCAAATTCCCACAGGGATTTCTGCAGGGCTGTGCCCCATATGGGCATCCCTTTAATAGGCCAGGTGTCCATTACCCTCCTTCCTGACCAAGTGACCAGGCCATTGGCACCACCCATGAGTCCATAGAAACAAAAACATAGGGAATTTGCCACTGTTCAATTCTTCTATCATGACTGGAAAGCAGCATGCACTTCAGCCCACTGCACTAATTTGTTTTTACTTTCTTTGATCAAACTGGTGGCCTTTCAAACGGGATGTTGTCCGCTCACCTTGGAACTGCCATCCACAAACCAAGCAGCTCTTGTTGGTCAGTCAAGAGCTGTTTATAGAGCACCGTCCACATGATGACAGAATCCAGCAGCTCCTCACACATTCCCGGAGTCACTCCTAGGAAAAGCGGCTCCCTGCTCCTGAGCACGCCTTGCCTTCCCCAGGCACCATGATCCTGGATAAACCGTTTCTATTTTATCATGGAACTCTTCTGGGCACGTCATCCCCATTCTAGTGTTTCTCTGACGTCACCCAAGACATCATGAGTATTTCAGGTTTCAAGATGATTTTATGTCCTTCAGACTTCGAGGTAGCTTCAATTTATGTCTGACAGCAAGGTAGTCAATGCCCCTCAATGGGAGTTCTCTAGTCCAAAGTCCCAGTCATCATTGCTGGGAGGCACTCCCAGGCTTTTGCTGTGAGCCCCAGTGTACACTCCACACGGGGCCATTGCGCAGGGATCTGTCCCGACCAGCACTCCAGCTTCCATTCCACACTGTGTGGGCTCTGACAATTGTGCTGGCTCCCATTTAGCATGTCCAATTAATGCTGCTTGAAGGGCAGATTGACATGCCTCTGTTTCACAAGACTAGGCAGGGGAAGCGTTCCCCAGACACAGTGTCCATCCCATAATACAGTCAGGTAAAAAAGACACAATCGCTTCGCAGAAAGCCTGTTCACATCTGCCAAGTCTCCTAACTCTTCCCTTAATTCCACCAACCCTTACGATCCTAACTGTGGCCCCCATTAGGATGTCATCAACAGGCTTGGGTCTTACAACACGGGGTAGGGCAAGTGTTCCCCAGTGTGACACAATATCCATTCCCACGAAACATTAGGTAAAGAAGATGTAATTTCTTTGTTTTTGTTTTTGAGGAAGATTAGCCCTGAGCTAACATCTGCTGCCAATCCTCCTCTTTTTGCTGAGGAAGAGCGGCCCTGAGCTAACATCCATGTCCATCTTCCTCTACTTTATATGTGGGACGCCTGCCACAGCATGGCTTGACAATCGGTGCCATGTCCGCACCCGGGATCCGAACCAACGAACCCCAGGCCGCCGAAGCGGAATGTGCACACTTAACCGCTAAGCCACCAGGCCGGCCCC